TCTCAAATTTTCTAAAAGATGAAAGGATTGTATTTCTTGGATCTAAGGATGAGTATTCCAGTTGATCCCTAAGTGAGTCTGAGCTGATGTACATGTACATGATAATTGATAATTAAAGACCCATATCAATTCTTCCATCAATTTCTAAAATACTCAAGAAAGTAGTATACGGGCAATTAATGGCTCATCTGGATCGAAATGGCATGCAATCTCACTTTCAGTATGGCCTCCTTCGTATTAGTAGTTACTCACTTTACTGATGCCATCAGAAAACAAGCTGAACATGAAAATTTGACAGGCTGTGAATTTATTGATTTGTCTGGAATGGTTCACTAATTACCTTTCTTGTAGATCATAGCCTGTTCAGTATAAACTTGTGTTATCAAAAGCCCAACCAGTATTCACTGGTGTACCTCAGGGGAGCATTTTGGTCCCTGTTTTATTCATAATTCATTTCGACAATGGGTACACGCCAGTTGCAGTTTTCAATGAGATAATCACCTTTAGTAAAATCCAGCTTGTGGTCTATTATCAATGCTGCGTTCTGATTGGTTGAGCTACTACTAGGCTATATGTTATAGCTCACTAGTAGCGAAAAGCGCCGGATTTTTGGCGGCAAAAAAGGATTAAAGTCTTGCTCTAAGTTGTTTTGTCTCGATATTTTTGACCAACTAGTTGGATTTTACCAAAGCAATTATTCCTCTCGCCCTCATGGCCTCTGAGTCTATAGCCCATTCAGCCTTCGGCCTCATGGGCTATTGAATCAGAGCCCATTCGGGCTCGAGGAATAATTGTTAAATGCTGTTGACTTTGGAATTTATACCTCAGCTAAAGACATTGAAGTGAAGACATTAACAATTTATGTCACTGGTTCGAAGAAAATGAACTGATCATCAACCTTAAAAAAGGAAAGACTGAGACTATCCTTTTCGGGACTTCAAAAAGAATCAACCTTCAAGGAAACGAACTTAACATCTCGGTTAAAGGGACTTGCATCAACAATAACTTTTCCTATAAGTACCTGGGCGTTGACCTAGACCCAAATCTGAGCCTTACATATTTTGATAAAACTTACAAGAGAGCAGCAGGAAGAGTTAACCTTTTAAGATCAATTCGCTCGTCTGTCGATCAAAAATGCGCTGAAACAATCTACAACACTATGATTCTACCAATTTTCACATACTGCACATCACTTGGTCTTGGTCAGACACCCGAAAAAGTCTGATAAAGAATATTGAACAACGAAGTTTAAGAATATGGCAACAGTAGTCTGAAACTTCCATCAGTTAAAAACACAATGAAGCTGAAAAGCGGTTAACTGGTCTTTGAATGTCTTCAACATAATGTTTGCTCTCCCTTTAAGTCGTGTTTTGAAAGACTGTATCATGCAAAGTCTAAAAGAAACAATGGTTTTTCAGAAAAATTGCCTAAAGTTCGCCTCGAATTTGTGGAAAAGGGTTTTTATTATCAAGGAACCAAGATTTTTAATGAACTCCCAGTTGGAGTTCCAGAATTTTATTTAAGAATTGAAAGCACTGAAATCACATTTTAGTTCATCTATGAAATGTTCATCGTTTTAACCACAGTATAGTTATAGTCTTTTAGCATTTTATCTTATAGTCATAGCTTTGTATCGTATCCTATTTTTATCTTTTTTATCTTTTACTTGTTTATTTATTCAGATATTTTTTACAGGACCCCATTGACAACAGTGTTTTTATACACTGATGGGTATTTTGTCCTGTTAAAATATTAGCTATTATTATTATTATTATTATTATTATTATTATGTCTAATGGAAATAATATCTTCCACTCAGGTAGTTGAAATATTTAGTACGTCTACGTACACTGTAGGTAGATAGGAATTCCTAGAAAGATTCCTTGATTGTGGATCGAAATTAACCAGTCTTCAGTTCTATCTTTATCAAAGTTTCTCTAACGAGTCGAACTAGTAAAGCCATACAGCCTCCCACCTTTGTATTTGGAATAACCTGAAGAGGGGTTTTCTTTCTGAAACAATGTCTAGAGGTCTTGAACACTCAGGCGTACACTAACATCTTGAGTACGCAATATACATTGATGAACTAAGTCCGATTTCCTGAGGATTTCACTCCACTTTCCAGTTATGTTTACTCGATAAACTGAGATTCGGATAACTCGAATTCACTGCTAACTCGAAGTAAATTTCCTGCTAAGAAAAAACAACTTAAATTCGCACTCTACTATACAATGAAGTGCTGAAAAATCTGCATTTATTTCACAATCAATGAATGAGGCTGAGTATCTTATGAAGAATTATGGAGATCGAGGAGGGTGTTATCCGTCGAGGCCTCTGAGTTATTATCTCGCCTAGTTCTTACTCCTGAAACGAGTGAAATGCCCACTATTTTTTGATTTCACAACCAAACAACTCAACCTCGTGCCCAGGCGTTCTTGGTTAACGGTGCATTAACCTGCAAGAAAGCTGTACTTTTGACGTCATCGGCTCATTAAACGCAAAATTCTTCCATATTTGGTCATCAGTAGCTGGTTATGGTAAATTATGCGTGTGCTTTTAGCCAAACGGAATCGGGGAAATATTTTGAATGAATAACAATATAATAATAATAATGGAAACCCCTAAATTAAAACAGCTCACGTCAAAAACTTGTAAAAATATAAAATTAAAACAGTCAATCTTAAATGCAATAAATTCATAACCAAGTGAAGCCTCAGAATGGCAGAAATCGCAATTCCAAGGACTTAAAATTTAAAAAATTTCCGGGGGAGAATGTCCCGGACCCCCCTACAGGGGGTTCGGCGGCTCCCTTTCATCGAACCCCCTCTGATAAAAACCTGGATCTGCCCCAGACTGTGCTCCGACATAATGCAGGTTCTTCCAGGTTCATATACTGTTTTTTAGAAAACGTGCTATTGTTAAACGTTCAAAAGGCCGCCGCAGAGTTTTGCTTGACACTTGAAAACTCAAAAGTTTCATTTGATCTCATTTAAAGAAAGAGAAAAGGAGGGAGGGGTGGAGTAGAGCACCTTAAGACCTCCACTGGGTAATTGCAAAATGAATTATTCATTGGTCAATAGGTTTTCTTTCTATATTTACTTATTCTAGAGGCTTGAGGTCGCAGCTCTGAATAATATCCGGAAACCATCAGTGTCGATCGCCAAACTTTTCCAATTTTGTACTTATTCTCCAATGGGTGTTAGTGTGCTTTCAATGAAGCACTTCACATGATCGACTCTCAGTCACTGCACTTAATTTTGTAAGGTCTCACAACTTATTCCGATACCTGGAAGATTTTTTAATTGGCCAAGTCAGACAGGACAGCGGTTTATTCTTCCCTTGTGATCATTCGATCCAGCTGATCGTTCTTATTAATAGTTGGGTGAGATATTTCAGCTAGGTCTCTTCATATAGGCATATCAAATTTCAATGGCGAATCCAAATGATGAGTATATGTACGTACTTTTTTCTTTTAGTAACAACACAAAGGCATAAGAAGGCATTAGGGCAGACCTGGTTGAAGGAAAGTCTATGTAGACAGGTCGACTTTCTTCACAGTCCGGTCCGTTGTACTCATTGATAGTCGATACCAGTCTCTTTTTCCATGTTAAGTTCATTTTTGTTTATTTTGCAAATATATCTACGAAACATCTAAGCTTCACCAAATTCCGGCCTTTCTAAATTTTGCGTCGCACAAACGATGTGAGCAACGGTTGGAAAAGTAAATTTGTCACAACCTCCGGTTCCCAGAAAATCACCGGAAGGGGCACTACTTGAAATTGGCTTTCTTAGAAACCTCTGTTATCTAATCTATTTAATGATCGATCACATTAATTTACCTACCTATATCGTTTATTTGTTTGCTATTATTTATGATCATTTACTTGTACTTTCCCAAATCACAGTGCGATAAAAACTGGAATGTGTTTTAGGCGTTATGGAGTGTCCGCCTGGCCGAAGAGTTCGTAGACCTAAGGAAAAACAAAAGCAAGTTGAACAGTCGCCCTTGAGTGATGTTACACAAGGTCATGAGCCACCATCGGATTTCAAATCCGGGCGATCTGAGAGATGTGAAAGAACGCAAGAACAAGCATCAGAGACAAAGAAAAGTGAAAAAGCCAAACTTCAAACCAAGCGATTTTCCCAAGGGAGAAAACGACCAGAAGGCTCTGGCGATTCTTCAGATGTTGTTAATAGCGAAACCAGGGGCACGGAACAGTATGATACAAGAGAGGAAAAAAGGAACAAAAGTGCTGTCTCTATTGAAAAAGAGTACTCACGTCCATTGTCACGGGAGGATAGTGTGTCATTCAATGAAAATACAAATGAAAAGGGGACAAGATACCAAGGACATACACCTCGGAAAAATAGTTCCAAAAGTAAGGCGAAAAAAAATGTGACCGTAGAAAAAGACGAGGAAAAGGAGGGAGAAGCAGTTAAAAACGAAGGAAAAAGCAGAGGACAGGCTACAAAAGATGGACAAAAATGTCAGCACAAAAAAAATGGAGCAGAGAAAGGTAGTGTGATTGTAGCCGACAGAAGTGATACTACATTACCACAATATTTTCGGCAGGATCAGGATACAACTAAACGAGATAGCAAGTGTCAAAGTGGGGCTACAAAACAAGGATACGTAGGCGTCACTAAAAGAAATGGCCCAAAGGAACACGTTATTAGTGAAAACAGTGAGAAGACCTCGCTTGAAAATGGCTTGAAAATGGCTACAAGTAAGGTGAAAAACATTGTCACCATGAAAAACGACGATGAAAAGGAAGTACAACCAGTTAAAAACGGAGGAAAAAGCAGAGAAGAGGCTACAAAAGACGGACAAAAATGTCAGCACAAAAAACATGAAGCAGATAAAAGTAGTGTGACTGCAGCAGACAGAAGTGACACTACATTACCACAATATTTTCGGCAGGATCAGGGTACAGCTAAACGAGATAGCAAGTGCCAAAGTGGGGCTACAAAACAAGGATACGTAGGCGTCACTAAAAGAAATGGCCCAAAGGAACACGTTATTAGTGAAAACAGTGAGAAGACCTTGCTTGAAAACGGCTAAAAGTAAGGCGACAAAAAATGTGACCGTAAAAAACGACGAGGAAAAGGAAGGACAAGCAGTTAAAAACGGAGGAAAGAGCAGACAAGAGGCTACAAAAGACGGACAAAAATGTCAGTACAAAAAACATGAAGTAGAGAAAAGAAGTGTGACTGTAGCCGACAGAAGTGACACTGCATTACCACAACATTTTCGGCAGGATCAGGGTACAACTAAACGAGATAGAGAGCACCAAAGTGGAGCTACAACACAAGGACATGCAGGCGTCACTAAAAGAAATGGCCCAAAGGAAAACGTCATCAGGGAAAAAAGTGAAAAGACCTTGCTTGAAAATGGCTTGAAAATGGCTAAAAGTAAGGCGACAAAAAATGTGACGGTAAAAAAACACGAGGAAAAGGAAGGACAAGCAGTTAAAAACGGAAGAAAAAGCAGAGAAGAGGCTAAAAAAGACGGACAAAAATGTCAGTACAAAAAACATGAAGTGGACAAAAGTAGTGTGACTGTAGCCGACAGAAGTGACACTACATTACCACAACATTTTCGGCAGGATCAGGGCACAACTAAACGAGATAGTGAGTGCCAAAGTGGAGCTAAAAAACAAGGACACGCCGGCGTCACTAAAAGAAATGGCCCAAAGGAACATGTTATCAGTGAAAACAGTGAGAAGACCTTGCTTGAAAATGGCTTGAAAATGGCTAAAAGTAAGGCGAAAAACATTGTCACCGTAAGAAACGACGAGGAAAAGAAAGGACAAGCAATTAAAAAAGGAGGAAAAAGCAGAGGAGGGGCTACAAAAGACGGACAAAAATGTCAGTTCAAAAAACATGAAGCGGACAAAAGTAGTGTGACTGTAGCCAACAGACGTGACACTACATTACCACAACATTTTCGACAGGATCAGGGTACAACTAAACGAGATAGTGAGTACCAAAGTGGAGCTACAAAACAAGGATACGCAGGCGTCACCAAAAGAAACGGTCCAAAGGAAGACGTTATCAGTGAAGGTAGTGGGAAGACTTTGCTTGAAAATGGCTCAGAGGATGGTACGATAGGGACGGAAAGCACCAGTAAACCTGAGGACATCAAGGGAAGAAGAAGAAGGAGCCGCGCACGGAAGAAAAAGGTTGTTGGCGAAAGCGATGACAAGGCCATGTCACAAAATAACCTGCGAGACTCTGCGGCAGAAAGAAAAAGTGAAAGTCCAGTAGGTATCTCGGTCCTGAAAAGCATAAATGAGGCCACCAACAATGATGGCGTCAGTAGCAGTGCCAACATCTTATCCCACAATGTCGAGCTGAATGGTGTCAATGAAAAAGAAAGCGACAAAAAAGGGGAGACTGCAAAAAGAGGAAAACCAAAAAGAGGGCATAAGGCAACTGAAAATGTTGTCAGCGTTAGCCAAAAGGAGGCGTTGTCAAAAACGAGCGACCGAGATACTGTGAAAGGGAAAGACAGTGAAAAAGAACAAGAAGATACAACACGAAAGAAATCACCACGAAAGACTGCTGGTCGTGGTACGGAAGAGGTTTCTTTCCAAAGCAAAGACAGAACCTTGGTAATCGTACCAGATGTTGACGAAAGCACAAACAAGACTTTGTCTTCAACTTGTCTGCAGACCGACGTAACAACATTTGGGATGGCCAAACAATCAAACAAAAGTGTCAACGAAAACTGCGACGACAACGACACATTGCATTTGTCTGAAAGGCGGCCAGAAAATGAAAGTGAAAAAGAGTCAAGAAGAATAAGACGTAGACGCCGGCAAACTAGAAGTAAAGCTGGCAAACATTCAGCCATCGACGGCCCCGACAACGCATTGCCACCGAATTGTCCGAACGACTGCGCAGTTGAACAAGAAAACAAGAGCAGATATTTTAAGGACGGAAAGCCAGGCCATCAGACTAAAATTAAACTGAAGAAAAGTGCTGAGATTGACAATAATAATAACATTCTGCCACAAGAAATTTCGAGAGACGAACTGACGAGAACAGACCACAGTGGCCAGAGAAAGGAAAATGATTTGTTAAGAGGCGAAGAGACATCTCTACAAGAAGGTGCGCAAGATGGAGTAGCGGAACTGCAAGCTAAACAAAGCAGTACCGGTTGTCGGTATAACAGAAGAAATTTTCGTCATTTGACCGTTATTCCTACCTTGGGTGATATTTCTATTGACCAAAGTGGCTCTCTAAGAAAGAACAAGATAAAGGGTAGATACCATAATATTGAGCATTATTTAGATGTCCAATTTCAGCTTCTTCGCGAGGACTTCTTGAGGCCTTTGCGTGACGGGATCAAACATTACAGGGAGCACAACAATAGAAGTTATCCAAATGATCTCTATCAGGATGTCAGAATCTACGACAATGTGAAGATACTGCGTCCAATATGCACATCCAGTGGAGTAAGATACAAAATCAGGTTTGATACTCGAAAGTTCGTCGATGTACAGTGGGAAAACAGCAAGAGATTGATCTTTGGATCCCTTCTTTGTTTGTCCAAGGACAATTTTGAGAATTTTGTTTTTGCCACTGTCGCTGAAAGAAATGTGAAAGAAGTTGTGAAGGTAAGCAGTAAATTTACCTCGAAGTCGTGAGGAAACGAACTATACTTTTTTTTTTAGTAAAAACTGTCAATATAAAGATCTGATAGTTTCCTTCTTATTTATTTACTAACATTTTCATTCGAAGACATTCTTTTAACGGCTACTATTTTTTCTCCAAGCAAAGTTGTAGTTCTCACACAGGCACCACAGACTGCAACCTCATGTCCATCTACTTTAATCTAATTGTTTACTATGACCTCTCACGTTTTGTTTGCCATATACTAGATTCCGAACAAATATCAGTCGATTTCAATTAAACTCTTTTCTTCCCCCACCACTCATATCTGTTAATGTGATAACGCTTTCTGTTGTTTTATCCGTTAAACAATTATAACTGCACTTTTGTTATTTGAGGGGCTGATTGAAATACGTTTTGTGTCATCATCGAGTGACGCTCGACCCAGGGCAGGAGATGTGTGTCAAATGGTCGAGTCTATAGCTTTCTTTGGGGCATACCGCCCAGTGCTGGAAGGATTGCAAATGATGCCTTTCGAGGAATTTCCTTTTAAGGTACAGTACCCCGAAACGCTTTCGTACATGTAATAACGCCATTCAGAGTTACCATAAAGAAAACTTGGCGGGAAATGATTTCAAAATAATATGCCCTCTCCTTCTGAAACAGTATTTTAACCAGCAATATTTTATAATGAGACTAGGGCTCACTAAATATGCCCCGGATGCACGGCGAATCTTGTTTACGAGGGCGTTTCAGATGTTCCTCATGTTTGTGTTTCTTTGGCCTCCTCCGAAAATGTGGGGTTATTTTTTTCAGAAGGACCCATTTTCTTTCGGTTTCCGCTTCCTATCAAATATCATGGTTAACTAATTACTCCTTGGACTAATTATGGCGCTAAATTTCCGGGCCATCACTGTTATGGCAATGTTCCGTATTTCTCAGTGCCAAGATGGCGTTAATGTTAGAAGAAGTTACAACTGTAGATGTTAGGGTGGAACGCTTTAGAAGGATTCCAATTAGTATGCTGTTGAAAAATTTAGAAATTGTGAGCTTTAGCCAAAACGTATGCTTAACCCTTTTCAGTGCATGAAGCTCTCGGTGAAATAAACAAAATAGAGAAGCTCATGATTGTGAGCGTTGTTTGTCGCCCAGTCTGTTAACGGATAATCATGCGGCATATACACGTGAAATTAGGAAATAACTGCAGTTAGTTTTGTGCAAACTTTAAGAATTTTCCGAGCCTTACGGGAATTATTAGAAATTTAACAAAACACGCTTTGCTAGTTTCACTCGTCACCATATAATTACAAAGAAAAATATAAGCCACTAGAAAAGGAAAAAGTACGTTCATTATGTATACGCCACGAGTAAAACGTCCAAAATAAATTAGGGTACATTAATTATTTTTCAACATAAACTTATACTTGTCAGTCATTCACTCTTTACGTTTCAATCTCAGGAAGTTACGACAATATATTTTTTTCCAATTTTGAATGTTTAGGAGTACATTGTGGATTGTCACAAAGATGTTTGCCCTCCCGGTTATCTTACGAAAGCTGATGGTCAGAAAGTGGTGTTCGATTTCTCTTCTATCATACCTGACGAAAAAGAAGAAGGAGAAGAGTAAGGATGTTAGATCTGACTAATATTTCAGAGTAACCTTTTTCAAAGTCCATATAAAACAAATGATGTTGGTTAAACCGACACACCTGAACTTCTCGTAACCACCCCTGTGGATTCATGTGCATTGTGCCGCTTGTGGAGCAGATCTTTCAAACCATTTCCGAAAGAGACAGAGGCGAGAGAAAACGCCAAGAAAGATGTTAAGTTCACCCGAACGATCCTTAATTTTTTGCCAAAAATGTTTAAAAATTTTACTACCATAACGAAGCCAAGTAAATGCCTAGCTAGCAAAAGAAAAAGAAAACCAGCAAACAAACAAAAAACGGAGCAACAGAAGCAAAAGACCAGGCCAGGAGATAAGAAATAGAGAGGTGAAATATAATCTACCTTCTGAGTATGCCCGACTTATAAACAATGTTTTCGGCATTTTTGGTTCTTTCTGTATAGATAATGACCAGAAAACGACTCAACTAGCCCCAAACGGTGAGTGGGTTGCCGGTATCACTGACTGTTGCACTGTGATAAGTACATGCTTTTTTTTTTAGGTATACTGTAACGCTCCAGCAAGAAATTACTGCAGACCAGTGTGATGTTTCTGGTACGTTTAGAGCAGTAAATTAAATGGTAAAAACTATCGAATGACAGTGTTTTCTTGTTTTGTTGAAGGTGTATACGTGCGCTTGAGCTCAGCGGTCACGTTCATAAGAGCTCCGCGAACTATTGAATTTTGTTAAGATTTTCTTGACTGTAACGCAATGGCCGGAGAGAAGAAAAAGCAAAGACAGGAAAACCAATCCTTAAGAAATGAAAAAAACAAAACAAAACAAAAAAAACAACAAAAAATTAAGGAGAAACTTAAAGGTAAAGAAACCAAGCATGGAGGTGATGATGAAGAGGTTGCAAGTTCAAAAGACGCGGACTTGTCGCTGGACAAAAAGAAGTCTGTACAACTTATAAGTGACCAGTATGACATACAGGTGAAAGAGCTACAACAAATTAAAATCGAGAGTGAACAAGGTCTGTGAGAAGTGTGACAAAATCGCAGCTGCCATGGAATTACTGGAGGACTACAGCTCAAGCTCGACCTCAAAATTGTTGGTATGCCAGTCCTCCTAATTTAGTTTAGGCAATGACTATACTAGTTAAATTAAACTATAGGGAGAAAATGATTTTGGATGCGGGGAATTGACAAGTTATTTTCAGGACTAAGATTATCATCTAAGGTTGAATTCATACCAGTAATAATAAATCAAGATCATAAAAACTAGGAAGGCATTCCAAATTCGACGTGTGAGCTTGCACACTATGCCATTTGGCTTATTTGAAGCTTTCCTTGCCGGGAAACTGTGTTCTGTGTTAATATACACAATAGAAACTTCCTTGGCTCTTGAGGCCCAGAATATTCGAAGGCAGAGGTTGGCCGTTTCTTCGGCATTTTCACGTGCCCCGAGGACTGGCATACCAACAATTTTGAGGTCGAGCTTGTAGCTGTAGTCCTCCAACAATTCCATGGCAGCTGCGATTTTGTCACACTTCTCGCTTGTTCACTCTCGATTTTAATTTTTAGTAGTTTAGTTTTTGAATTTGCGGTATTATCTTTCGTCAATATAATTCGTCTGATCGATTTCGAGAATATCTAAATGAAACCATGGTAGCTATCATATAATTATTTCATTTTTTGTCCTTTTATTAGTTTTCCTTTTTTGATTTATTGTGGAACCAAATGACTTACACGTTTCTCTCTGTTTTGCAAAACTGTTACTTTGTTAATCTCTTTTTACAAACTTTGTTCTTTGAAATCTGTAATTATATTAGAACTCGTGAGACGGACCTGCTTTGATTAGTTTATCTATCCGCAGGTCAGTAGGACTAATTGTAAACAGATTTTTGTATATAATAAATAAACTTGAAACTTGAAGTACTCTTAATATCTTAGGTATTCTATCCAACGTATCCAAAATTCTGTAGCAGTAAAAAAGAAATAAAATATTTAGAAAACTGCGTTTTCAGTGTTATATTAAGTTTACAATCAGTTGCAAAAAGCAGTAAAAAACCTTATTCAAAACTAAACTACTAAAAATTATCCAAATCTAGATGAATTAAAATAAATACAATCTTGAAAATATTACATAAATCAAACTAAAGGGCCTAAAATTCCCTCCGGGCACAACCATTGAAAGATCAGGTGTCCTTGGTTAACCTCTTGCATGATCCTATTCCATGATGCTGTTCTTCTAAATGTAATATCTAAGTAAGTGATCCTTCTGTCTGGTATTATGACTATGGATATTAAAACGCTTAACTGCATGGACTCAAGGTAAATGGCGGCAAGGGCCAATTACATTTTAAAAGCTACGGTTACGTCACGAAGCTGTAACATGACCCTTATTGAAAGCCACCTAAGTCCTCTAACTGTTGTAGAAAAAAGATACTTTATTTTTCCAGTTAGTATCCCGGAAGCAAAATTTTGTAACAGCTGCACTTTCTGGATATTCTGTTGTTGTTTCGACCACACATTAGAACAGTAACAAAATTTACTGAACACTAAAGAGTTCAAGATGACTAAAAGAACGTCTTTTCTGAGAAGATGTCGGACACTGTTAATTTGCCAAAGTTAAACGTTTAACAGTCGAGATGATAGAGTATTTAAGTGAGCATCAAATGTGAAATTACTGTCAAACCACAAGATTAGAAGTTATTTACAGCATCAACTGATTACAAACTATTTTTCTTTTAGATCACTTGATAACTAGTTCTAGTCCAAAACAAAGTATCAGTGTAACAGTTTTGGAACCAGACTCCTGGCCAAATGCAAAAGATCTAAACATAGATGACTCACAGTTCGAAGCCTTACAGTTGGCGCTTACGAAAGAGTTTGCGATCATTCAGGGGCCACCAGGCACTGGAAAGACTTACATTGGACTGAAGGTATGCAATAAAAAAAGAAACAAGGACATAAAAGTTGCCACTGATAACTGACTGATAGCACATACCACAAAGATAAAGCCTATACATATATAAAAATAAGGAAACGATTATGATGACAAGCTCAATCTTGCCAAACGTAAGGCAAGCTATAGTCAATATATACGTTTATGCTATCCTTTGGATATAACAAAAATAGGAAGATATACCTATGTTTAATCCTTCCAATAGAAAGACTCAGAAAACACTTTCTATATATGTTATTTAGGATCTATTGTGCTTTCACATTCCTTCGGAGAGATTTTATTATTCCAGAAGGACTTAGTAATGCATGCCTGTTGCATTGGTTCACCTAAAGACAAAGCAACCAATTCAATATCGGTCTGTAGATGGGAAATATAACTTAAATACGAAGTTCTTTTTTTTTCTTCTTTCTTTCATCCTTCCTTCTTTGCTTTATTCAGGTTAGAGTTACAGGGTGCACTCATTTGATAATTATAATTATAATTATGATGCAAGAGATTTTTTCCCCGCCTTAATTCTAATACAGATAGCCAAGGTTTTACTGTGTAACCAAACAGCTTGGTCTAGAAATGGAAAGACTGGTCCTATGCTTGTAGTTTGCTACACTAACCACGCCCTAGATCAGTTTCTGGAAGGCATCCTGGATTTTCATCCAAATGGAATTATCCGCGTTGGAGGGAGAAGTCAGAGTGAAAGGATCAAAGAACTTAGTCTTTCTACAGTCAAGAAAGAGATGATACAGGTGGCTATAACAACTGGGTTTTATTTGTTTGTTTTTGTTTTTTAAGTTAATACGTATTTACGATCATTGACACTACACTGGGCAGGAATGTGAAGATCTCTTTTCTAGCAAGCAGCATATATCTATGGATATACCCAACTGCGCGGCCTTAACACGTTTAAAACCCTTTTTTTTTCGAAATACGTTAGTCTGATCATTTCCATCGTGTTTTAACTTAGAAGAGGAAGTTACCCAGAACAGGAGACTTTGGCAATATCTGAAAGGAAATGGGTGGATTGTCCAAAATCATCAACGATCACCACAGAAAGCTCGGGGAACTGAAAAGAATTCTCTTCCACGAGGATGAGTTAAAAGCGAATGCCAGTAGCATGACGCCAACGCAGTACGACTCGCTGGTTAGAATATCTTCCTCTTCCATCGCACAACTGCAAAGGGGACAGTCCGTCATTCCATTTTGGCTTGGTCTACCTGTTCTGCCACCAGACCCTTATCAAGAAGGTAAGCTTGAAATTAAACACTTCAGCATATGTTGAGAATTTCTTTGATGGACTGAATGTAGAGATGTAAATTTGCCACATTGTCATAAGCTAAGCAGAACACACTTTGACTTTGCAGGCCATCATCTTTTTGTTTACGGTCAGAATAAAGATGTCCTCTCTGGAGTGACGTCGTTTCTTAAGTTACTTGTCTAAATTAAAGAGAAATAATATTGATTTACTACTTGAAACCACTCTATTATTCTCAATAATCATGAATTTCAATCTGATACTGATTTTTCTTCGGACTGTCGGTGAAGTGAACAGAACCCTAAGTAATCCTGGTATCTGCAGTTGTGTTTTTTCTTCTGCTTGACACTTTGCTCCAGATGTTCTTTCACCAACGTACAGACACAATTTGGAAATGGAGCTGTAGACTACCATTCAAACCTTAGTTTCTATTGAAATGGGGTTAGGGGCAGGTACGTTATTCCTATTGACACCAAGGAAAAGAACCAAAGCAAAAGATTAAGGCAGTTTTACATGGGGAGAGTGTGACTAGGGTGTGTTCATGTACAGAAGCTACGCCAGTGTACAGTGTATTTTTTTTTACAGATACTGAGTAGAAATCGTACCTCCTCTGATTTCTTTTAGGATTTTGCAAACCTCGTGCAATGTTTCCTTTCAACGACGAGTGCTGGGAATTAGAGTATTTTTCGCAAGATCCCTTAGCCTCTATATCGCAAAATGTCCAGTCCGCACAAGGTCCTGATGGGAGCAAAGGAGGATCATTAGAATTAGCAGGGGAGGTGGATTCATTCATTGAGATACCAAACGATGGTCCGTTAGATGCCACGAGATCCATCACACTACTTGCGTTTGTTTATCCAATGGGAAAAGGAGGACCAATCATTTGCTATGACAAAAGTGGCCTGGGTGTTCAGCTTTGTTATAATGGGGTAACTTCTAAAGAGGGAGTCCTGAGAGCTTCCTTCATCGGGAGGGATCTTTTGGAAATAAGCGACCCACTTGAGGCACAAGTGTTGAGATTGAATGAATGGAACTTCGTGGGGACCTCGTACGATTACAATTCTGGAATGGCCCGCCTGTGGCACAATGGAGATGAAGTGAAAACCGTTTACATCGGGGAAAATCTTGAGCTGGCCACACAGTTCCCGATCAGAATAGGGGCTGTAAATAACCCTTTCAAGGGTAATTATTTCAAAGGAAGAATTTCGCTCTTGCATATATATGCAGATGCACTAACTGCTGAAAACATTCGAGCAGTTGGAGGAATTAGAAATGGTTAGTACCTCAAGGACGTAACCGTTTACTTCGGCTTAATTGCCTGATTGGATTTTGACCATACATTTTGACCATAGGTTTTCTTTATTCCTTGACTGCAAGAGGATTCTCAGTATTTTGTTAACATGATTAAATGCCACTCTCGGGGGCAATTTTTGCGAATTTAAGCTTTACTAAAATATGCCCTCCTAAAAGCTTTTTTTACATCAGTTATTTAGAAAAATGAATATAGACCAAAAAAGTAACCAATTAAAACCAGTCCACGGATTATTCATGTGTACACTCGTTCTAGAAACGATTCATAAGCGGTAGCAGTAGAACCGATATTGCAAGTTTGAATCCCTTTGGGGAGGTAATTTTAAGTTGTTATGTGCTCTCTACTCTTTAACAGCGAATGCTGAAGGAAAAAATGGAGACGCACAATTACAGGAAGGGATAAATGCAGGTGAGGCAGTTCCTCAAGAAGAAGCAAGAACAGAGAGAGGAGAAGAAAGGAAGGAGATAGCATGCGATAAAGCCGCACAGAGAGAAGACGACAAAAATCAAGAGAAGGTAGAGGAAGATGAAGAAACTAATGAAGATAGGAGGGGAATTGAAAAGTTTAAAGCAAAAGAAAAGGCCCGTGAAACAAAGAAAGAACGTTTAGATCAGGGAAATAAGAAACGACAGGTTGACGATGATGGTGATGGCGATGGCGATGGCGATGGCGATGGCGATGGCGATGATGATGATGACGATGACATGGAAAACGAAAACGAAAATTCAGTAAAAGATGACGTTAACTCAAAACTGCCAACAGGAGTACAATTGAAAGAAAAGGCAAATGCGATAGAGACAGAAGGATTCGAATGTGGAAAAGACGGAGAGAAAGAAGGGGATGACCAACCTTGCAACTCCCTTGGTTTTCAATTTGATGCTAGTATCATGGAAGACAACAGGATTCTTGACACTGACGAAATCATTAGGTTTGATACCAGTTCCCCTTTGGGTGAAGCGACAGCGCACGATCTCTATTTCAATGTGGAGAGAAATGAAGGTGTCAGTAAAAGTGGCGGCTGGCAGTTTCAAAATGTAAGAGAGATTAGGAAAAAGATCAAGAACTTAACCCAAAGAAAGCTAAGACAAGAAGACATGATGAATGAGAAAGAAGCTGCCGAGGTAACTTGTGAATGAAGTTTTTAGTATTATCTGCTGGAATCATTACTTTCTACATGTAATTACTTCTATCTGCCATTGTAGGTATATGTAATCCTTTTGGCACGTTAAGGTTAGCTGATTGTCATACCATACCACACTTGCTCCATAAATTAGGTTTGTGATGTCTGGATTTTGCCACAAGAAGACCGCTGGCGTCTGTATCGTAGATGGGGATACGATGCTCGTGAGAACTGTTACGAAGTTATTTCGGATTTTGAAGAAATATTTGATGGCAAAGCAAATGAACTCCAAGATCTTAGAAATCAAGAGGATCTCCAAATTCTTCGCGAAAAAGATGTCATTGGAATGACCACCACAGGTAACTGTAGTACAGAATTACTCACAGTCCAAGACATTTTAAAACATTACAAAAGTTAACAACACGCTCTGATTGGTGTCAATGTGCCCAAGGTCAGTGTCACGTTCATCGCGCGTCAAATCAAAGTACACGTTAATTTGGGGATCGCGCATTATTTATGGCCTGGAGTTAGTTGGTGGACGGGGTATAATAGCACCCTCTCATCCTTTTCCACGTGTAATTAAATTAATGTGGCTTACAACGGTTTGCCCTATTTTTCAGTACGTTTCCTTTGATAGCTTACTGAATGATAAAATATTTTTTCACTTTACAATTAGTCATCAATTTAATGTCATTATTATAGAATCCTCTTAAAAAGCTCTAAGTAGAGTATTGATCCATTGCACAATAATATCGCCACGAGCACATTAACATTGTCAAAGGAATTAGGTTTTTTAACAAATTGTTAATAAGTGACAGGTCAATGAAATTGTTTGCTTAGCATTTTGTTTTCACCGATGCTAAACTAACTTTTGTTTTTATGTAAGCGTAGGAACATTGTATTTTCCAACTTATTTTTGGGTTTAAGTTTTTTTTTAACATACTCCAATTTGCCTTTCTATACTACCAGTTAGTAACTTTTACACTGATAGCCTTGGTAGTAATGAAATTATAATATTTAGGCTTATATTGTGTTCATCATTGATAATGTTGTAGAAGAAACATTTGGTGGTTTTCACTCATTTAAGGTTAATTCAAGTCATCACTTTGTCTTAAACGTGAGCTCCGTTTTTATGCTTGTCTAAATTTACAGTCATTTTTGAAAATTAAATGAAAAGACACAAAGCGTAAAGCGCATCGCACTTCTCGGTTAAAACATAAACTAGAATTCTGTTTCGCAACTTTGAATTTAGCCTTAAAGGGTTTTCTTTTTTATAAGGTGCTGCAAGATATCACAGCCTGTTACAAAAGCTGCAGCCTGCGGTTACCATCGTCGAGGAAGCCGCTGAGGTATTTGAAGCGCATACTGTCACCGCCTTAACACCTGGATGCCAGCAACTCATTCTCATTGGTGATCATCAACAACTTCGTCCCAGTCCCACAGTCTATGAACTCGCCAAAGATTACAACTTGGATGTGTCACTGTTTGAAAGAATGATAGAGAACAATCTGGAGTATAAACGACTGTGTCTACAGCACCGTATGCGCCCGGAAATTGCCAAGATGCTAGACCACATATACGTCAACCCGAGACTGCAAAATGATAAATCTGTATTGGCTTTTGAAGACATTAAGGGAGTGGAGCGAAATTTATTTTTTGTAGATCATAACGAGGAAGAGGTACATGTAATAATGTAGTTACGTTCCCCTACATTTTCATAAGGTTGAATAAAGGTAACAATGCATCCGTCTTACGGAAGTAAAATAACTTTTCAAAAGTAGAATTCAGGTAGAATTTTTTTTTCGCACTTCATTGTTTTGTATGTAGCAAAGCCGACTTCTGTTCGGCAAATTTAACCTCTCGGGGAATTTTTTTTTTTGTCAATGAGATTGTGAGAGTACCCTCTTTACAAAGGCGTGGAAGTTAACTGAGTAGTTTGTTCTAAAAGTGTAAGGTCTTACCTTCCTGATATTTTCTGGAGCTAACTTGTGATCGGCGTTTTTTTGGGGGGGGGGGGGGGGGGGTAGGGCAAACGCCTGATGCATTTACTTCACAAGTCGTCTGCCGCTCCCTAAAATTGAAGTATCTGTCTGCATTTGTGTTATCGTGTCATATTCTACCGGAAATTCCAGCGGTTTGCAACAAAGGCGGCTATTATCGAAATGTATTTATGTACTCTCCAGATTTCCAGGCAAGCGGTGAATGTTAAGTTGATACAGTAGTCGTCAGCGGAAACGTCACATATTTTAAGGACCAAGTTAACACTCCTGTTATTGCGAATCTTCCCTAATCGTTGCCGTGAGGTACGATAAACCGTCAAGTCAAATAAATTAATAATTCACTGAAAACAATAGTGGAGTACCGGAATTCTTTATTTTACTGGAAGTGGTCAAAAGTATAGCAATTGATGCTGTGGAAACAAATCTTTCATGACCTTTCATCAGTTCGCAAAATTGTCAATAATTATTTTTGACACACTTTCACGCAGTTGAACTCGATCGGAAATCAAAGACAACAATTCTGCCTTGTATGAACAAGAAAGCGTTGAAGAAGAAATGGTGGATATCCTTACCAGTGACAAATAACAACTCGTCCTCATCTCAGCTGTAAAGATTTTTCTCTATTCAATGTTGACTTGATTCACTAAAAAAAATTGATATTTTTTCTTAAAACCTGAGCTTGCTGTTAATAGAATTGCTCGATCATCTTGTGATTTCTGTCATGAAGAGATGAAGGTGACAGAACCTTTCTAATAGCTCCGGACGTCAGATATGTTGCTTGACAATCGGTGTAGGGTCCCGAAGGGTCTTGTTTTTCGAAAAATCAGACAAAAATCTAGATTCTGTACTATGGGCAGACGACGCGTAGCTATGGGCAGACCGTCGGCTTCCAAACAAAAAGGGAAGACAGACACCTGATTTTTTTCGTGCATGTTTTAAAGTGCAAATTGCAAATATTTCTTTTCAATCACATGAAAGCAGTTACATGAACTGTCTTGCAAGAAAGAAATAACAACAGCACGTAGAGTATACCTTGATATATCGGGTAATTTACTTTACTTTTCTTTTTAAAAGCACGAAAGAGCCTTATCATGCCAACACTTGACTCTGACCTACGCTTGCCCTTTGCAGGAGTTAGTACGTGAAGGGAGAAGCAAGTCCAATGACCACGAAGCCAAATTCCTAGCAGCTCTGTGCCGTTACCTCATTCAGCAAGGTTACGAGAAAGAGCAGATCACGATTCTGACAGCCTACAGTGGTCAGCTTCTCACACTTAAAAACGAAATGTCAAATGACGAAGCATGTTTTGGGGGAGTGCACGCGACAGTAGTAGATAACTTTCAAGGGGAAGAAAACGACATAATTCTTCTATCGCTTGTTCGGAGTAACAAGATTGGGTTTCTCAAGATAGCAAACAGGGTGTGCGTTGCTTTGTCTCGAGCTCGAAAGGGTTTCTACATCATTGGAAATGCATCGCTTTTGGATGAAAATGATCCCGACCTCTGGAGAAAAATCTTAACAGATATGCAGGAGCAAGGAAATCTTGGGAGAGAATTGAAACTTGTGTGTCAGAATCACCCTCAAAATGTAATTCTTGCTTCAAGTGCCACACATTTCAATGGTGCGCCACTTGGGGGCTGCATGGAACCATGCCAGAAGCGCATGCCCGACTGTGAACACACCTGTCCATTTCTGTGTCATCCAATAGATGTGGATCACAAGGAGGAATTCGCGTGCCGCCAGCCATGTACCAAGATTATCTGCGAACGTGGGCATAGATGTCCAAAGACCTGCAGTGAAGAGTGTGGTCCATGTATGGTCTATGTGCCAAAACGTATTCCAAGCTGTGGACATGAACAGAATGTTCCATGTTCTTTGGATCCTTCCAAATTCAAGTGCACACAGGTGGTATCAAAGCAGGCCTATCCCTGTGGTCATTTTCAAGATCAAGTGCTGTGTTCAGTGTCTCCTAGCGACATTTCATGCGAGAACCCATGTGGTATGCTCGAGTGTGGTCATCCTTGCCAAGGTATATTAATTAAAAAATTACTTAAAGAAATTTAATGAGGGTCACAATTATTCCTGGCTAAAGGAGGAGGAAGGTTTGATGTGATACATAACTACGCGATGGTCACATATGGTGATAATGGCAGATTGGTAATATTCTGTATCAAAATGTATCTATTACTTTTTAACTTTAACTAATTCTTCATATTCGCAATTCAACTTTATGAAAGCAATCAAATAATTGGGTTTAATTTGATTTTAACATAAGAGGGAAACTAGAAACTAGCGCCTTAAGTTTCCAAGATAAGTGGACGTAAACACAACAGCAACGGAGCTTACTTTTTAAAAGTAATTCTTTGTTTTGCTTTCAATGATATTATCAGGTGCTTTAGCTCAAAGGTTACTTTAAGGCTGGGTCTTTTGGAGCGATTACGCAATAGCCTAAAATAGCCTAACTACGGAATTAGCAAACAAAATCTGTCTATATGGTACAACCGATCATGAGTGACCGTGACACTAGTTTCTCCACATTGGGAATTGACAACAGAGAGCCTCTAGAACGGCTTCAGCGACGAGCTGCGAGGAGCATATGCGGTTTTTAGCCGCACAAACTGGTTCAAACCTTACGGAATTGGGTTGCAATTTTACGGTACGCCACCACGCAGGTCGCGGACCCATACGCTACATGCACACGGTCTTGAAATACTGAAATTATGCAACGTAATTGTAATCTTGAAGTAGCAAAGATTTGTTTTTTGCTTTCATGGTGCACTCTTGACATTGCACTATCTGGAATTTTTCAGGCTCTGGCTTCTCAAGATCGTGTGAACGCAATTACTGCTTTTTATCTTTTCTCCTTCTGTTATGGACATTTTGATGTATAGAGGATAGTTTTTTTCTTTATGAGGGTCTTTTCTTTTTTTATCATTTCAATTAGGATCCTTTTTCTGTAAATTTTGGAATACACCTATTCCTTTAAATGTACTTTTCAGGGCCGCCTTTGATAGCGGTCTAATGACTGGAGAGGTTACCCTGTCAAAATATCGGTCTTAATTATAATATTACTACTTTAAGATAGTGCCTTCTTGTCTTTAATTTAGAGGTCCTGTCAAAGGCTTTAGCTTAGTTTGGCCAGTACCTTACGCATGTGCACAGCCATATCACCCCGGCATCAAGGACGAAACAGCTGTCCATGGCTGCCACTGCCGGGGTGATATGGTTGTGCGCATGCGTAAGGTACTAGCCATACCGCGGAGTTGGTAGTGTGTGCTTCAGTTCATAATTGTGGTGTTACTTCATTTTCTCCTCACTTCTATCAAGTTATAGAAGCAACAAAATTTACAAATTTCCTCGCCTTAACTTATCGCTAAGACATCAAGCACGTGATCTTTCAACCCATTTCATAAATTTCGTTTTCCAGTTCCCTACCGTTTTCCAGTTCCAATATCTAGATGATACTATTTCCACTTTTCTCCACAGGTAACTGCAGTTCTTGTGAACAAGGACGACTACATTTGCCCTGCAACTCTCTATGCAGCCGCACCTTGTTTTGCGGCCATAGCTGTAAGGATCTTTGCATTAAGGAATGTCCGCCATGTTACGAGCCTTGTAAGCTTTGTGGTCATCCTTGTCAGCATCCCACAAACGAACACGAACGCCAGTTGTATTGCACACGTCTTAAATGTACGGAACTTTGTGAAAATCCTTGCAAGAAGCAAAGAAGCGATCAGCCATGTCAAAAACAACTATCCTGTGGACAAATTGGTACTGAAAGTGTTACTGAGCCTTCCACTAAGTTGTGCCAAGTCTGCAACAAAAATGCTGACGTGGTAAGGGAGGATGAAGCTGGGGCGATGTTTGTACAACTGATCGACTGTGGCCATGTTATTGAGAGAAAGGAGCTGAATCTATGGATGACCAAATATGAAGGTAGCCAGGATGAGAATAAGGATATTGAAATCAAGCAACGGCGGTGTCCGAAGTGTAGTACACCTATTTTCTGCAACCTATGTAATGCAAACATCGTAAGCGACGCTATCGCTGATTTTGAAGCTGTAAAGCGTCGGATTTTTCTCTCGAACGTAGTAAGCAAGCCACAGTTAGAGAAAATTCAAAAGCTCAAAGACTCAGAGCTTCAAAAACTCAAAGATTTTGGAATAAACATCGGGGAAGGATTAAGAGAAACTATTGGCAGCAGGCCTGTCACGACTGAGCAGCTAACCACGTACCAAAATCAACTCACCTTCCTCTCGTTTCTTGGCAAGGTTTGGAAAAAATATGGTGATGCAATTGAGGAAAAAGAGCAACTACAATTGCGCATATATCTTCTTGCTTCGAGAGTTGTGGGAGAAAGAGTTTGCTTTAGTGAACAGGAAATCAAGGAATTTACTGAGGAACTTTTAAGGACGGAGCTGCTCGCCCATTTGAAATGGTTGACGACTGCACTAGGAGGCGGAGCTATCACCCTCATCCCCGAGGACAGTGAGAGGATTGAAGTTATAAAGGATGCATTGGAGTCAGGAAAAACAATTGGTAACTGCAACGTTTTCCTATCATTTCTTGGCAGTAGTATATAGTGGTACTGGTACTAGTGGTGGTGATAAAGGACAAAAACAATAGAACTGTAGAGAAGCAAAAAACGGAGGAGGGAAAATGGAAAATTATTTTTGGTGAAAGAAAGAGCTAGTTTGCCTTCATCCTCATTAAATATGCCCGATTTTCGCGCCAAGAATCCGAGAGTAAACCGGACCTTTAACAGGAAAATGAAAGCGGCAGGAGATAGAACGTGCATAATAACGTGAAGACTAAGTGATTTTAAGTCACAGGCGACTATTCCTTCTGTAAAATCATTCATATTATTACTTCCCGTTCGGGCAAACCCAAGCAGGTCGTTTGTTCCTATTGTATTAGAAATACACGAAAGGGAAGATAATGAAACTCCACCACATTTTATTTTTGAGTTTAAGACAAAAGGCTATGACATCATTGGCGCTGATGTATTTTTTTCAGCAACATAATGAGATTCCCCCGCCAAAAAAGGTTAATTCAGTTCCTAATATACTACTCAAGGCACTGACCAATACCGGCACGTATTCTGATAAGAGCTAACGCAATATTTTTTTCACCGAAACTACCAAAGGAACCTAAATTTTCAGAAACTGCAGTTTTTTTCATCGTTAGATCGCCAAAGAAGGAAACAGTTTATCGCTGATGTCAACAAAATACATGCACAGCGGTTGAGTGGATTTAACAGCAAAGGAAAGATGGTTGACTCCGAGTCGAGCTTGAAAGAAAAGATTGTTAGGAGAAAAAATCTCACCGAAGGACCATGGTTCAAATGCGTTAAAGGTAGAACTGCATGTATACTTTGTAAACAAACCCTCAAATAAAGTAGCGACATACTTTGTAAAATATACGGTTAACTTGTTCAAGATTCGAACAGTTGGTAACCGATGAACGTTTAACTTAGTGTGATGTAGCCGTAGTTGTAGTCATCAAAGCTCTTCAGTGTTTCCCCTATTTTCATTTTAAACTGTGAGCAATTATGACTGCACGGATGAACCAAAATTCCTTCCTATGTATGAAGTTAAAAACTAGATTTTTTTGAGAGTAAAGGGTTTCCTTCCATAAACTTCACTTAACTCTGGTTGTCCTCGTTTTGGTGGAAAATGTTCTTTTCCCTCCTTTTTCAGTTTATTCTCTCAGCAGAACTCTCTTTTGTTCGCATTTCAGAGTAATTGTTGAAGTAGCAGACTTAAAATAAATCTACATGAATTCATGAGTTATCCCCTTTTAATAATATATTAAATCATCCTCCTGTCTTTTTTTCCCTCTCGCACAGCTCACAGATATTCTGCCGCTGAGCGCATTGATGGAGAAGGCAATATTAAGTGCCCAGAATGTCATGCAGAAGCTAAAGGGACTGCTGCCAAGTCACAGGTAGCGATATAAAACGCATTATATGTAAAGTGCTTGACTTAATGTGCCTAACAACTGCTGAAACGGCTAAAAATGTTAAGAAGTTCCTCGTTCTCCTAATAAGACTCGGGTTTACCAATTCCTGTAGAGAGCTTAAGCAGCAACGACGGCGACGGCTACGAAAACCTCACTTAAAAAGTGAATTTGCACTACTTCAAAATTTATCGCACATATTCCACCTCGTTTAATTCGTCAAATGTTGGCGGATTTTTCTGGAGCTGAATTCTAAAGGACAGTAACGAAGTTTAGGAAAAGAAAAACAAAGTCGTCGCCTTGTGTTCCTGTCCTCGACAAAAAGTGAAATAAAGCACTTTCACGTTGTAGTCGTGCGACGACGGCAAAAAAAAAAGTACAAAAAACGTGATTCACGTGCAAAGTTGTTGTTTTTGCCAATCTAAGGGCCTGTTTACATGGAGTAGGGGGACCCCAGTTAGGTGCGGTAACCTGGTTAGGTGAGGTAACCCGCCTGTCCATACAATCTCTCATTTTGATTTGATCACTTTTACATGGTAGATGGGGTAACCTGCCGCATGTTACCTCACCTATCTGGAATCCCCCACCTCCTTGTCAACAGGCCCTTAACTTGTTGCTTTTTTGCCGTTCTCGTTGCCGTTGCCGCCGTCGTTACTTAAGCTCCCTAATGATACTACGGAGCGAAAACGTCCCTTATTTTTCATTACTTCGTCAAATTTACGGGAACTCTCCTGGAGGAGTAGAATTGATAAGAAAACATAAATGAGTCTTTCAGATCTGAGAAGCAGTTGCTAAGGGGTTCAAAATTAAACCACGTATAGTAAATAGAAAAAAGATGCTAGTAAAATGATGTTACTTAGTAGAAACTTCCAAAAAACTATATAGATTTCAGTTTCAACAATTCCACTGGAATTTTGACACGTCCAAATATGGTTAACCTAGTAGACACCCCTATGAAGGGTGTGTTCCTTTCGGCGAATCCAAAAACGGATTTTTGATCCTAGATTTGCCAGATTTCTCGGTCGAAAGGAACGTGAAATCCGAAATTGGATTTGTAACCTTGGTAACCTTTCGCCAACGCGTGCAATATGCACGACAGCCTCTCAAAAAATGACGTGTTTTCTACTGTTTGACAAATTATGCGATTATACCGTGCAGAATTTAGTGGTCGGCAGTTAGAATAGCGACGATGGAACATATAAAACAGACAAAGAAAGAAGCATTAAAATTGAAAATTATCTAAAGAATGTCGGCCAGTTTGATCCAGTTCCATAGCTCGGATTTTTTTATGTAGCACGATCGAATGCCTGTCGCGTCTACAAGCGAGTTTGTAGTTAGATAGCAGTTCATTTGTTACTTTTACTTATTTCTGATTTCAAGCAATCTTTAGAGACAAATGGTTAGTATATGGATATTTTAATGTACCAGGAACAATCTTCTAATGTTTTCAGATGTTTTGCGGCAAATGAAAGCAACGAGGAAACTCTACGGCCTCCGTGGGAAAACTTCAACTGAAAATACCGCTGGATCATCTGACTAATTTCGGATCCACTGTGAATGGAACAGCGTAGATCACTAATCCGTTAATCTGGATTTGGATTCTTCGGATTTCAAATCCAGTGAATCCTTTTTCAAAAAGGATTCACCAGATCAAAAATCCGGATTTGGATTTGCCGAAAGGAACGCGAAATCCGTTTTTAGATCTAAAATCCGTTTTTGGATTCACCGAAAGGAACACACCCGAAATGAGGGGGGTTATTTATTGTGTGATTTAAGTCAAAATTCGTGGTTTAGAATCGCTTAAGATGCCAAATGAAAGAGAAATTAAGCACACTTGAAAGAAATCAACTGGTCCTACGTTGCCTCTCACTGACTGTCGTTTACTATAATTTTCAGACTGTTGCCAGTCGAGGGCTTATGCGGTCACATAAAAAGGAAACAAGAAAAGAAGGAAGAAAACCACGCGATAGTAACACGTGGCGACGACGTCCCGGCAAGAATGCAAAGCTCAGTATATAGTGTAGACACTATTATTACACAAAGCCTCTTTTATCGAGGAATTAGAAAAATCTGTTCAAATCTAGAATGGCTATTTCGCGCTGTATATTTTACTAGGGAGTATCTCTTCACCGAGATTTCTTCTTTTGTATCTCAATCGAATACCTCTATTCATAGGCGTACGGGCTATTTTTGGCCAGGGGGGGCGGTAAACCATTTGCCCAAAAACTTTTTGTAAGTTGCTCAAATTTTTACAAATCGGTTGAACAGACACGAGGGCCGATGCATCAACATAGGCCGTACTGGCATATGAAAATGGCTCGATACAGTTTTTCAGGGTCAATCCCTGCCCAAGTTTGAGCATAAACTACGTCGCCATAAACAAACATTTGGAAAAATTGCCACCACAGTTGTATTAGATAAAGATGAAAATTTGTTGTGATCAGGGTTGCAATGACATCGGAGTTGCCATAGCAACGAAATGAAGCCATTACCTATTATGTTTGCAGCAATATTTCTCCCGTGGGAACTGTTCTTCCAAAATCGACCACAGGAGCTTTTTCCTCCAATAGTCGCTTCGATGTTGATGAAGTTAAAACGGGATCTGTAACAGTGTTATCGAGATATTTTGGGATAAAGTTTTTATCATTGGAAATACGGTAAAAAAAGGAAAATCTTGATGTTTGGCTGTTATCTGTAGAAAACGATGCGCTTTTGACATGCAAATTCACCTCATAGTAGTTTCAATCTTTTTAAAAACGTGGTTGAAAGATCATGGAGATAGCTCCGGCCAATTGCTACAAAGAAGGATTTGATTAGTTTGTATCACGGCGCTCTTGTTAGCGGTTTTGTAAACATTTCAGTCTACTTTAACAAATTAGTGAATAATTTTTAAACCGCTCGATAGATTTTTTTAAAAAAAATATGATTCTTCTCGTAATTCAAACTGAGAATTAGTCAGCCACGTCTTCACTTTCAGACCCATTGCTGATGCTATCTGCTACACTGTTCTACGAGCGGAGATGATTCTAGAAAGTTAGGCAGGAGTTTATTCTAATCAATTCACGACTGGAAATAGCCCATTGCAGTACAGTGCCCAACAATAAAAAAAATCAGCATATGATACCTTTCCCTTATAACCATGCTGAAACTCGTCGGGTGCTAGGCAGCCACTGTCTCGTGTGAATGTAACTGGATTATTACGCCGACTTCAGGTTTAAATAGGAAATATTCATCTCTTCAAAATAATAATAAAAACATGCCGACGTCTTTAAAAACTGGCTTTGCCCAAATTTTCTCGTGCTACCCAAAAAATCTGGGTTGCCCAAAATTTGGGGGGGCTGCAGCCCCCCTCGCCCCCCCGGCCCGTACGCCTATGCCTCTATTTACAAAAATGGTACATGTATGTGAAATATAGTTGCCACTCAACTGCACTTTGGTGAAACTATTTCATGATGACCATATGCCACAAAGTAAAGAAAATCGGTTTCGTTTCTATTTACTGCAATAACTAGAAGGCTGACGGTTAGCCTGGTAAGAGAGAAAAAAAAAAGATTAAAAACAAAAGTGCGCCTGCCTTAACTTTCATGTGTGTTTGCTTCAAGTGGATTTAGGACAACCTTCGCTCAGTATTCTCTTTAAAAAAATCAACAAATCAATCAACTATCAATCAATGTGAAATTATTGCCAGGTTAGCTGAGTATTAAATTTTCAAACAAAAGCACTTTATAAATTCCCTCTCGTAAACGACGTGATGATTTAAGCTAGGTTTACACCAATTTTCGATCACTTGCTAAGAATCATCGCGTAGATGGAGAACAAGTATTTAGACGATAAATTTGGAAAATAAATAGACTGGAGAAGATTTTTCCGGATTTATAAATGTTTTGGAATTTGTTACATTAAGGGTATTCGGATTCTCAGGCGTTCATACTGAAAACGTATTCGGATTCCAATCCGTTAAATCCGGGGAAATTCATCCGGGATCTGTTAACAAGCAGCTTGCCATCAATGTGACAATTTAAAAGCGGTCCTCTATTACCGGAAACTCGCCTGATAGCGGGTGAAAAATTACCTGGATTCGTTGGAAGAATAATTGACACAACAAAACATTTCGGATTGAAATGAGTAATTGGGTTCTCTCTAAATTTGGTCCTGTGCTCGTCGAAGACGCCACCAAAGATCCAAGCAGTTGCAGGTATAGAGCGTATTCACTCAGGTGGCCAGCCTCTATGCAAATTTGTTGGAAAAAAAGAAAGCATTTACATAAGAAAAGAGTTCAACTCCCACAGGATTTTCTTGGTACACCAATATGGCCGCCGTGACGTCATGTGAATACGCTCTTTACGACAAAACGAGTCCAGTGCCAAAATGGGCTGGATTCGTCATGAATCCGGCAAATCTTCTCTACTGTAAACCCAAGCATAGAACTAAACGTCTCGTCTTATTATTACCTAAGAAAGTGATTTTTTATGAACGAAGTTCTGCAGGATTCGTCTATGGAGTAAAGAGTATGCAACACAATGTTTAAAGAGAAAGAAGAAAAAGAAAGTGTAGAGATATGAAATAAAATGTTCAGGCATCCAAAACTAAAGGTAAAAATTCTCAAAGTTCTTTAGCACTAGTGTACATTACGTAAGAACAATTTGTCACGCAACAAAAAAATAAATTTGAAACCGTCCGGTGGAAGAAGGCAAGAAAATGAAATGTCATTAAAGACTACCGTACCGTTTTGGTACACCAATATGGCCGCCGGAAATCATTAAAAACATCTGGACTTCACGTTTTCTCTAAAAACTCTTTCTTTTCACTCGAGAACTGGCATAAGTGCGCATAAACATATCTTCTAATAGCTGAAACGGTTATACTGCTGAAAATCAAGAGGAGAGACTTTTTTTCAACGAGAAAGCATTCCTATTTTGGTGTCACACACTGTGAAAACTCGGAAGTTCAAATTGCTGTATTGTCGAAATGAAACATGCTACGGGAATGGAAACTTGTAAAAAGATTTAATTTCAGTTTATCTTCAACCTAGTGTAAATAAGAATTCGTAAAACCTCGCTATTTTGACTTAACAATTTGATGACGTCACTGTGAAAACCATCTATTGACAGTGAAAAAACAAAAAACATTGATTGTCTCTCTGCCCGAAAGGGCTTTCATGACGAGTGAAGTATATCCGTTGCACACCTTTCACAAGTGAGCTTACGCAATAAGACGGCAGAAAGAAGAGGAAGGCAAAGAGAAGCGGGAAAAAAGTCAAGAATTTTCCTTTTTTCACGAAATTACTTCTTCAACTAACAGGAAACACCCCAGCCGTCATTGATACAGAAAACTTAAAAATCTCGTTTCTATCGCTTACTTTGACATTACCTTAGATTCAGTCAGTTTAAAGAATAAACATTATGAATCTTCGACCACTGAACGTCAAGAAATCTGACAGGCTCTCACCGACGTAATCAAACTTTGTCAATTCAAGACATTCAAGTATCAAAAATCCCTTGAAAAGCTTCCGATAGAAGCTTCGTTTGACTCGGCATGTCCTTTGATGTTCCCAAGTTGTCATTTAAGGTTTTTTTCTACGAAACTTAACAGATAGTAAACTGCATAGCAAAAAAAAAATGTTCAAACAACTAGGATAATAAAAACAAGAGCACTAAAAAAGCTAGCTTTCACTTACTTCCACTGTCTTTTGCCACTTTTACAAACGTCTTCCTTTTTTGGACGTTAACGTTAGGTCAAAAATAAATTGTTCTGAATTTTGCTTTACTTGTGAAATATATTAGAATCAAACTGCGTGAAATTAAATTGTTCCATTAAAAAAACAAAGAAAAATAGTTCCTTTGACTTGACTTGAATATTTGTTCAAACAATTGAATGACATCAAAGAGGACACTGAAACCCTGATCATAATTAAGTTCTCTGATGCTATTGAAGTCGGCTATCAAATCACCAGATGATACCTAGGGTGTGCATATTGCGCAACAAAAGAAAGAGGTTTGCGAATTAGCAGCTGCGACACACCTTGATCATCATATCTTAGGTGCCTTAGTTTGAGTTTCGCACTTTTGTGCACAATTTTGCAATAACGCTCACTTTTACCCAGTTGTTTCGTTCTTGACATGCCATACATCTAGTAGTTGTTTCGTAAAGTTCTCACCGCAAAGTGAAAACACTTAAATTTTCAAAACACCCAAATCGAATTTTGTGTACATTGCAAAGATTAAACTCTTAGAGGAAAATACTGCTCAGTAACTTTCACAAAAAAAATAGTGCGGTTTTGGGTTTTTGGTACTTCCAACGCCCCCCACCCCACAACCCCTCACGGCCCCCGACAGAGGGGTTTTTTAATAACGCCAGTTCTCGTCCCAATGTTCAAACCCTTGGGACAAAGGTGTTTTACCAGCCGCTCCGCGCTGCAAGTCAATCTTAAAATGCCCAGTCCTAGCAACCGGTAAACATTGTTTATCGTCATCATTATCACGTACCAATATCAACTTGACTTACTTAAGATTTGGAGGTCTATTGATTGTCGGAAACACGGTCTAATCTGGACTTACTTCAAATATCTGGCTCCTTCCTCTTAATACATACTTCTGATAAAATTATAGGGCACCTTTTGCATACGAAAAACACAAGACGCAAACCCTTTTAGTTAACAACGTACAGAGAAGTAAAAGAAGTAGATGACCCATGGAACGCTGATGGATTTTTCAAAAAAGAAGCAACCGTCAAAAAAACAAAGTGTCATGACCACCGCACAAAACAGTTCTTATGCCACCCTGATACTTAATCTTACGGACACTGCTTTAAGCTAATAGGTTTTTTTAAAAAAAGATTTCAAATATCAGCGGTGCATCCGAGCAAAATCTGAAAGGGCAAATATTTCGTTCGGGGTCTTTCCATACATAGTAAATATATTAAGTTAATAATTAAACAACCCTTAGTTACTTTCGCTATTCTACCCACCTCCATACACTGCTTCCTTCATAAGAGTACTAGCATTATACCCATCTTTATCAGGATAAGAACGTCTAATTTTGAACCGAGGCTAAGGCATCACTCATGGAACTTTCCGCTAATCTGGGCCCGATTTGAGCCCTACAGGTTCAGTCTTCAGATGAATCAAATAGGCCAGAGGCCAGAGATATACAATTTTCATTTCTCTCTGCATTTAGTGTTATTTACTGACCTTCAACCTAAGCGTTTTAGGGATGCTCTTAAGTTCCACTTTTCGCATTACAATCTCAGTCTCGTGTTCTGTTAATACACATGTTTGGCAGCGAACGAGGGAAATCTCGGCTGCTTCGCTGCCTCGCCATGGCTTGGCCCGTCCAGAGACTCACTCATATAACGACTAAAAAGGGATTGCCGGTAATCTATAGTTTAAAAAAATGTCAGAAGCTGCCGTTTTTTGATTTAATAAATTTTTTCTTCGACTTTTTCCTAATTTTTTTCCAGAGATCAGATGAAAGAAAGTACCAGTACCATTTACCGAAATTTTAAGGCAAACAAGTAAAAAACTCTAACATGCGGCATTTTCCTTTCAATTGACTTTTCTTTCTGCAACATTTAAGTCACTTCCTATGATTGCGCTTATTAAGCTTATAATTGACGTCTGGCAGTCGATTAGCTCAAGCGCGTGATGGATTTTCTTAGAAATATATCTGCACGTGCATTGATAAGAACAATTCCCTTCCTTTTATTAGTTTGTTGCTCCCAGTCCTAATTAATCTACACAATGTTTTATACATGTGAATAAGGCTGTGTCTTAATTAGCTGGTGAGATCAATTTTTAACAGTGTTCAGTTCTTGCTAAAGGTTTAGATAACTATTGTTTTAACTTCCTTTCCCACAAAATGTTAACTTGCACAGTCAAAAACTGAGTTCGGTGCGCGCTCCGTATCTAACTTTTCGATACCTAGGAAACTGAACGATTGAATTTACTCCACCACTTAAAACCCTGTTCAGGAAACTAATACTCAGCCCATGTGCAACAACGCCGTACAGCCAGCAAGACAAGCAAAAAAGAGAAACATAATTCATAAAGTTATCATCTACTTCCGACGACAAAATTCACTGCGGATGTCCATTGTTGACTGAAGAAGTGTAATTAAAAAAACAATTTGGATTCAAATTCAAGCGACATATCAGGAAATTGTTTTTGTTTCATTTTTGCCGTCATAAAAATGACAAAGGCCAAAACTTTTACAACATATCCATATGGATTTTACTTGTAGCTACTAAAATTTGACAGGCGAGATGAATTGAGTAAACTATTTACCTTTACGACTTGCCAGCTTTGTGTGCGATATTGACAGAGGCAAAAATAAAACAAAATTGGTCCGTGTCTATCTCATATTTTGTGGTTTTTTAAAAGCACGTTCATGTATCTATGATGACGAACTCTCGACAGGCTGTCTAATGGGTAACCAAACATCGTGCGCCAAATTACTTGAGTCTGAAAATGAATAGGCGAATAACAGTCAAGTCAACTTAGAAAGGACTTGCTTCGCGGCATAGCTACTTATAAGATCAGGCAAGTAACGAAATCATGAATGAGAGCAACGGCACCAACTTATATTCAGCGCAATATCCATATAACTTTACAGAAAACACTGCTACCAATTTAACTTCAAATTTATGTGATTTTCCTCCATCTGCCAAAAACCTCGCTATTTCATTACTGTTAATAGGAATCTGCATCGTCACCTTTTTCGGAAATTTAGCCGTTTGTGTAACAGTGTATGCTAACAGGGCTTTGCACAGCACCACAAATTTCCTTATCGTTTCGTTGGCTTCCGCAGACCTGCTGGTTTCCCTTCTCTCTATGCCGTTCAGAATCTACTATATGCTACACAATGAAGTCTGGTGTCTTAACTTCAACGTCTGTGCGCTCTGGATCTGGGTTGACCTGGCTGTCTGTAGTGCGTCCATAGGCAGCCTTGCAGCTGTTTCAATCGAGAGGTTTATCGCTGTCAAGCATCCTCTTCGCTACACAGCTATCTTGACGCGGCGGACCGGCCTTACGATGATCTTGATCGTGTGGTCGTACTCCGCCCTCTGGGCTTCTCTTGGTCACTACAACTGGACTTCCAACCGATGGGAGACATTCAGGACGCACATGGGCTGCGGAAAAAACGATCGTCTTTATTACACGATTGTGTCGAGCGCTGCGTTTTTCTTGCCGCTAACAATCGTCATTGGAGCGTACTCGTATCTCACTAAAGTGGCTTTTCAGCAACGTCGGCGAGTACTCGCCAACATGGTTGGTCCAACGGATGAGGCCGATAAACACCACAAGTCGCTTCGACGATCACGTATCTTGCACGAGCTGAAAGCAGCAAAAATGATGGCGTGTGTGGTTGGTGCTTTCTGCATAAGCTGGTTGCCATTTTTTATTCTCTTGCATTTAAGTCTGTGGCACAGTCTTCAACGAATTCCTGCAGTTGGCACCATTTTTGTTACCATTCTTCCTAATCTGAACAGCTCGCTAAACCCTTTCTTGTACATAATGTTTACAAGAGAACTCCGAGAGTACGTCTGGAAGATGATTAAGGCACTGCCAGGCATCGCACATTACCGCGCTAATTCGAGGAATTCCGTTGAAGGGTCATTTCAAACTCTAAGGATGACCATCGCAAACACAGATTTGCAACAATCTCTCGATCTATCAACGCAATTTATAAAGTGAAAATCACTGTGGCCCTAAAAGTGTAGGCTTTCAGTTGTAATTCTAATATATAGATTTAGCCAGGGCTAAAAGCGAGGCTCCCATTAGTAAATTTATAATTTAAATTAAACAATAAACTTGTATTCGAATTCCACAATTCAGTTAACTTTAGAGCACATTTATGTGACTTTTGAGGGAAAGGCTACCTGATTTTAGAGAAAAATAATTTGCAAACAGCCCAAGAGTGAACCAAATCTTACATCGAGTTGATAGCCTCATATGTACACTCAAAAACTGGTAATCATCTTTTATCACATTTAAGAGCCGTAATGGCTATTGATCACCGTAGATCAATTAGGCTTAGAAAAAAAACCAGGCCAACGTTTTGGCGTTCGTCAAGTTTACTTTGCAAAATCTTGCCAACAAATCTGGGTGCGTGTAAACCAACCTTTTATACCATGGACAGAAAGCAGTATTTCACAATACAAATTGCTCTCATTCAATATTCATAAACTGTTAAAAAAATTTTCCAAAATCACCTATACGGCCATCCGGTTCTCACTTTTGTAGTGCGAGCTGTAGAGAGTGTTTGAATGAACATTAACAGAGTTACGCTCCAAGATAATAAAGAATTTATCATGTTTATTTTTTATTTGATGGTTTAACGCGCGGCATTTTGAGAACTCCTGCAAGCGATGTTCACTGAACGACTGAAAACAATCGGCATAGCGATTAAAATTGCAAGAGAGACTACTAACAATCAATAAAAGAAATATAATTCGGTGAAACATAAACAGAGACAACAATTTTCATTCAGGAAGACAAGTATTAAAGTGTCCCTAAATATCCTGAATCTTCAAGCTTCAAGCTTAAGTTTGCTGAAGTTTATGTTTTAAGCCAGCTTCCCGGTGTTTGTTTTTTCAAAGACGAACTCGAGGCAAGAAAATCGCTCAAAGCTTTCTTTTCCGGCTAGAATTATAACTAAAGATTCTTTGGAACATTTTCTTTCTATTTGCGGTGAGAAACTGTCTAGAGGCTTTTTAAAGTTCTGTAAGATTATATCAAACCAGATACTCGGTGAGATCGTTGTCTCAAATCTAAATTCCCGCATAAACTACGCTCCACTTCATTAAATTAGATACAAAAAACAAACATGAAATACAATAATTTCTCTGGCTTACCATTCGAGATGCAGCTCCTGAAAGTTATCAGGTAAAGCCAGTATCGCTTCAGACTTTGCAATCCTCTCACGCATCAAGCAAGGTGAAAACGAAAACGATGCCATCCGAAATCGGATTTCCGACTTTGACAAGCGACGTTTTCTCAACCAAAAACCCAATAAACAAACTAGCCATGAGTAACAGAAGACTCCTGATAGCAGCTGAATTTCATTTTGTACATCCAGTGGAAAAAGACAGTTAAAAACATCACAAGTTGACACAAAACTCTGTCAGCTTCAGCTGTTAAAGTAAGCAAGATTCAAGATGCTGCATAAATTTTGCGCATGAACTCACCTGTCAAATTTTGACCAATCAGAGCATAAAAATTGGACGTAGAGCGTGACCAACGCGTGACCATTGTGAGAAAAAACAAAAGCAACTGTCTTCCCTGCCTGTAACAGCTGGCTGAATTTTCACGTCCGAGGTCAGTTTGCAATCAAAATTTTAATTGTGCAGCACATAAACACAACATATTTCATATGAATTAAGAAAAAAAAATTGAACTTGAGCCTGCGATCACTTGAAAACTAGTTTACTTGTCAGCGGATAACTTCAAAAAATACTTGACCTCGACGGGTCGACGCCTGAGCCCGCGATACGGTCAAGTGATACTGGTCAGCGGGTACTCTGTTTTGACAGCTGTCAATTGATCAAAACATTGATGTCCAATATGTGCGCATTATCAGTTTTCCTGTGCTCCCAAACTAGTAAAAGTATGAGATTGAACGTTGTTCGCGATCTAGTAAAACAGTTAACTGGTCAGCGGACAGCTTCCAAATAAATCACGTCACCTCGATGAGTTGACACATGAGCCCGCGATATGGTCATGGGATACTGGTCAGTGGCTATCCTGTTTGGACAGCTGTCAATTGACCATATTGTTAATGTCCTATATTAAAGATGTGGACTTGCCAAGACACGCCTGAGACACCCCTCCCTTCCTTTTGATAGTCTCCCCTACCCCACCCATACAATCTGTAGACGCGTACGTACGTACGTACGTACGCTCGGTCAATCACGTGACAACCAAACGAAAAGAGGTTGACCATATTCCATGGGTATGGGGCTCTGTCCCACGCGCGCTTCGCGCGCGCGGGAGCCCCGCTAATAAAAATGGATATCTCATTTAAATAAATGAAGATTAATGAAAAAGTATCTCCGCTTTCTATCTGGGCAATAATTATTTCTACCAGTTAGGAATTTTTAACTATTTCAACGTGTCTAGGGAGAAGGTAATCCATCGCACACGCAATAATCTTTCAACATCGATTTATAAGTTGAATGATTGAGTGACTGATTGGTTGGTTGACTGATGACGTCTTCGCTTAATTCTCCATAAGTTCATACCGTACCTTTGTGGCTCTTTTTAGTCGATTGAACAAATTAAGTTTACAATTACCAATAAACCTCTTTCCGCAAACTTCACGTGGTTTTTTGTTTCCTTATTTCAGCCATACACACACTAAGCACTTTAGAACAACGTTAATTGTGATGACAGAAATGACGTCAAAATTTTCAAAACTCAAGTGGCACCACAACGGCAAAGTTTTGCACATAATGTTAAATGGCGTTTAATTTCTATGTTCGATAAGAATATAAACCATGGCAAATTGTTCGTTGGAATTACAAAGATTAAAGGTAAATGAATGACATCCCGAAACGTTTTTATTAAGCAATACCTCTTTCCTAAGTTATCCCATGAATAACTTTTTAAAGGAAAACAAACTTCCATGGCAGGGTCGGGATAAAAGTATACACGAAGAGGCAAATACGGTCAACTTTCTCAAAGCTACCACCTCCCACAAGCGACCACTTTGTAAATAACCGTTTTATTTCAAAAACTCTCTCGTAAGCGACAACAACTTAAATTTCTTAAACGACCGCGATCACTCTTTAGGCCAGGAATAGACCTCTTTACCTTGTAAGTTTTGTTTTCCCTATAAAGGTCATGTGATAATACGCTACAGAACTGTCCCTTCAAATTTCGTCTAATTCACGCGCATATCTGCGCATAATTTATGCGGAAAAGAGAAAGGGACAAGTTCCCCTGGGACCTCTTTTGGGAAAACAAAACATACAAGGTAAAGAGGTCTATTTTTTTGGTTTTCTGATTCTGGTAAGCGACCAGCCTGCATAATCACGTATGATTCCGGTGGAATGGCATCTAGAAGTTTAGCGAGTGACAACAACATGCGCATTCGGTTACAACATACAAAATCGGTCAGTTAAGGATCACGTAGCTAGACTTAAAATATCAAGTTTAGACACCAAAATAAGCAATTTAGGCTATCATTATTACCAAATGTCCGCATGTAAATTCCCCGTGCATTTCAACTGAACTCCAATCTTCTACCAAGGAAAAGTTATGTGTGAGGACTGTTGTCATCCTTTTAGTTGATTATTGCATGACAAGAAGGCATTATTACCTAAGAAGTATAAGACAGAAAGATTTGACTGTATAAATGGTCTAGTTGTACCTTGTAACTTATTGTCTAAAAAGTTAGCTTTTTGCCGCTTAATTTATATCCCGACCTTTCGGAAGTTTGTTTCCTGTTTTAAAGAGCCTTATACACCGGTTAATTTAGATAGATAGATAGATAGATATATCCCGACCTTTCGGAAGTTTGTTTCCTGTTTTAAAGAGCCTTATACACCGGTTAATTTATGGACAAAGGTCTTCGCACAGTTTTAAATAATAATTATGAAAAAATAACTTTGAACAAGACGGTAAAAAATAATATGTACTTAGATAAATATATTGAAGCGGCCTTCAAAATGTGAAACGTCTTTAAAACAGACTCGGTTAATTGCACCAGAAGTGGAGTTCCTGGGAACGAAGCACTGTTATTGTTTTGTTTAGCTCTATTGGCCTTAATTGGTTTATCGTGCACGTTAAAAGCAAAAAAAACATCCTTGAAATATGTCCAGTTCCCTGTTTTTGCGGGAGCCATTGTTTGCGAAGAAAAACAGGAAAGTTCAGGGCGGTTAAAATATATTCTAAGAGAAAAAATTGAAAGAATTTTCGGTAAGATTAATAGATTCCCTACTTTATCGAATCCGCAACGCCTGTTAAAAATTCATTACTTGTACATTAAATGTATCGTCACGATGGAATACGAAAGTGAAAGCTCATATATCTTTATTCATTTTGTGGCTAAACTAGCTACTCGCACCCCTGTATTAAGTAAAAGAATTAATGTTTGGCTGTTACAGTTTCGAATAGAATGCTCAAGTTGAACATCTTTTTTAAGGTCTCGGTAAAGGAAAACGAGGTGCCCACAGAAAAAAATTCTAGTTGCGCGAGTATTTTCGCTACAAAGGCAAGTTATATATCAAATTAAAGCTAAAAAACTAAATTACCTCATAAAAGATTTTACCTTATCGAATTTCAAAAGGCGCTTAAGTTTTTTGCTCTCGAACTCAGAGATATCGAGTTTACTGCTGAAGCTCCAGCCCTTTCGCGTTGTTAAATATTCACTTCCTTTTTATTGCATCTGATTGACAGATAAAAGACCTAAAAAAGGGTGTGAGGAATTTTCCGATTTCCTTTTGTAACTCATTTTATGTCAGTTTCTTTGCGTAAATCGCGCTCGAGATTCGACTTTTTAGTTTGAAATGCAATAATTCCGCTAATACGAGACATATGCAAATTTCCTCACACCCTTTTTTAGGTCTTTTATCTGTCAATCAGATTCAATAAAAAGGAAGTGAATATTTAACAACGCGAAAAGGCTGGAGCTTCAGCAGTAAACTCGATACCTCTGAGTTCGAGAGTAAAAAACTTAAGCGCCTTTTGAAATTCGATAAAATAAAATCTTTTATAAGGTAAAATAGTCTTTTAGCTTTAATTTGATATATAACTTGCCTTTGTATCGAGAATACTCGCGCGACTAGAATTTTTTAACTGTGGGCACCTCGTTTTCCTTTACCGAGACCTTAATCAAAGTACTAGTTTATACAAAATGGAAAAGTCTCAAGTCATTTCAAAAGAATTTAAAAAATGCTTGTTTTCTGTTATGGTCCTCTTCTTTGCTCATTTTCTTAACGACTGTAGGAAAGAATGAGCTAGAACGATTCCAGATAAATCGCGTGTTAAAGGCAAGAAAAATAACAACCCACGATGGTCCGGGATCGTGACGCCGACTCCTTCTTAATTGAAATGACGCAAGTAGGTTTACAGTTTCAAATTTTCAGTCAAGGTTAACCACCAGCAGCAAGCACGTTCACTCCGAACCTCATCATTTCGACTGCACATCTGTGTTTACCAGGTCAACTTATTATGGCTTAGTTGAAAAAATGTTGAACGTAATTATAAAATATACCTTCGTGAATCAGCAGCAAAGAGGACGAGAATAACACAAAGAATTTTTTCTACTAAAAAAGTTTAACACAGCCTGCGAGCAAGCTAGTTTTATAGAACTATATTGCCTTTCCTTTTATACACACTTCCATTTTGTACAAACAATTATTCGTTGTGATGCAAATATATGTACAATATTATCTTTAGACTGCAATAACCAAGTCAATATTCTCTCCCTCTACAGCTACAGTGCAAGCAAAAAACAGCTTATCTAATCCTTCTCAAGTGATTCATTTTTCTCCAGGCGATGATCCAAAAATTGGACTTCACTTTGCCAACGAAAATTTTAACTGAAATTAAGAGGGCGAGCATTGCATTAAAGTTCAAAAAACATAGCAATCAAGATTTGATACTTTAAAGGTCGTTGGTCGTGTGTTTCTTAACACGGACGTTTTCGTTTTGCATTCTAACAATAACTTTGAGCTTTTTACTATTTTCCGCACACAAATCATTAGCAAAAATTGATAAGCCCTCAGATCTATCATAAACTGAATTACTGAAACTAGACAAAAAAAGATAAACTGCAATTTCGTCCTACTGTCATCAAAATATGAAATATTCTAACCTTGCAAAATTAAAACGCTGTTTCTGTTGCTCAGGAACAGGTGATAAGTAAGAGATGTCACTTCTCTTAGTTAAACATATTTTGTGGTTATATGCAGTTTAATGAAAAAATTTGGTGACATATATTAGCACAGACATACATTTGAAATCGAAATTAAAAAAAATAAAAACAAAAAACAAAAAAACATAACTCTGAATAGGAACGCCAGACCTATCCATCCGTCAGAGCTACATGTAGAGCCCACAAAATGTAATGTAACTGTGAAAATACAAGGTTTTATCGCTATTCCATTCGTGACCAATACTAAGAAATGCTCACAAAGCATTTACTTCTTTCAGCATGGAACTGTGGTATCTGACAATTATTTCTGAAATAAAATTCTGCTCGTTTTAAAAGCATATCTCTATCAAGTAAGCTTAGATTGAAAGAGCATCAATAGTAGACTTCTACATATTTCTCAAATTTTGAGGTAAAAAATTGCAGTTTACAAGCACTTTAAATTTAAGTGCACACATTGTTTAGAATTCATTCCGAGACTTTTGTCAAAGCGCTGTCATCCTACCCCAGGGCCGGACAAACTTTTGTCAAACATCAAAAATGTAATAAAACCGTCAATCAATCCATTTTATACGCGACTCGGGCAAGGCAAAATTGTTCTCAGTAGCGCACTTTTCACCGGAAAAGCCTAAATAACAGGCGAGTTGAATTTTGGTATTTTTAGAGAGAATTTCCCTCTTTCTGGTCCACAAGCGTTGTCAAATTTTGACATGATTGTCAGGAAAAAGGGAACAAAGTCACACTGTAAATCAGATCTAGATGCTAAAACCTGCCTCTATGTTTCAAACAAAACCCTTGGCTGCGGCAAGATTAAATTAAAAGTTTTCCACTACAGCTATAAGTTTACGTTTTTTAAAGTTTCTAAAGTCACTCTAGCCTTTCCTCCTCCCTCGGGTTCCACCGCTAACTATAAGGTCCTTTGTCGTGACGAACAATTCCTGAAATGGGAAAAACGAACATAAAGGATCGCACCAAATGGGTGTTACTGAGATGTCACGCAACAATGAAGCATAGGATAAAATGAACGGGGCTTTTCAGAGATAATGAAACAAAAAAAAATTAAATGTTACATAACACTTCACAGCTTGAAGGAGGTGAACCAGTTGGCTACTTTACAAGCGTGGCCGGCGACTTAAACTGAGTCAAGTCTATAACCGCCCGGCTACGTTACGTCAAACGCTACGTTTATCAAACGTACTACGCGTTAGCGAACGCTAAGATTCAAATTTCATCGACTCTAAGAAAGAAGCCCAATTTCCAGCCTGTTTTCAACCATCACCATTCGAGGGCGTGTACCAAAACCCTAAACACCAAAACAAGCCGGGACACTCGGAAAAAAGCCCGAAACAGCCCAGAAAACCTGTCCAAAGGTAAAGCGAAAAGGACTATCAGAGACACTAACCCTAATATATACAATAAATGTTTTCCTTTTTGTTTTTAATTATTTGTTTGAGTACATACTCCTTTCGCGGTCACCTTTAACAAAATTGACATAAGACGAACCTGTACCTGCACGATATACTTTCCCAATACAATTTTAAATTCTGATTTCTCAAGTCTAAATTAATTTACATCTCTGAAAGTCCACTTGTAAAATCGTCTGTTTTCAGAGATTGCACCTTTCGCTACAGCAAAGACATGTCTTTATAACAGGTGGTGTGTGGTGTTATACGAGAATTGATGGTTGTATGAATGTAGGAAAGAAATGCTGGCGCAAGGAGTACAACATAGATCAATTTCTACTTGAATCTGGTAACACAGCGAGTTAATCATAACATACAAGTTCAAAGGCGAGTAATGTGTTGTTATGGAAACCTATTCTTTGAGGATGGTATGGCATATTTTATAACATTGCCCACCTGATGATAGCAGAGAGAAGAGAAGAGAAGCTTCTCTACTGTCATCTGGGTGAAAGACTGTCGCTCCAAAAAAGGCCTTAAACAGTGCCTAGGAGGTCTGAAATGCAGTCAGAATACAAAGAAAAACAAGAAGACGCTAAACGTAAACTTCAAAGCGATATTCAATGTACATTTTGCTAATTTAGTGAGCAAAGAATATTTCTCAATACAACGTCTTATAATTTTCTTGCTGTATGAATAATTAATTAGCTAAGTAGGATAATGTTGTTCAGGGCTCGCATAGTGAGCTTGGGCTACCTGTGATGGTATCACAGTTTCTACAGATTCACAGTGTAGTTAATTGTCGCCTAAAACCACCCAGACTAAATGCTTACTCTTAAAACACTTTTTTAAGTTTCAGTATAGGAGAAGAAAAGGCCGCCTTATTGAATTATTTATACGACTGCGTCAAGTACGACTGTACCGTGGTGACGTGAATTCAAAACGCTTTTGGAGAGTTTATTACCCAGCAAGCGCGTAGATCTATCAACTACTGATGAAATAGTAATGACAACACTCTATATTGTCTCTTTGGATCGTTCGGCCTTCAACAAAGTACAGGTGGGGATATTTCAACGGTTCACCATTGTGAACCGTATTCTTTAAAAGTAAACAGAACATTTTCTTTGTAAATACACGGTTCACCATGGTGCACCGTTGAGAAATTGTCCAGACTGTATTAGCTAATTCAAAAATAACCCGTAGATAGGGGCCGTCGTAACATACTCTTCCATTTCGGTCAGTAAATTTACCAAACGCCGCTTTCGAATTAACAACAAGATGAAATAAAGAATGGTGAACCGTTGGTGAACCGTTACACGCGATAAACTCGCGTGTCACCACATTCATAATTCAATTAACCCATATTAAAATACGTTCCGAACAAATTTTAAAAAAGAAAACACTTGAACACTTTAAATCATACCTTCACAGGTTTTTAGTTTTTCGGCTGTAGTCTACAAAAGAATCCGAAAACATTGTGAAATTGGCCGAGCTGTCATTAATATAAACACAGACTCCTTTTACTTGTCACGTACTCTGAAAAGACTGAACTTTCAATAGTCGTGCGCCATTCCACACATCCACCAGTACTCTTTTGGCCGACCCCTTTATTTCAACTTAGAAGCTACTGACATTTTGATATTATAAGTAAACTTTCCTGTGAGCTTAAAACTCCACCATCGTGGTTTTACATAAAGTACATAACACACTTGCTTCTGATCATTTGTGAAATGATAGCCGCGCTTGTACTGTCTTAGAGACGATAACTACAGTAAATTGCACCGCTTGTAATTTGTCACAATTTTGAAACTCCTCCTGCACGATATAATTTCCCAATACAATTTTAAATTATGATTTCTCAAGTCTAAAGAAATTTTACATCTCTGAACGTCCACTTGTAAAATCGTCCGATTTCAGAGATTGCACCTTTCACTACAGCAAAGACAATCCCGTTCATAATTGCTGAAACGCTTGCGAGGTTTTCCTTCCCTTTTAATGTTGATTTGGAAGACATTTATACCCAAGTAAACGCGTGAAAGCGACATTGAGGGAAGGGGAGCGAAGCAGTGCTTGTATTCATGAGACAAATAAGTTAATGTCGTGTTTTCCGGAAGTGTTTCAACAGATTATGACCGCGATTGCAGCTATGTGTGTGATATTGACAGAGAAAAAAAATAAAGCAAAATTGGTTGTGTCTACCTTGGCATACTGTATTTCGCGGACTGGACTGGACTGGACTGGACTAGTAAAACGCGGACTTGTAAAACGCGGACTCAAAATTTGTAAAACGCGGACTCAAAATTTGTAAAACGCGGACTCAAAATTTGTAAAACGCGGACTCAAAAATTTGTAAAACGCGGACTCAAAAATTTGTAAAACGCGGACTCAAAAATTTGTAAAACGCGGACTCAAAAATTTGTAAAACGCGGACTCAAAATTTGTAAAAAAATTCCGGGAGTCCACATTTCTAACCCCACATTTAGAAATAAGCGTTGACAGGCCAAACACGACTCATAAGCTCGTGATAATGTGAAACGTGACCTTGAGAGTCTGCTTGAACAGTGGTTCTCTTTCTTTTTTCTCTCGCGCGAAGGTTACTAGCACTACACAGTGCAAGACGTGTAGCATTCTAAACTTTGACTGAGTAAATCTTGTTTTTGCCGCACTAAGTCTTATATTTAGAGGTCATGAAGCAGGTTTGTTACATGCATACTGAGTAATCATTTCCTGTGATTTATGCTTCTGTACTAGGTGTCCCTAACAGGATTTGATTTCAGATGCAGTTGTTAAGTGTTTTATATCCTTTGACCTCTGTTTATTACGGCTGAATAAAGATTTTAGTTTTTTTTTTTTTCCGAAATGGCTGTATCTGAATAACTACATGCATGCATGCAAGTTTCTTTGTCCGTGAATGTGATTATTTCCTGCCATGTCAGTATGACTCTGGGCCCAGCTCTATAGTGTGGTTTGCAGGATTTTGAATTTCCACGGATAGTGCGATCTTCAGATATGAGTTGTACACTGTAGCTTAAAAACTAAAGCTACACCAAGTTTGGAGAAATATGCCGTGCGTCAGTCAAGATAATTCTCTTAGCGCTCACACAGTCCATTTAGTTTTTCTTAACAAAAGTGAGTCTTTGAACTAGAGCGCGATGTCTTGTTGTTCCTTCGTAGGTATTTTCAAAAGTTTTTGCTTAACAGTCATCTGGGCGACTGCTATGGATTCTTAAGCAAAAGCTTAAGCTTATTTCCTACTGTCAGTGACCTACCATTACTGCAACCTAGTCAGATACTATCATACCGGTTAAGCCCAAAAAGCATTTTTGACCTTGAAGGAAACACAACAGAACGCGGATCAAAGAAACACCTACGCTATTGGTCACTTTTGCAGCCAATGGCAAGTTAGTATTTTCGATCCTAGCCATCAGTATTTAAACAGTCTTCTTCGCTCTCTGTACCTAAGACTTTACCATAGTAGCAACTGACGAGGAACGCTATAGTTCCGAAACTGCAGTCTTGCTTAAGAATCCATAGCAGTCGCCCAGATGACTGTTAAGCAAAAACTTTTGAAAATACCTACGAAGGAACAACAAGACATCGCGCTCTAGTTCAAAGACTCACTTTTGTTAAGAAAAACTAAATGGACTGTGTGAGCGCTAAGAGAATTATCTTGACTGACGCACGGCATATTTCTCCAAACTTGGTGTAGCTTTAGTTTTTAAGCTACAGTGTACAACTCATATCTGAAGATCGCACTATCCGTGGAAATTCAAAATCCTGCAAACCACACTATAGAGCTGGGCCCAGAGTCATACTGACATGGCAGGAAATAATCACATTCACGGACAAAGAAACTTGCATGCATGCATGTAGTTATTCAGATACAGCCATTTCGGAGAAAACCAAAAAAACTAAAATCTTTATTCAGCCGTAATAAACAGAGGTCAAAGGATATAAAACACTTAACAACTGCATCTGAAATCAAATCCTGTTAGGGACACCTAGTACAGAAGCATAAATCACAGGAAATGATTACTCAGTATGCATGTAACAAACCTGCTTCATGACCTCTAAATATAAGACTTAGTGCGGCAAAAACAAGATTTACTCAGTCAAAGTTTAGAATGCTACACGTCTTGCACTGTGTAGTGCTAGTAACCTTCGCGCGAGAGAAAAAAGAAAGAGAACCACTGTTCAAGCAGACTCTCAAGGTCACGTTTCACATTATCACGAGCTTATGAGTCGTGTTTGGCCTGTCAACGCTTATTTCTAAATGTGGGGTTAGAAATGTGGACTCCCGGAATTTTTTTACAAATTTTGAGTCCGCGTTTTACAAATTTTTGAGTCCGCGTTTTACAAATTTTTGAGTCCGCGTTTTACAAATTTTGAGTCCGCGTTTTACAAATTTTGAGTCCGCGTTTTACAAATTTTGAGTCCGCGTTTTACAAATTTTGAGTCCGCGTTTTACAAGTCCGCGTTTTACTAGTCCAGTCCAGTCCAGTCCAGTCCAGTCCGCGAAATACAGTATGCCGTCTACCTTACATTTTGTGGTTTTTACAAAGCACGTTCATGTACCTATGATGACGCACTCTCGACAAGCTGTCTAATGCGTCGCCAAACGTCGTGCGCCCAAATTTCTCGAATCTGACAAGGAATGGACGAATAGCAGTCACGTTAACTTAGAAAGGACTTGCATCGCGACATAGCCACTTAGAAGATCAAGCAAGTCACGAAATCATGAATGAAAGCAAGGGCACCAATTTATATTTGCATCGCGACATAGCCACTTAGAAGATCAAGCAAGTCACGAAATCATGAATGAAAGCAAGGGCACCAATTTATATTCAACGCAATATCCAAATAACTTATCAGAAAACACTGCTACCAATTTATCTTTCAATTCATGCGATTTTCCTCCCTCTGCCAAAAGCCTCGCAATTTCGTTGCTGTTAATCGGAATCTGCATCGTCACCTTCTTGGGAAATTTGGTCGTTTGCGTAACAGTGTACGCTAACAGGGCTTTGCACAGCACCACAAATTTTCTTATCGTTTCGTTGGCTTCCGCAGACCTGCTGGTTTCTCTACTTTCTATGCCGTTCAGAATCTATTATACGCTACACAATGAGGTCTGGTGTCTTAACTTCAAAGTCTGCGCGCTCTGGAACTGTATTGACCTGGCCGTCTGTAGTGCTTCTATAGGCAGCCTTGCAGCTGTATCAATCGAGAGGTTTATCGCTGTCAAGTATCCTCTTCGTTACACAGCTATCTTGACGCGAAGGACCGGCCTTATAATGATCTTGATCGTGTGGTCTTACTCCGCCATCTGGGCAACTCTTGGTCTCCACAACTGGACTTCCAACCGATGGGAGACTTTCAGAACGAACATGGGCTGCGGAAAAAACGATCGTCTTTATTACACGATTGTGTCGAGCGCTGCGTTTTTCTTGCCGCTAGCAATCGTCATTGGAGCGTACTCGTATCTCACTAAAGTGGCTTTTCAGCAACGTCAGCGAGTTCTCGCCAACATGGTTGGTCCAACGGATGAGGCAGAAAAACACCACAAGTCGCTTCGACGATCACGCATCTTGCACGAGCTGAAAGCAGCAAAAATGATGGCGTGTGTGGTTGGTGCTTTCTGCATAAGCTGGTTGCCATTTTTTATTCTCTTGCATTTGAGTCTTCACGGTGTTCAAACAATTCCTGCAGTTGGTACCATTTTTGTTACCATTCTTCCTAATCTGAACAGCTCGCTAAACCCTTTCTTGTACATAACGTTTACAAGGGAACTCCGAGAGTACGTCTGGAAGATGATTAAGGCACTGCCAGGCATCGCATATTACCGAGATAATTAGAGGAATTCCACTGAAGGGTCATTTCAAACTCTAAGGATGACCATCGCAAACACAGATTTGTAACAATCTCTCGATCTATCAACACAATTTATAAAGTGAAAATTCAATGTGGCCTTAAAAGTGTAGCCTTTTTGCTGTAATTTTAATAATAAGAGATATCCTATTTAAATAAATAAAGATTAATGAAAAAGCATCTCCGCTTTCTCTCTGGGCCTTGCTGTTTGAAAGCGGGTTAAACCCTAACCTGGGGTTAAAATGACTTAACCCGAGGTTGAATTTTAATCGCAGGTTTGTTGCGTTGTTCAAACACCGGTTAGCTCAAACCTCAGGTTAAACAGCGGGTTAAATTTAACCCTGCTAGCTAGGTAGGTTAAATAACTAACTTTAGGTTAAATGATAATAAAAGCAATGTCAAAACAAAATGGCTGTCTTGTTGTCACGTTTTACTGACTATTAAAACGACAACAGAAAACACTCACAGATAGTTCAGACAAATAATAAAAATTAAAAATTTTACAAGCGAAGAACTAAGAAGAAGAAATGAAGATTCTTCCACTTTCCTCGGATTTCGCCACTTATCTCTACACTCCTAAAGCGTCGCTGATATCGGTGTCCAATTTTTTTTGGGCATTGTTTGTCACACTGTTTGTCAACTTACTTACTGTTTTTCCACGTTCTCAGTTTCTGGGGGGCTGAAATTATTTTTTTCTGGGATCCTGCACCGACCAGGTTTTAGGACGTAAACAAATCAAGAGGTATTATGGGATTCTAACCGCGAGTAAGTCGCGGCAAACCCAAGGTTAACTAACCGGGCCTCTAACTGCGCTTCGAACAACCCAATTTTGACCCCAAGTTAAGAAACCTGCGGTTTAAGAATTTTAACCTCCGGTTAGGCCTAGCCGGAGGTTAGTTTAACCCGTCTTTCAAACAACTAGGCCCTGGGCGATAATTATTTCTACCGTGTCTTGGCAGCAAGTAATCCATCGCAGACGCAATAATCTTTCAACATCGATTTATAAGTTGAATGATTGATTGATTGATTGATTGGTTGATTGATTGATTGACTGATGACGTCTTCGTTTTTGTCCATTTTCAGTCGATTGAACAAATTAAGTTTAGAATTACAAATCAACCTCTTGCCGCAAACTTCTCGTGGTTTTTTGTTTCCTTGTTTCAGCCATACACACACCGAGCATTTTATGACAACATTAATAGTGATCATAGAAATGACGTCAAAATGTTCAAAACTCAAGTGGCACCACAAGTGCAAAGTTTTGAACATAATGACGTTTAATTTCTATGTTCGATAACAATATAAACCATGTCAAATTGTTAGTTGGAATTACAAGGATTTAAGATAAATGCATGACATTCCTGAAACGTTTTTATTACCTAAGTTATTCCATTAATAACTTTTTAAAGGATGAAAGTATACACAAACAAGCAAATACAGTCAATTCTCTCAAAGCGACCACCTCCCACAAGCAACCATTTTGTATAAATACCCGTTTTATTTCAAAAACTCTCTCGTAAGAGACTACTACTTAAATTTTTTAAACGACCGCGATCACTCTTTAGGCTAGGAATAGACCTCTTAAGCTTCTATGTTTTGTTTTCCCAATAAAGGTCATGTGATAATACTCTAGAGAACTGTTCCTTTCAAATTTCGTCAAATTCACGTGCACATCTGCGCACAATTTATGAAAAGAGAAAGGGCCATGTTCCCCTGGGAACTCTATTGGGAAAACAAAAAATACAAGCCAAAGAGGTCTCTTCTTTTGTTTTCTAAAAAAATAACTTTGAACAAGACGAGAAAAAATCATATGTACTTAGATAAATATATTGAAGCAGCCTTCAAGAAGTGAAACTTCTTTAAAACAGACTAAGTTTTAATTGCTCCAGAAGTGGAGTTCCTGGCAACGAAGCACTGTCAGTTATTGTTTTGTTTAGCTCTATTGGCCTTTATTGGTTTATCGTGCACGTTAAAAGCAAAATAACATAAAATATCCTTGAAATATGTTCAGTTCCGTGTTTTTGGCAGGAGCCATTTTGTTGCGAAGAGAAAATGAAAAGGTCAGGGCAGTTAAAATATATTCCAAGAAAGGAAGTTGAAAGAAATTTCGGTAACAGTGATGGATTGCCTACTTTCCCGAATTCGCAAATGGTTGTTAAAAATTCATTACTTGTATATTAAATGTATCGTCAAGATGGAATACGAAAGTGAAATCTCATAATATCTTTATTCATTTTGTGGCTAAACTCAGGCTACTCGCAACTCGCACCACTGTATTAAGTAAAAGAATTTATGTTTGGCTATTGCGGTTTCGAACATAATGCTTAAGTTGACCGTCTATTTGAATCAAAATACTAGTCTATACAAAATGGAAAAGTCTCAAGTCATTACAAAAGAATTTAAAAAATGCTTGTTTTCTGTTATGGTCCTCTTCTTTGCTCATTTTCTTAACGACTCTAGGAAAGAATGAGCTAGAATAATTCCATATAAATCGCTTATTAAAAGCAAGAAAAATAACAACCCACGATGGTTCGAGATCGTGACGCCAACTCCTTCTCTATTGAATGACGTAAGTAAATTTATAGTTTCAAATTTTCAGTCAAGGTTAACCACCAGCAGCAGGCACGTTCACTCCGAACCTCAAAATTTTAACTGCACATCTGTGTGTTTACCAGCTCAAATTATTATGGCTCATCTGACAAAATGTTGAACGTAATTATTATAAAATATACCAACGTGAATAAGTAGCAAAGAGGACGAGAATAACACAAAGAATTTTTTTGTAGTAAAAACGTTTAACATGGCCCGCGAGTAAGCTAGTTTTGTAGTACTATATTGCGTTTTCTTTTATACACGTCAACAATTATCAGTTGTGATGCAAATACACGTCCAATATTACCTTTAGACCGCAATAACCAAGTCATTATTCTCTTCCTCTACAGCTACAGTGCAAGCAAATAACCGTCAGCTTATCTAATACTTCCCAAGTGATTCATTTTTGTCCAGGCGATGATCCAAGAAATTGAAGTTTACTTTACCAACGAAAATTTTAACTTCAATTAAGAGGGCAAGCATTGCATGAAAGTTCAAAAAACATATAGCAATCAAGATTTGATACTTTGAAGGTTGTTGGCCTTGGCTTTCTTTACAAGGACTTTTTGGTTTTGCATTCTAACAATAATTTTAGCTCTTTACAATTTTCCGCACACAAATCGTTCGCAAAAAATAATTAGTCTCCAGATCTATCATAAACTGAATGACTGAAACTAGATAAAAAAAGATAAACTGCAATATCCTCTTACTGTCATCAAATAGCAAATATTCTAGCCTTACAAAATTAAAACGCTGTTTCTGATGCCCAGGAACAGGTGTTAACTACAAGATGTCACTTTTCTTACTTTAAACATATGTTGTGGTTATATGCAGTTTATTGAAAAAAATTGGTGATATAAATTCTTATCACAAACATAAATTTGAAATCGAAAGTTAAAAAAAAAAAAAAACTCCGAATAGGATTGCCAGATCTATCCATCTGTCAGAGTGTTACTTCGCACGAATTTTGTACCTATATCACGTGATGTTTACTATTAAAAACAGTTCCAACTATCACGGCGGTGTTGGTGTAGTGGACATTACACTGGCGACGAGAAAGACAAATACACGCTGCAGGAAGAGAAAAAAGGACAGAAGATCAAAGAAGCAGAAGAGACAAGAAAGCCATCGGGGAGAATATTGGCGAGAATAGAAACGGAAAAGAAAGAAGAAACTATCAAGCGCACCGAACATCGAAGACCTCGTGTCAGAGAAAAAAAAAAGCCAAACCACAGGTAACCCAGGCTCTGTGATAGTACCACAGTACCGTTCCAGTAAAATTACAGTGTTTGTATGGGGTAAAAATATCATCCTAAAATTTCTGGGAAATACTAAATAAAGATCAATGAAACTTACTCTGCAGTTAATTCTTGTTGTCCTTATTGCTCCAACGAAGTTTCGTGATAATTTGCAGTAATTTGTTCAAATTCACTCTATCTACAATAATAATATACAAGGTAGGAAACACGAGGTGCCATTTTCGCCGACATGCTCTCATTCAACACAACTTTTTCCACGAAATTCGAACTCCAACGGAAAATAAACATGCCAGGATCGTAGAAATAGGATAGCAGCAGATATAGAAATCAATGAAGCTTTCCCAGATAGAGAAACGAATCCCACAGACTTTGACAAACTCGAAGAATATAATCCAAACACACCGAGAATACGCTCGCCGAAGCAGCCGGGCCAGATCAACGCGCGGCCAAGAAAATGAAGCCTGGGCACTGTACAAAAAAATTCCATCCCGGGGGTCCTGGGGTGACCTTTCTAGGGACCGATACATCATTTGCCCAAAGCCACCCTCCCCTACTGGAAAAATACTTGATAGAAGGCAATTGTTCTTCCTAGCCAATCACTATGGGCTGTTATAAAGAGATTATTTTCCTCTCGAACTATATTCAGCTCCTGGCGCTGGTCCTCGGAAAGTTTATCAAACATCAATAGGGCAAGGTTATAAGGGCAAAGGAAAGAACAACGAAGGACGATTTACAAAACTTAAAACGAGCAAAAGATATAAGTGAATTTTGGCTCTTACCGAGGCATTTGTACAACAGGACCAAATTCAAAGAGAGGTGTATCACGATGATTCACATATTTAACCGATAGAGCGTTCACTTGTATTGACAAGAAGTCGGCGTGTTACTGCCGCATTAATCGCTAAATATGTTAATCGCGCTAGTTCTTTGTTTACTAGTGCACGTGCCTTTCACATTCGTCTCAGTTATCTTAATTCATATTCTGTCGCAATTTTCTGTATAATTTTTGACATTAGTTTGTAAGCTTCACCGTTTATTTACGATAGTTTCGCTCGAGAGTTCACAACAATAGTATCTCAGTCATCATCTACCTTTTGTTCAACCTTGTTTTTAGCCCGCCTTGTAAGCATTTCGCGTTGTTATTTCATTAGTTTCATTACTGTTATTTGCATTCCTTAGTAAAAGAAATGGGACGCCTTGTAACTCCGCAGACTCTCCTGATTATATTACTTTTTTTTAGCCATTTAAATTCAGGCGCGTGTGCGGGGTTTGCTCTGGCAAATGGTCATTGGCTAGGAAGAACAATTGCCTTCTATCAAGTATTTTTCCAGCAGGGGAGGGTGGCTTTGGGCAAATGATGTATCGGTCCCTAGAAAGGTCACCCCAGGACTCCCGGGATAGAATTTTTTTGTACAGTGCCCGGGCTTCATTTTCTTGGCCGCGCGTTGATCTGGCCCGGCTGCTTCGGCGAGCGTATTCTCGGTGTGTTTGGATTATATTCTTCGAGTTTGTCAAAGTCTGTGGGATTCGTTTCTCAATCTGGGAAAGCTTCATTGGTTTCTATATCTGCTGCTATCCTATTTCTACGATCCTGGCATGTTTATTTTCCGTTGGAGTTCGAATTTCGTGGAAAAAGTTGTGTTGAATGAGAGCATGTCGGCGAAAATGGCACCTCGTGTTTCCTACCTTGTATATTATTATTGTAGATAGAGTGAATTTGAACAAATTACTGCAAATTATCACGAAACTTCGTTGGAGCAATAAGGACAACAAGAATTAACTGCAGAGTAAGTTTCATTGATCTTTATTTAGTATTTCCCAGAAATTTTAGGATGATATTTTTACCCCATACAAACACTGTAATTTTACTGGAACCGTACTGTGGTACTATCACGGAGCCTGGGTTACCTGTGGCCAAACGAAGGGACGAACAGCACAAGCAACCCAACAAAAATTCGAGTCTCGACGTTTGGAAAATCACTTAGAATAAACTCGTTCAAGATTCCAGACAAACCCTTAAAAACCGGGCGAGCGTGGCATGAATGGCTCGAAGACTTCGAAGAAGATAGGGAATATTTTGAAATCAAGGCCGTGAAAGACAAAGTAAGGGCGTTCAAAATCTACGGCTGACAAGAAATCAAGAAAGTCGGCCGAAACCTTCCAGATACCGTTTCTGCTGAAGGCGACAACGACTACAAGAAATTAATCCGGAAACTCAACAACCACTTCTTACTGAAGAAAAACAAACAGCATACGAGATACACGTTTAGCAAACAACGACAAGAACCGGGAAAAAGTATCGTAAGCTACACAGCGCGGCTACGCGCGAAGGCGAAAGATTGTGAATTCGGCGACCAGACCAACGATAGGATTCTAGAACAGCTGATACAAACAATCAAGGATAACGATCTTATCAAGAAAAGCATACAGAAAAGGTAGGCACTTGACCAGTTCCTCGAAGAAGCCAGCCAAAAAAAAAGACATTAACCAGCATGTAAAAGACATGAAAGAAGATTACAAAATCTCCAAGGTGAAACATCAATGGGGAAAATCTCAGAGAGATATGATGCTAGAGGAGCTGCAAGATACCTAAGTTTACCGAACAAGCAAGAACACAAGAAAGAAGAAAGAAGCTTCAAGAATAGGTGCCAATACTTTTGAAAAATAGGACTCCCATCCCCCTGGACACAACTGCCCAGTTTATGCACAGCAGTGCCTGGAGTGTGGTAAATACAATCATTATGCAACGTGCTGTAGATCAGGATCAGACAAGTTACAATAGAAAAGGAAAGAACCACGAAAAGAGAAAGCGAGTCAAGAAAACGACCGAGGCAGACAAAGACGCAAGTAGCGAATCAGATTGCGAAAACCTTTATCAGACAGCACGACACGTCTTACATCGAGCACAGAAACTGAGATCAGGTAGCACTCCAGACACTGTTCTTATCAGAATAGGACACATTGAAGTGCATGTAGAACCCGACAGCGAAGCAAGTGTGAAGGTGATGGACGAGTACCAATTCAGAGCCCTAAAACACAGATCAAAGGAAATCGGAGAACTAGATCCAAGCAAAGACATATTGAAGACTCTCCAATCTGATCTGGTAGTTAAAGGTGAATTTCATACAACAATTCGAATCAAGAATCGAGGAGCAAAAAGCAAGTTCTTAGGGATCGAGGGAAAAATGGACTCTCCTCCTCTCCTAAGCAAGAACACACTAATTGGACTGGGAATGATTAAGATTGACCGAGACGGAACACCAAAGAAACCAATGAGTTTAGAATCAAGTCAGTTAAGCCACCAGATGACATTGAAGCGTTACTCAGTGAATACAATGATAATTTTCAAGGGATAGGATGCTTCCAAGACAAGAGTACAGGCAAAGAGATAGAAGTCAAGCTAGAAATGGATCCAGAAGCTATTCCAGTAGCCCAGAAACCACGCCTAGTCCCATATCATTTGCAAAAACCTCTCAAAGAATGGCTTTAGCAGGGAGTAAAGGAAAACATATTTGAAAAAGTCCTAGACGGAGAAACCATCACATGGCGCTCACCCCTAGTTGTGCAGCCTAAACCCAAGTATGCTAATATTAAGAATGAAGAATTAGAATCTCAGATGATCAGAGCAAGCATTGACAAGCGAATACCCAATGAAGCCACGAAACGAAGTAGATGTACCGCTTGCATGACTGCAAGATCTTCACGAAATTGGACTTGAGACAAGGCTATCACCAACTGATACTAGACCCTGCCGCAAGACAGGTAGCAACATTCAGCACACCCTGAGGAAATTACAGACCAAAGAGACAAGTATTTGGAGCTAAATCTTCACAAGATGTTTTCGATGAAGCAATGTTCAGAGCCTTCGGAGACATACCCACAACCTGAACCAAAAAGATGACGAACTCCTCCGAGGAAGAGACGAAGCAGAACACAAGGAGGTACTGAAGACCGTCCTCCAGCGAGCGAGAGATCATGGAGTAGCATTCAACGAAGAGAAATGCCAATTCGGGAAAGAGCAGATTGAGTTCTTTGCAAATGCCTTTACCAAGGACGGACTGAAACCGTCACCACACAAAGTAAAAGCAATCAAGGAATGCAGCCCTCCAGGAAGCAAAGAAGCCGTCCGAAGTTTTCTGGGAATGGATGGCTACCTGGACAACTACATCAGCAACTATGCAGCCATAGCAGCACCACTTTATCAGCTAACCCGAAAAGATGGGAGAAAGAGGAAGAAAACGCATTCAGGAAGATACAAGACACCATCTCAAACGACAAGACAATGGCATTCTTTGACCCATCCAGACCTATAATCCCGCGCACCGAGGCAAGCTACAACCAAGGCTTATCAGCAGCCCAACTGCAAAAGACTGACAAGGGTATACAGCCAGCGCATTTCATGAGTCCCACAATGGCAGAAACCGAGAAAAGATATAACCAGACGGAGAAAGATGCACTAGCCATCAAGTGGGCAAAAGAACAACTGCGAGTTTACAGGCTTGGAGCACCGAGTTTCCGTATTGTCGCAACGCACAAACCACTGTTACCCTTATTCAATAAAGCGAAAGCCACAATGTCACCCAGAATCGAAAAATGGGTAAAGGAAATGCAGGACGTTGACTATGAACTGGTATACGAGCCTAGGAAAGACGAAGCAGACCCCCTAGACTACCTATCCAGCCACCCACTACCTGAAACAGAAGATGATACCACCGAAAAGATAATCAGATGTACCTTGAACACAGAACATGCTGTAGTCATCACAAGGATTAGAGAAGAAACCCTGAAAGATGAAGTGATGCAAAAAAATAGCGAAGAGAATCGTGAAGCGAGAATGGGAGAAGCACAAGCGAGATAAAGGCCTACGTGAAGCAAGAGTTGTCAATCACGGAAGGACTAATTTTCAGAGAACAGCGTATAGTGCTACCAGCAACTCTACAGAAGAAAGAAGTCAAGCCAGGACACAACCTTGGACACTTGGGCAAGACCAAGACCAAACAGCTATTGAGAGAAAAATACTGGGTCCCTTTGATGAACAGTATGATTGATACAGTCATCAACCAGTGTTACGAACCGCAAGTAGCTACGACGGAGAAGAGAGAAGAACCTATTAAGGTGACAAACATCCTTAGCCACCTGTGGGATACAGTATCCATCGACCATGGTGGATTATACCCAGATGACCACTACAACCTTGTACTTATTGACAAAAGAACCAGATACTCAGTAAAAGAGGCAGTACCCTCAACTAATTTCAAAGTCACAAGGAGAGACTGAAGCATTCTCAGCCTATGGAACTACAAAGGGGATAGAGAGCGACAACGGACCACCATTTAGTTCGAAAGATTTCCAAGAATTCGCTCTTGAAGAAGGATTTGAACACCACAAGATTACGCCACTCCACCCTAGAGCAAATCGAGAAGTTGAGCGATTCATGCAAATGCTAAACAAGACCGAACAGATTGCACACCTGTAAGGAAAAGACCGCCTGGAGAGAGAGAATGCAATACAGGACATGCTGACTGCATACAGATCAACCCCACATCCAGCCACGGGAGTCACCCCTTTTGAAGCAATGAGATGAGCAACCGTAAGGACCAAGTTGGATCACATTCAGGCAAAAGTGCAGAGATCAGAGAAGGACGACATCATAGATGAGAGAGATGCGGTGTACAAACAGAAAATGAAACAGAACAGAGAAGGCAAAAACACAGGACAAGGAAGACTTCTGCTTGGTGACTATGTGTTGGTCAAGCAAGAGAAAAGAAACAAATGGAGTATGCCATACGAACCCGTGTTCAACATCGTACATGAGATAAATGGACCCAGAATCACAGCCAGACGAGCTATCTGTTACAATCAATTGTTATGCCTAATTTTTTGTATGGTTTATCGGTGAACGGAGCCTCCTCTTCTAATCTTAACAACGTACAGCATTTTTTAAGTTGGTACTATAAACGCAAGTAGATATCGAGGAAATTGAATATGAGGCAGCTGCTTGAAAGATCAGATTGCCGGATTTTTAGAAAGGCCTTGAGAACAAATTCGCCCCTTCTGAAGATTTTACCAGAAAGGAATTTCACCAATTACTCGCTAAGACAACCATGATTTTATCATCCTATAGTGGCAACAGAGCGCTTCAAATCGTCCTATGTGAATAGACTTATCTTATCTTAGTTATAATATTGATTCCCTGATGTAAATAGATGTATAATTGTTGTAAGAGCTCTTAGCTTTTTTCATTTGTTTAACTTGTAACTTGAGATATGTATTTATATCTTTTGAATTTATTAAAGACATCTATTCTAAAGACATCTATTAGTCAGAGGGGCAAAGCCAAGAGCAAACAGAGAAAGGAAGTGACCACATACAATCAAGTGAAAAACAGACCGAAGCTGACCCACAATCATGCTGACCCCAGTGAACCAGAAGGAAACCCTCCTACTTAAAAGGTTATGTGCTAACCTAACAAGAGACACTGCCTTTATTAAAGCATAGAAACCTTATTTTGTTTGTTGTTATTTCAGACAATGCTTGAGTAAGGCACTTTGTAATGTTGGGGAGGGATGTGGTATCCTGTGTAACTTCGCACGCATTCTGTACCTATATCACGTGATGTTTACCATTAAAGCAGTTCCAACTATCATGGCGGTGTGTGCGTAGTGGATATTACAAGAGCTACATGTAGAGCTCAAAACATGTGCTGTAACAGTAAAAATACAAGGTTTTATTGCTAAGCCATTCGTGACCAATACTAAGAAATGCTCACCATGCATTTACTTCTTTCAGCATGGAACTGTGGTATCTGTCAATTATTTCTGTAATAAAATTTTGCTCCTTTTGAACACATATCTCTGTCAAGAAAGCTTAGATTGACAGAGGATCAACACAAGACTTTTATATATTTTTCAAATTTTGACGTCAAAAATCGCGGTTTACAGGCACTAAAAATTAAGTGCACACAATGTTTACAATCCACCCCTAGACTTGTGTCAAAGCGCTGTCATCTTGCCTTAGGACTGGACAAACTTTTGTCAAACCAAAAAACATAAACCGTCAATTATTCCATTTTATAAGCGATTCGGGCAAGGCAAAATTGTACTCAGTAGCACGGTTATCACTGGAGAAGCCTGAATAGTAGGCAAATTGAATATACGTAGTTTTAGAGAGAATTTCCCTCTTTCTGGTCCAGAAGCGTTGTCAGGAGCGTTGTTTTGACATGCTAGTCAGGAAAAGGGGCACAAAATCACACGGTAAATCAGATTCTAGATGTTAAAACATGTCCCTGTGTTTCAAACCAAACCCTCGGCTGCAGCAAGATTAAATAAAAAGTTTTCCACTACAGCTGTAAGTTTACGTTGTTTTAAAGCTTCTAAAGTCACCCTAGCCTTTCCTCCTCCCTCGGGTTCCACCGCTAGCTTTGTGAGGTTGTTTATAAGGTCCTTTGTCTTGACGGACAATTCCTGAAATGGAGAAAACAAACATAAAATACCGCGTCAAATGGGTGATGCTGAGATGTCCCGAAATAATGAGGCATTGAACAAAATACACATAAATACGTTATTTAATTAAGGAAATATGGAAGATAACATGTTTAAGAATCCTAACTTGTAGCAGGCAACCCAGTTGGCTATTTCACAAGCGTGGCCGGCGACTTAAACTCAGTCAAGTCCAGCGCCCTAACCGCTCGGCTACGTTATGTCCTATACTTCCACGCATTCAGTTGTAGAAAGAAAGGTAGCAGAGAAAAACAGTGCAGAAATAAGTGAGCAGTACCCCACGGGTAGCCATACCCTACCAGGGGCTGCGTTACGTAGGCTAAGAGTGATATCGTGGCCAAAGGGGGTAAAAGACGCAGCCTTAGAGTTAGGAATCACTCGTCAAGGCCCCTACATATTTGGAGAACAAAAGTGGCGACCATGGACTAAATCAAAGCTCGCCCACCCAAAATAATGGCTCTTCTTAATATCCACCAAGGCAACGAAGCTAAGGCAAGGAAAGAGGTGAATTTCCAAGACGACTCTTTATTCGTCCTCAGCTCATGAAATTACGAATGTACATGTAACACCTTTCCCAACAATTCACCGAGCCAACATGTTCCATCTTTCAATATTTATCACAACACACTGCGTGTTAACGAAGACTAAGATTTAAGTTTCATCGACTCTAAGAAAGAAGCCTAATTTCGAACCTGGTTTCAAACGTTACCTTTCGCGGGCATGTAACAAACCCGGAACACCAAAACAGCCAAGACACTCGGAAAACAGCCCGAAACAACCCAGAAAACCTGGCACTTGAAAGGTACAATGAAACAGATGATCAGAAACTTTTTTTCCGTCTCAAGTTAAGAAAGCTGGAGGCAATTCTGAATTACTTCTTACCTTCACCAAAGTCTGATCATTATATTCCTCGTTTTTAGCAGCCTCTACCATGAACATAGCAATGTCCTTGTGAATTTTTCCCATTTGAAAAGTTTCTACGAAAATAGCGAAAAGCACAAATTAAAACAGATAAAAAAGAAGATACCCGAAAACCAAACAAAAAATACAAATGCGTGATGATCAAGACATTTAATCATAAAATGAGTTTTATAGACCGACACTAGATCATGTGCGAGATTAGTTTTAGCATCAACGTCGAGTATGAGTTCATGTCGCTCTCGTATTAGGGATCATTAAAGATACATCGAAGAAAGACGACAAAAGACGAAACAACCATCACGGAAAATGGGATTCAATAGAGGGAAACAATTGCTTAATAGGGTAACACTTGAAAATGCTTCTAAAGCCCTCCTAGTGCCCATTGAGCACCAGAAAACCGATTAAAATCCACTTTACCTATCCTAATTTCAACTTGTTTTCCTACGACGAGTTTCTGGTAAAAAAAAAAAAACGTTGTTGTACTGGAAGGGTGGACCACCAGATTTGAGAATGCGCGCTTGTTCAGTGCCACTTAACTGGTATTCGAACTCGAACTACAAATTAATGATACCTTTCGCCTCAGGTGCAATAGAGATTTCTCCGGCGGCAACTGAAAGAAAAGGAAATAGCAAGAGAACTAAATTATTAATTTTGATATACAAAAAACGTTTCACAAAAGAGAAATTTCGTTTGGACGTAAAGAGACCTGTATTTATGGGGAAAATTTGGATCATTTTACGTTTCTGTGAAACTGCCCACCTACCCCTCCCCTAAACCAACATTAACACTCAGTTCTTACTTATGGCAAAATGTTGGCTTAGGGGAGGGGTAGGTGGGTAGCTACCGTCAACTCTGTCGTAAGCGACGACCCTTGGTGCGCGACAAAGTGGTCGCTTACCGGTGGCGGTCTACGGGAAAAATCAAGAAAATAAGCTCAAACTGAACGATTAAATATACCATATTATACAAAGTTGTTACCTTAAAAGCTAAAAGTTAAGCAAACAGACAACTGACAATAATGTTTTTATCGAATAGCGCTTAAAACTGTTGAAATTTGTGTACACAACATTTTGCATCAGTGTTATAATCCACCCTTTTTACCTACAAATCGTATCAGCCATCTTTTTTGTAAGACAACTGCTATACATGTAATCTGTCAACACGCTTGGTCAGCGCTTTAAAAAAGAATATGTCAAATTTGTGTTTTAATAAGTGGTCAGGTGGTTTTAAGAAATTTCAGTAGTGGTCGCTTACGAAGGGTGTTCGCTGTAGAGAGTTGACTGTACTACAGAAAATGTAAAATCACTAACAACCACCAGAGAAGTTGCAAAGATTGACACAGTTCGTTGGAGTGCGGCCTCCTGAGCAAGGTCGCGGGTACGATTCCCAGCTTTGACCTCAAATCCTTGTGTGGACTTCTTTCCTTACCGCGTACATCAGTAGCTTTAAAAACTTTGACTAAACGGAGCACTGCATGATGGAAAGGCGGAGGGGGAGTGGGGGCGGAAAAGTAAGTGCACCGTCGGCCTCAGGTTTGTTAATCAGATGATGACTACAGCTGTATTTAGAGCTACCGATGTAGAAATGGACTCTACCTTAAACGTCCCATCAGTAGATATTAAAGATGCGGCTCCTTTGACAAATTTGCTTAAGGACAGGTACAAAACTTGGTTACAATAGAACGTTCAGAGCCAAGAATACGCAGCAGACACAGGCAATTGAATAAATACTGGGAGATACATGTACGTTTTAGATTTCTTGTTGAATGTTTCTGTTTTTGTTCATTTTAAACATGGACTAATGCCATATTGAGGCCGAAATCACTAAAGAATGAAATGCAACGCCCATTCAAATACGCGTCGCCTCTTGGGCGTTAATTCGAGTATTAACGTTATTTTCACCTTAGTAAAATGTGCCAGACCTGCTTGAGGTAGAGATCCCCTGAGGTCCGACTCTCGTAAGCTTGCTCGGTCAACTCTTTCGAAACAGACGCTACGATTACACAGATAACTTTCCTAAACGAACACCTAGAGTTGTTCTCTGCCGTTCTTCTGGCAGTCAAGTTTGGTCGACTCTCTAGAGGGTGGCCACCTATGTGAGACAGAGACCCTAACCATTCAAGTCAAACGGTGTTGAGAAATGGGACAAGATGTACTGCCCAAATTGTACCGATGTTGGACTGTGATTGTTTTTCCTTTCACCAAACAGTGTAATACTAAGATAACAGGTCAGAGGATGGCTACATAATACCGGATAGCTTATCGTGTAGATACGAAAAGCAATCCGGCATAGTATGGACAGTCACGGCTCGGGACTGGAACAAGTCGTTCACACACATCGAACATTAAATGGTACCGGAGCGGTTGGCAGAGAGTTTTTGGTCCACCAAATGCCAGTTCTCACTCCTGAATATTTACTTCCGTCCCAGTGGATTGCAAACGTCGATCTCACTTATTCACTTCCGGCGTTACCATCAAAATACCTATTAACAATGCACCATCAAAGTGTGGCACAGAACTTATCCAATATGTGATGCTACACTTTCGAGATTGCCACGGCGCAGCCTCCGTTACAGAAATCGCCCCGAAATTGTCGTTCTTATGCGTGAACAGAGGCCCTATCCGGTATGGTTTTTGTGCCGGCGTATGAGCTACCCGGTAAAGTGAGGCCCGGTTAGGATAAAATTCAGACGAGTGACATGGCTTTGAAACTGCCGGACATAAGACTAGATGAAATGGTGCCAAACGGCATAAATATGTGTTAAATACCGACAGGGACATGGTCTACTCCTCAAAATGCGAAACGACCATATTTGAAACACTTGGGAAACACTTGACTTGGGACATACTTACACCGCCCCCACCTCCCCCCCCAAACCCCGCGCCCCTTCCCGAAGAGGGCCTCTATCGTGGGATATAACCTTACGTATTAATTAAGAAGCTACAAAAATTTGTTACCATTAACAAACAGGTCATACAGTTCCGTTCTGTTTTCAACTGAAGCATCAGTGAAGCCAGCAACGTATGTTATGTTGGACGCAAGCCCTTCTAACTCATCATCCTCCAGATGAACAAATGGATGAAGAATGCTCCAATTCTGACGATGCCAGACCAGCAAAGGTAAAGCTCTAAATGAATAATCAAACGGATAAGATGGAATCACTGATAATGAGCAGATAGTAACTGAACAAAACAAGAATGCGAGACTATGTTTTTTATCTGATCTGGGAGGGTTTTATTCATGAGAATTTTAAATTCTACGTGTAAAAATCACGTTAACACTACAGTCCATCAGAATTTCGATCGAAAAAAAGTCTCATTTAACCTATTCAGCTGTGAACCACCAGCAGCCGCCCGTGTGGATTCACGTCCCCTGTACCGCTGGAGACGGTCAAGGGCAGAGGTATCATGGGGCGAATTATCGCATGGAGAGTCGTTGGAACCATTTTCATTGAACCCTCGAGCAGTGTGGATCTCTAGTTACTGCAAATTTTTGCTGTAAGAAGCGCTGAATCGGCCTAGATTGCCTTTTCAACCCCTGGTTTTGTCTATTTAACGTTCATCACAACTGCTGACAAATGTTTATCCTAAGTGTGGGTTTATTCCGCCGAACCATTTATCGAAGACTCAACAGCACGCGTGCATGGTAAATAAACACACTGAGAATTGTAACGTTTTCGACCCCAGCTATTTTGTAATGGAAACTTTGCAGTTGCCGTTTAAGGCATTCTGGCGAGTTTTTCGGATATCATTAGTCAAGGGTAACTTTGTCATGTAACTTTTGCTGCGGGAAGAGATCTTTCACAGCATGGTTGTATTATGGGGGGAAGCGCAAAAACAAACAAACAAAGAAACAGACAAACAAAAACATAAAAAAAGACCAGAAAATTCCAGTAAAATCTTGTTTCACTACCCACCCGCACTTCCTTCCATCTAATCCTACGATCCCGAAAGCTATCCCCGAATTTTTTTCTGCTTTGTGTGCATGCCCGGGACAGAAGACCGTAAATTGCTCATCCTATAAAACACGTTTTAGGCAGTTTGGGCTATTTATAGACCAAACCAAACAGCTATAAAGAGAGAGGGCTCCAGTAGGCTCAAAAGGCGTTTTTTTCGGCAAAATTCCCAGGGGCGAATGGGTTAAATTCACATTCCACAAGCCAGCTCCTTTCAACTGCCGAAAATGTAAAATGACACACCTTACCTACATATGTCCAAAAGAGCCTCGATTTTTGGACTGTATACAGCTACTCTCTTCTTCAACAGCAGAGCCGTGTATATCAAAATAGTCTCCACTCCAAATATGTTGATTACATCTAACGAAACGAAACACAGCAAGGATTAATTAGTCATCAAACAGACGCAGATCAAACGGTCTGCAGATCAATGAAGTTCATACAAAATATAACATTGTACTTCTTTGGACAGGCAAAGATATAGAAAGTGAGAGGAAAGTCGCAATTTCTTATAAACCTTCTAAAATTATGCTGCATGCATGTCCCTTTAAATTTGAAATGACTATATTTTTCTATCACAAGTAAACTTGCCTGAAATAGGTGAGGCCACATATGACATACGTGGATCAAAGTCCTTTGCCAAAAACAAACCATTGTCATCATTTGAACAAGAACCTTTAGTTATGACAGACAGGTATGATTCTAGCATGGTACTGGCATCTCCTGTTTTCATGAACTTGCTACTCATGATCTTACAAAGTGCTTTGTATTTTTCTGGGCAAAAGTCCTTCAGAAAAACAAAAAAAAAACATAAAATAGGAATAATAATAATAATAACAACAACAATAACTGTAATAATACAAACAACAAAACAACTTCAACAAAATCATGTATTGGTGGTGATGAGGCCAAGTATACTAAGAGTAATGGAACCCCATTACCACAACACACCGCTGAGGGAACAGTTTCCTCCTCTAAATAGACTAATAATGCCAACAATGCTTTAGATAGAAACCCACCAACCATGAGCAAGGTGCATGATACGGCAATCACTAACATCATGGTGGTATAAATAGTTCTCCTCAGTAAATCGACACAATCACTTGGTGAATTAGACGTACAGTATGTGGTCGAGACGTCATAATCAATATCTACACACGTAAGTGACAATCGTGAGACAAATGATAATGAAACCCTTTATAGCTCATACATTATCCCTAAAGTTGACCTGCTTAATATGGACACTGGTTAATACCGGCAATGGAAAATTTTTCTGTGTCCTGAGTCACCAACTCTAATATATCACAACCTTGCTTTACGCACACAGTTTTCTTTGTGCCCCATCTTTTTTCACTGTCACAATTAAGTGCTAACAGAGGCAAGTGATCTCAACAGTTTGCCATCCCTGCTCCTCTCAAGGGTGCAGAATGGTTCCTACTCAAACAAGTGTCATGGAAACCGGTCTGCTTTAACTGAACTGCCTCACAGCCCCATGGGAAAATCTAGGCAACAAGATCCAAATCTGAACAGACTGGTGACAGATTTACTTCCTTAGAAATTTAAAATGACTTGTTATTCATTGTCGGGTGTTGGGAAAGGGATCACCAAATGCATGACTTCCCTTTAGTGATAAAATCAGTGGGTGCAAGAGTAGGGGTTGTGTGCAGGGGAATGTTTTGAGAACCTACATATAGATGGTTAAGGATTAGGGTTAACCATGGTACACTGTAACTGGTGAAATAGCATCCATATGATTAGGTGATTAGGCAATAACATCCATACGATTAATCTCAACAGAGTGGAAACATCACTATATCGAAAAAATTGATACAGAAAAGAAAAATCTGACTGGCATCCACTTCAACACACTAATTTGTCTAGGTGATTCACAGAACTCTTCTTGTTCACCAGACAATAATTATTGAAATAACAGACACCTCGTGTAGCAATGCATGAAAAATAACAAAAATAATACTTCACAGGGATTTCAATAATTGTTGAAGTAGCCAGCAGGATTTAATAGAGTAACCGACTGTATCAACAAGGGGGCTGTTAGTCCCCTTCTTCTAGGGGGGTCTGGGGGCGTGCTCCCCCAGAAAATTTTGGCAATTTCAAAGCCCTAAACTGCGATTTTCCGTCTTTCGGGGACTAAACTGAGAAATGAAGAGCGTGTTTTTTGTTTAAAAAATCCAGCTTTCATTAAGGTTTCATAGCCACACAGTCAATTCCTACAAGCAATGAACAAACGTCAATGTAGTACATTGTACATAATTAAATTCTGCGTAAACCTACAAAGAAATGCGGGAAAAATTGACTGAAATACAGCGTTTGTGTAACCAGAAGAGCTTCTGGTGTAACTAACGCATCACATATCAGTGGACCTTGAAAGCATATCATAATATTATTAACTTACATTTTAATTCAGATTTGATGATATAAATGCTTTTTGTTTACGACATTTTTAAAAGTAGTTGCTTCTTTTTCGGGGAAAATAGTAGCCGACTGCTCTCAGCAAAGGAGCCGACGCATTTCATCGGTCATTGGTACTTACTAAAACCCCTGCTTCATAACCAGGTTATTATAGGGTTACAGACTTATAATAGTAGAAAATAAACATGAGTTGCTATTCATGAGTAGTTTTTTGTAAAATAATTATTAGACAGCATAAAAGAATAAAAAGGTTTTCCCCTCACCTTTGCTATGAGTGTTAATGCTACATGGGTGACCTAGAAAACAGAAGAGAATAAATCATCATTGCAAACAGAACTCATACAAGTGTGGAATTTCAATTCCCAATAATTACACATGTATGTTACAGTCTAACCTCCATGTGCGACCACCTCTCATAAGCGACCACCTCCCTTAAGCGACCACCTATCCAAAACACCAAAACTTTCCCAGTTTAAGTCTTACAGTTGGAACCTCTTGTAAACGACCACCTCCTGTAAGCGACTGCAACCACTATTTGGGGCTGATGATTTAACAATTTTCTATTGTTTTTAACCTCTTGTAAGCGACCACTTGACAAGTTTTCTGATCTCTTATGGTCTCTGTGTGAACTATCCTACTTAGGATATACGAAGAACCTTAGTAACAACATGGAACATCACTGCACATGTCGCAACTTGGAAATTGAATGCAATAAATTCTCTTCCTTAAAGTAGATGTGTCCGGACCTCTTCTCGGAAGAAACCCCCTGTGGTTTGATTCTCGTAAGTGACCACCTCCTGTAAGCGACCACTGACTATGTCTTCGCATTTTCGGTGGTCGCTTACGGGAGGTTCGACTGTATTGATAATTATCACTCAAAGAATGGTTTTAAATGGTAGGAATCAGTATCAGTTTTAAAATGGTTTTTAAAAAGCTTAGATACAATACGTTGAAAATTGGCCTCAATATTTTCCTGAAAAAAAAAATGCTCTTACCCCTGTTAAAATTTAATAAAAATCTTGAAAAATTCCAAGACACACAAGTAAGCTAAACAAGAATTCATGCCCTTTGTTTTCTCTCAGGCAACAGTGAGTTGAAATTGCTTCCCGTCATCATGATCAGCTCGCACATGGAAGCAAAACAACCAATTGTTTGAAGAGATTAAGGGAAAAGACACTTTCTTTGGACGTGAATTGTCGAGGCAGAAACGCCTAGAAAAACTGTGCGTGATATTTGACAGCTAATACAAACTTAGGGTATTGTATCGTTAAAAGCAACAATTCAACAGTTCCATCGTGATGAGAAAGTGCTCATGTAAAGTGCATCGGTTAACCCTCAATCATTCACTATATTAACCATGTGTCACTCAATCATTCACTATATTAAACATCTTCAAAAATATGAAAGGTATTATTAAAATTCTAATTTATAGTTCTGTCACGGAGATTAATCATATCAATGTGATCCTTTTGCAATAATAATATTATTTATACAGTGTAGCTGCTAGAAGCAATTTGCATAGGGTGCTTCACATGTGAGTTTGATCAAATTATTACAGATTTCCCATAAATGGGTATTTATGGCTTATTTACTGGCTGGGGCATTTGCACCCTATTTGAAAGCCCACCGTGGGTTTTTTGTATGAACACCCGGCCCCACCGTGGGGCATTTGCAGCTTTTCCAAAACAAAATGACAAATGCCCGGGGGTGGGATGGGCACACTTGGAATTGACAGATCCATTATGCCTTAACAAGACCCTCTTTAACCCTTGAAGAATAACCATTCCAGTCAGTCGTCATCTTCATTTTCTGTCAGTCTATATTTTTTGCTTTTTGCTTCCCGGGGTTGTCCGCCTAAAGGAGCTTAACTCTAGATGTTAAGCCAATCAGCCAGAGGAATTGGGGGGCGGGGAAGGGCCGGGGTGAAGATGGGGATTATCCATGAAAAATAAAGAACTATGACAGCCAACCTTACTCAATGCTTCAGAATTTTTAACCTCTGATGTGTAAATATAAAACCACTGTTTGTTAAACTGGCCAAAACAAAAAGGTATGATCTCCTCTTTATCAGTCTTTAGACAGCATTTCCTCAGAATGATCTTACGGAAAGTTTGTGTTATGGAGGGGTAGGACCACGTCCAAAGCACGTCTGAATCGACATCTTTTTCTGAAATAATTAAAGCAGCAGATTTTTAAGTATACCGTTATATAACTGTTATGAATTTTTAAATGATTCATGTACAGAAACGGGGCTAAATACCAATCAAACATGCAGCCACGAGATTTCCAAGCCCTGCCATCTTGTCTTGAACATTGAGCCTGTAATGTTTCAGCGGTAAGACAAAACAAACAAAATGGCGGCAGGTTATTTAGCGTTTCGTTTCGAATTGGAAGTATGATTTTCATTTCCCTGTTTCATGGCAGATTTCGATTGTTGTATGATCAGTAAGATGGATAAAGGCAGGAAAAGATCCCGCCATCACTTTGAAAGAGAAAAATCTCCCAAGAAGGAGAGAAAAAACAGGAGTTTAGTATGGGAAGATCATCGCTCCACTTTAGATGAACTTTTCTTCAGGAACAGTGATTTGATCAAAAGGTTTGTCAGTCCAAAACAGGCGTGCGTTCAACCAGTAGAATTATGCTGGTACAGTGTATATGTAGATTAGATAGAACCTTTAATCAAGTAAATATCGTTACTTTAAACAGAGGAAGTCAAGAGTACAAGGATTTCTGGCTTTTTCTTGAACGTTACGAATCTTTCCATCAAAGACACGCCGAAAAGCATCCAAGATCAGGTAAATCTACACGACAACGTTCCTTCTTTATCACGTTTACAGTGAATGGTAGATGTACGATAGTTCTATTTAGCCACTTTGATTTAAGTCAGTCACATTAGTTGTATACTGTCTTTGAAGTTATCGTTTTTCTCTCTGACAGAACGAACCAAAGACAGGGTATCTCCTAAGCTTGGTCTTCCCTTGTTATATGACAGACGGTACAAAATAAATGTTGCTCTGTTGTCAAAGGATGTTACTGATGTGACACAGTACAGCACTTCAGGGAAAAAGAGAGGTACCGGTACTTAAGTTTTGCAATCAATCCATTACTGCAAGACAACAATCAGCTACTCACCACAGGAAACTGATGTACCCCTTGGGACCCTGGGGATTTGCTCAAGTGCTTATTAACCAAACCTTGTCAAATACCATGTGGATGTGGAACAAAGCTATTCTGATAATGTCCTGACTGCTAGGAACAAAAAAGGGACCTATAACAAAATACCTCCCATGTAGATCATTGTGATCATTATACCTAAAGTTTCTGCAGTTCAGTGTAACATTTTGGATATAACTTTTTTTTCCTGCAGTCATCTTAACGTTACACATAGGCCAGGGAAGACAGCTGACCTCTTGTTACAAATCCCAGAGTCAGCCTTTCCCTCAGTTTTCTCAGGCACAAAACATTTAAATAACAAATCTCAGCAAATGCCCCTAGGCCCCCTTAGGTACTGCAGGCCTCAACCACTTCAGGAAGCTTCTGATTATACATACATGTATTAAGTTTTATAGTTTTGATTAAGTTATTATTATTATATATTTTTTGTACCACTCAATACTGATATGTTTGTAAAGTTTATTTAGGAGATTGTTTTCCATGTACCAGGTAGTAAGGTATGAAACATTGAATAATTTTACATAGCTGAAGGCTTCAGTATTTATATTTTCTGTTTTATAGTTTACTCAAAGGATGAAAGAACTTCAGGAGAACTGACAAGAGAAGAGTTTTCTGAGTTTAAATCCATCTTGTTGTTTTATGTTGATTTCTGCCAGAAACAAAAGGTAATGGTCATTGGTTAAAATAATTATTATCACGGCAAGAGCTGTCATTAAAATTATTTGCACAGTCATTACTCTTCTTAATGTAAAGTAACAAGAGGGCACTTACCATGTTTGTTGGTGATGCTGTGCACAGAACTAAAGCAATCTGTGTCATGTACTGATTAATGTTAATTTACAACTGCTTTGTCTTTACATGTAGAGCATCTGCGATTAATAGCACACAGTCATTGGCTATCGTTATGAGTGATCTGCAGCCTGCTAGCAGAAACTTTCTTTTACTTGCTCAATTTTGGCATACTTTACAAAAGACTTTGCATGAATTGAGTAAGATCTTTGTTGAGAATGTGTGATATGTTGCTAGGATATACTTTCAAACCCAAGCCTACACGATTGTAATAGCCATGCACTGCAGTGGTCACAGTAAGGACCATCAGTTTATCAATAACAGATGTTCACAATTGAAAAACAAAGGTTGCTGTAGAGGGGAGAAAACAAGATTTTTGAGTCTAGAAGTTCAGGTTGTGGTGACCTCAAAGGCTGTATGGGATTTATGCAAAGATTTCCTTTTCTCCTCCTCACTCAAAGAAAGAAAATGAGGCTGAGTGATCTGCTGTTTACTCATCGTCATTTTTCACCAATTTTTGAAAACGATTGTGTTGGAATAAACTACTGTATGCACTTATTTAATTTTCTCAATAACTGCAGTTTTCCAAACTGGTCAAGTTAAAAAAGGATCAGGCAAATCTTCCCATCAGCCATTTCAAGGATCAAATTGTGGACGCGATAGGAGGCCATCAAGTCATTATCATTGCTGGTGATACAGGCTGTGGAAAATCAACTCAGGTACAGGGTTAAAAAAAATTACTTACAGAAATCATAGTCCAACAGCTTCATGTCATGTGTGGGCAATCCTCCATGTCTCCAAAATAGACCTTATTCATGATTAACCCGCCATTTTTGCATGCCCCTTAAAGCATTGATGGGGTAAATGCAATGTCAAAGGATTTTCCAGGGGCAAACAAGTTATGAAATTTGGCAACAGCAGTAATGGCAGTGGAGTCTGTTTATTCTCTCTCAGTTAGACTTTCTCGAAGTCCTTCGTTCTGGTAGTTGGCCGCAGCACACCCGCTCTCTCACTCGCTTTTATGGCAGAAAACGTAAGAAAACTACCGCTAACACGTAGTGCTTATGAAAAAAAAAATGAACTCAACTTGTGGGCAAGTCTGTGTCTCGATGTACAACATTTACAGTTCGAGTTTCAACAAGTTTTTGATCGTACAATTCCTTGCTGTAAAGAAATCTACGGTCAACAACTGCATTCTGAGTTCTTCATTTTCTATTGTCTAGATGAAACAAATTCGATCGTGATTTCTTGTATGGGCAGATTTTATTACTTGTTTGCCCCTTGAGATACCACGAACATTGCAGTTGTCTCATCAATCCCTACATTGTAAGCGCATGCAAGGATGGCGAGTCTGTGAATAAGGTCTATTGGGCGCATAATTTTGGGATAAATACAAATCTTCCCTCTTGACTTAGAAGGGTTGAAAACTTTTGGTGTGCGAGGCTCAACCAGGAGATTATGAGGTATTCAGGGTCAAATACACATGTAATAATCACCGTATTAACATGAAGATTTTCTCATTTTGTCGCAGAAAAAATTATCTTTCGCGTTATTAAATAGTGCCACAACATTTTTGATATTTTTGCTTTTTGATGCTTAGTACTCCATACTGGTTACAAAACTACACTTCTGTAGTTTATAGCATGTATATTAGGATTTTGTCCACAGTATACTGTCTAATATTGACTTTCAAAATGAGAAGGTTCGCAAAGGCTGAAGAAGATGAAAAAGTACGTAACAAACTGTAAACGCGAGAAATAACGTCTTCGTACGGGTCATGGAAAACCTGGAAAGTCATGGAATTTAAGAATTTTATTTTCCACGACCTGGAAAGTCATGGAATTTAATCGAAGGTCCTTGGAATTTTAAGTTTTGTTTGGTAGATTAGTTACTGCCGATGACAAAGTAAGGACAGATAGAGAGAAATGATTTAACAGCGCGAACGGCATTTAGGTGGACACCAGAGTTGGTGTCTGTTGAACTTTTTAAGGTCAAAAATACCCTGAAACACAAAAGCTTCAAAAATTTGTAAAAGTGACAGCTAAACCTAAGGTCATGGATAAAGTCATGGAAAGTCCTGGAATTTGAAGAGCTTAACGTAGTACGAACCCTGAATAAGTTTTAACCTGTAAGACACGTAAAATATATCAGTAGGTTCTTTTTCAAACTCGTTTTTATTTCTCGGTTCCCCATACTGGTTACAAACCTACTTATTGTTCGGGGTTTACGGCATTATGTAGACTCGTGCTTGGCGCTAACATGACGGTTTAATCAAACGCACTGAGCCTTTCACGTGAGACTTGAAGTCGCTCCACTGGAATACGTTCCCCACCCCTCTCAGACAGGACTTGGTCATGTGGTTGATCTCTTGCTCGTCAATCACGTGATTCCAGATGTTGACACCCGTCAATTCACCAATGAAGCACTGATTGGCGTCAAAGGATCCTCCAAGTGAATCTTGTTCTTGACCAAGTATAAGCACCCCACCACCACGAATCACATAACCTGGAAATTGAAGAATTAGAAAGCAACTTGGTTAACGCGTTTGTTTCTGTTTAACTGACCACCTACCCCTCTCCTAAGTCATAATTTTGGCCTAAGTGAGAAGTAAGTGTTGGTTGTGACTCAGGGGATGGGTAGGTGGTCACACTAGCGCCCGAATGACGTCAGAGTGACTGATTTGCAAGTTTTGTCATTTTTCTCATTTTAATGAGAAAAGACAGACAAACATGACATTTTAATGAAAAAAGTCATACAAAAGTGAGGAATTCGCTAATGTTGATTTCAGTTTTTTTGTCTGAGTTTCGGGTCTATGAATAGTAACTGTGCGCAGCGCTATTGATCGCACGTGTTTCTTTGCTCCGCAATTCATTGGCTCTATTCTATTTTTTGAGCGAAAACAAACAAATTTTACACGCCATCCATGTCATGAGGCGCTTTTGTCATCATACTGTTAAGTTTTCAAGTTATTTTACATGTACGTTACCCTGGCTTTAGAGAGTTGGTGTTAGTCATAGTATTCACACTTCTCCGTGAAATCCACCGCTATAGTCGCAGAAGGAAAAAAAATACCTGTCTTAAAGCCTTTTCCAGAAGCTGCCACCTTTCCATCCTTATACATCTTCCATGATCCAGCGCTGTTCTCCCATGTTAAGCAGATGTGGTGCCATTGGCCATCGTTTGCCAACACAGCTGTTTGTCTAATGAAATATTAAATCATTGAAATGAATTTCACTATTGTCGTCTCTTTTTACATTCTTTATTAAAGATGGAGAGCAAAATCGGTTTCCTTGACTTATTTTCTGCACTTGGCATTTTTATCTGGCAGAGGAGCTTGCTAAAATATACGTTAAAGGTCCACAATATGCTATAATAAGTTTTACACTGCCGTAGCCTGTTTGTTGACTACCAATCTAGCCTATCATAAGACAGTGGTACCTGTGGCTACTTCCGATCGCCAAATAAAACTGTCTATAATTGTGGAGGAGCAGTTCATTGCCCTTTTTTGATCCTGAGGCTGCGTAGCTCAGCACTGTTCCTTCATTCCCCTTATCCGAAGATTTCATCCAGAAACAAACTGTGACTGCCTTGAGGCTTGGCATGCCGCGTTTGATGACATAGTCACTTGTCCCTTTGCGGGTAAATTGCAGAGCGTAGTCGGCGTTTTCTGTTGAAAGAGCAATTCAGTGAAAAGAACGAGCTTAAACGTATTGAGAAAACAGCCAAAAGTTTTCTTCACTAAATGACAATTACATGCACTACCCAGGCTGACCAAAAAAGAAATTCGAGAATAGAAAATTCTTATCGTAAGTGTTTAAACAACGCGGAAGTTATTGCTGACTGAGTTTATACCGTTAATTCGTCTACAGACTCCAAAAATTTGTACCTTGACTTTCCAGAACTGACAACCTCTGGGAGATCGCCTGAATCCGAGAAGAGAGCTCTGCGTTCGATTTCTTAACTGACTCCAAGCTGCTTTTTGTCTTAGCCAGCGCAATCTTATCAGCTCCATCATTGGATACAACAACTTCGTTATAATCTCCAGAAATAATCACTTTCCCATCCGAGGCTGTTGTGTTGACTCGGGCAGACCAAGCAATTTCAGGTACAGTCACGAAACACAGATAAAACAAAATCAAATTTGGATCGAACATGTCGGCGAAGTGAACTGCTTTACTTTGGCGTGATACCCTAAACTTCCTAAAGTAACGACCCCCCGGAAGTAGTGGCCCTTCGAAAGTAGCGATAAAATTTCACAGGTGTTAGCAAATTCCAAAAGTAGCGACCCTCTGAAAGTAGCGACTTCGAAAGTGATTTCTCTTCTTGCTGGAAATAACGGAAATTATAGATATATTTTTTTTAAGGGTTATAATGATCTTTGACATTCCTTTATGGAACTCAAAAAGTCTTCCTTTCGTCTGTGAATACCCACAAGATAATCAAACAATTATTTGAATATTCATTTAAAAAGCAATATCATAAGATGAGTTTCTCCAAATAAAAATTGTGGATGTTTTCACAATTGTCGCGACATTATTTTCGTAACTTCCCACGGCCCATGAACGATACACGTTTTAGCTACCCGAAAGTAGCGACCGTCTGAATGTAGCGACCCTCCGAAAGTAGCGATAGGGAAAGGCTGCTAAATCCGAAAGCAACGAGGGTCGTTAATTACTTTCGGAACTTTACGGTAAAGACCTTTGTGTATAAATTAACACAGGAAGTCTTTTTTCTTGATCGTCGACATAAACAATTTGAACTAGACCGTGTTTAAATATTTGTATTTCAAAACTTGAAACAATTGTGAAATCTCTTTAAAGAGCTCATATTTTGTAATCTACTTAAATGTCATTATTGCATATAGACTCTTTGAACAAGACTAAGAGCGAATTACAAACGGCGAGCCTGGTAAACTCAGACGTATGTTTTGAGTATTGTAGTCTATTTATTTTAAATATACACATTCGCAAACACGTCGTTTTACCGTATATGCAACAGTTTAGAAGGATTTATTGGCTATCAACACATATTTTGCTGCAGTTTAACAAGAAACGATTGCCAAAAAATATGAACAACAATATAGAATATGTTGATGTACAGTTAACCTTCTGTCCGCTGTCAAATATTAATTTGACATTAAAATGTTCATGGAAGCGAATTCAAATTAAACACAGACTGAGCTAACCAAGCGTATGACACAACATTACAGACATCAGTTAGGGGCACCGAACAGCTTTTTCAGTAAAATTACCTTTAGAAGGAGCAAATTATATTGCCCAGAAATTTCAAAAGTTCGAAAAGGGCTTAAAACTTTCCGGTTAACCGTTGCTTTCGTCTAAGATATTCGGAGTTTTTCTACACTCTTTTTTTTATATAAGAATGTTGTTTTTCCGGCCCAGGCTGAATATTCTTATTTTTCTGCCGATTTTAGGCTGAAAATATTCTTGTATTATTCTTAAATTATAGCTTATGACATTTTCCTTTTAGAATGTATTGGGGTATCAAGTATAGTTAGTGCAGGTTTTTGCGCCTTGTTGGCAAGTTTTGCCGTTCAGAGGATGGAATAAGTTGAAAACATAATTCCCAAATTTCTTGTTCAAAAACCGTATTTGTCATACGAAGTTCTTTGGTTGCCCATTGTTTCAAGAAGGGCCCCAGTAGGTTGTTAGGGATCCTTTATTTGGTTTATTCCGAGCGAAAAGGGGAGCAAGATTCAAGACCCCGAAACGCAAAAAAGCCACAGGATTTTTGAAAAAATCGACATCCGGTTGAAGCAGCCCGGCGTAATTCAAATGACCACGAACAAAATTTCAATCTGACTCAGACATAGTGTAATGAAACACAAGCATTCGATTGAAATCTTTTTTGTTGTGAGCTCGATTTTGCTCCATTTATCTTTTCTCAAGACTGAACCTAATTGATTAAACTCAATCATAGGCCCGATTACGTCGGAGAAAAGAATGGTACATGCACTGAATACAAAACCATCAATTTCAAGGGGGAATTTAAATTAGAACGGGAAGTTTTCTTGGCCGCGTTTGTTCCCCGTTTCGGGAGACAGTTGAATGATCACACCATAGGATTTCGTCTACATACTCAAAAGTTAGAGTTAAATTCTAAATGAATAGTACCATGTGAAAGTACTGCTGAAGAGGTTTCATTTGAATGGTAACACCATAGGATTTCTTCTACAGACTCGGCAAAAGTTAGAGTTAAATTCTAAATAAATATAACCATGTGAAAGTGCTACTGAAGAGGTAGTAGCATACGATATCATCCCCAGTAAACTGTACTATTGACTTTGAAAATGAAAAGGTTAACACAACGGCTAATTCATATTAAAAAATAACATTCTTAAGTACATACAGTGTAGACAGATTGCGAAAACGTGGAATAAGTTGTAAGATTTAAGACACATAAAAACATAAGGAAGTTTTTTTTTCTTTTTTAATGCTTGATGCTACATACTAAGAGCCTCAAGTATGGTCTTGTCCATAGTGGTTTCAAAACTACTTTTTCCGGAGTTTAAAGCATGTAGACTCATGCTTGACGCTAACATGACGGTTTAATCGAACGCACTGAGCCTTTCACGTGAGATTTGAAGTCACTCCACTGGAATACGTTCCCCACCCCTCTCAGACAGGACTTGGTCATGTAGTTGATCTGTTGCTCATTGATCACGTCATTCCAGATGTTGACACCCGTCAATTCACCAATGAAGCACTGATTGGCGTCAAAGGATCCTCCCAGTGAATCTTGTTCTTGACCAAGTATAAGCAACCCACCACCACGAATCACATGACCTGGAAATTGAAGAATTAGAAATCAACTTCTTTAATACTTTTCTGTACTTCGTAATTCATTGACAGTATTCAATATTTTTCTCTTTTGTGAGCAAAAAAAAAAAAAAAAAAAAAAAATTCCACGTCCTGAGGCACTTCTATCATCATTGCTGTTGAGTTTTCTAGTTATTTTACCAAAATTTTGTCAAAGTATTTACACTTCTTCGTCAAGAGCGCACCTAGTCGCAGGGGAGAAAAATACCTGTATTCATGCCTTTTCCAGAAGCTGCCACCTTTCCATCTTTATACATCTTCCATGATCCAGCGCTGTTTTCCCATGTTACGCAGATGTGGTGCCATTGGCCATCGTTTGCCAATACAGCTGTTTGTCTAAATGTAATGAAATGATTACAATAGATTTCATTATTTTGTCTCTTTTCTTTTTTACATTCTTGTTTAAAGTTGAAGAGCAAAATTGGTTTTCATAACACTCATGTATCTTTTGCACTTAGCATTTCATCCGACACTGCTGTTTGAACAACCGGAGCCTACATATTTTCTTAAAGGTCCACGATAAGCGAAATTTCTACAACACTGAGTTTGTTTGTTAACTACAACCTAGCCTATGATAGGACATTGGTACCTGCCGTTTTTTCCTACTCCAAAATCAAACTTTTTGTAGTTGTACAGGAGCAGTTCATTGTATGATCCGGACACTGCGTAGCTTAACGGTACTCCATCGTTCCCCTTATCCGAAGATTTCATCCAAAGACAAACTGTGACTGCCTTGAGGCTTGGCATGCCGCGTTTGACAACATAGTCACTTGTTCCTTTGCGGGTAAATTGTAAAGCGTAGTTGTTCGTAGCTAAAAGAACAATTGAAATGAACAAGCTTGAGACTTATTGACAAAAAATGAAAAAGCGCTCTTCAATGAAAGCGTTTTACAATTGTAAATACGAAAGTCATTAATTATTTTCTAATTGTTATGTTCTCGGACTGCTACCAATAGTACAACTGCACACAAGATGGCGGATCAACTCTAATTATACTGTAAACATTAATTATACTGTTCAGGTTCTAAACTGAATGATAAATTCACAAAAAGGAAATTCGACCGGAAAAAAAATCTTATCGTAAAATTCGTTTGAGCAAACACTATTACGCGGAAGCTATTGCTGACTCCAAAAATTTGCACCTTGACTTTCCAGAGCCGACAATCTCTGAGAGATGTCCTGAACCTGAGAGAAGAGCTCTGCGTTCGATTTCTTAACTGACTCCAACTGCTTTTTATCTTAGCGAGCGAAATCCTACTATCTCGATCAGTGGATACAACGACTTCGTTATGATTCCCAGAAATGATCACCTTCCCACCCGAGGCTGTTGTGTTGACTTGGGCAGACCAAGCAATTTGAGGTACGGCCACCAAACACAGATAAAACGAAATCAAATTTGGATCGAACATGTCGAGGAAGAAAACTGCTTTGTGTAATACTAAGAACTTTTGCGTGATACAGACCTTTGCTAATTTCAAAGTACATATGTGCAGTGTATAAATTAACAGAGCAAGTCTTTTTTTCTTGATCGTCAACGTGTACAATTTGAACTAGACCGTGTGTAAATAGTTGTGTTTCAAAAGTTGAAGAAAATTATGAAACCTCTTTTAAGAGCTCATGTTGTATATCACTATCGAAATGTCATTATTGCATAGATTTTGAAGAAGACTAGCAAGAGCAAATAACAAACGATAAGACTGGTATATTCAGATGTATGTCTTGAGTATCGAAGTCTATTTATTTTCAATATAGGCACATTCTCAAACACGTCGTTTTACTGTATATGCAACATTTTGAAAGGATTTATTGGCTATCAACACATATTTCACTGTTAGTTAAAACTGGCGATTGCCGGAAATATGAACAACAATATAGAATATGTTGATGTACGTTTAACCTTCTGTCAGCTGTCAAATGTTCATGGAAGCGAATTCAAATTAAACACAGAGCTAACCAAGCGTAATACACAACATCACAGACATCAGTCAGGGGTACCGAACGACTTTTTTCGGTAAAATTACCGTTCGAAGGAGAAAATTATAATGCCTAGAAATTTCTAAAGTTAGAAAAGGGCCCAAACATTTCTGGTTAACCGTTCCTTCCGTCTAAGATATTCGGAGTTTTTCTAAAGACATCCGAACAGATACAATCACTGGCAACAATGTTGATAATCGTACACTGATCATCAGGAGATTCTCTAACGAACGTTCACAAGCGTTCAGAGAGCATTTTTGATAACTAGCAAAGGTGCTTGATCCGGTGTTTTAAAACATATAAGAAGACATTCCCAAATTTCTTGTTCAAAAACCGTATTTGTCATACAAGGTTCTTCGGTCGCCCATTGTTTCAAGAAGTGCCCAAGTAGGTTGTTGGGGAGCCTTAATTTGGCTTATTCCGGGCGAAAAGGGGAGAAAGATTCAAGACCCCGGAAACGCAAACAAGCCACAAGACTTGAAAAAAAAATCGACATCCGGTTGAAGCAGCCCGGCTTAATCGAAATGAACCGGCAAGAACAATCAAAATTTCAGTCTGACAACTAACATTACGTAATGGAACACAAGCATTCGAGTGAAGTCTGTTTTGTTGTGAATCGATTTTACTTCATTTATTCTTTCTCAAGGCTGGACCTAATTGATTAAACTCAAATCACAGGCTCGATTACGTCGGAGAAAGGAATGGTACATTCAGTGAATGCAAAAACATCAATTTCAAGGGGAGTTTGATTAAGAACGGGAAGTTTTCCTTGGCCGCGTTTGTCCCCCGTTTCGGGAGACAATTGAATTATCACACCATAGGATTTCGTCTGCAGACTTAAAAGTTAGAGTTAAATTGTAAATAAAATAGTACCATGTGAAAGTACAGCTGAAGAGGTAGTACCATAGGATATCATCCCCAGTAAACTGTACTATTGACTTTGAAAATGAAAAGGTTAACACAATGGCTAATTTATATAAAAAAGAAAATAAGTCTCAAGTACATACAGTGTAGACAGATTGTGGAAGCGTGGAATAAGTTGTAAGATTTAGGACACGTAAAAACATCAGAAAAATTTTTTTCTTTTTTAATGCTTGATACTCCATACTAAGAGCCATAATTATGGCTCTTGTCCATACTGGTTACAAAACTACTTTTTCCGGAGTTTAAAGCATGTAGACTCGTGCTTGAGGTTAACATGACCGTTTAATCGAACGCACTGAGCCTTTCACGTGAAACTTGAAGTCACTCCACTGGAATACGTTCCCCACCCCTCTCAGACAGGACTTGGACATGTGGTTGATCTCTTGCTCATTGATCACGTGATTCCAGATGTTGACACCTGTCAATTCACCAATGAAGCACTGATTGGCGTCAAAGGATCCTCCCAGTGAATCTTGTTCTTGACCAAGTATAAGCACCCCACCACCACGTATCACATGACCTGGAAATTTAAATATTAGAAAGAAATTTTTTAATTTTTCTCCTTGCAGCTAACTTAGTTTTTTTATTTAGTATTACTAGAGCGAAAACAAACAGTAATTTTACTTCCACACTATAAGTTTTTTTCTGAGAGTCAGAACTGATGTAGCTCAACGCTATCCACTCTTAATCGTGCAGTGCCACGTTAGTCACAGAGGGCAAGCATACCTGTCTTAAAACCGTTTCCAGAAGCTGCCACCTTTCCATCTTTATACATCTTCCATGATCCAGCGCTGTTCTCCCATGTGGCGCAGATTTGGTGCCATTGCCCATCGTTGGCGGATACAGCTGTTTTTCTAAAGAAGTTGAAAAGTTGATTTACCTCCGTCTTACACTTTTATTATTGTTAATTGTCTTGTAGTCCGTAGTCGTTTAATAGTACATTCACTCTTAAAAACTACATGTAATTTTCGTAAAGCGTATCTCTTATAGGACCACCGTAAGGATATGTCGACACTAACCTAGTTACGGACGCCTGATGCATTTATGGCTTCCTGTGAGAATGATGTTTATCGGTTTAAAGTCGTGTTTAGGGATATTTGTACCTTTCTCCGTTTCCTAACCAAAACATGAACTTTCTGTAGTCCATAAAGACCAATTCATTGTCGTGTTTTGATTCTGAGACTGCGTAGCTCAACGGTGTTCCTCCATTTCCTTTATCTGAAGACTTCATCCAAAGGCAAACTGTGACGGCCTTTAGGCTTGGCATGCCGAGTGTCGTGACATAGTCACTGGTGCTTTTGCGGGTGAAATGCAAAGCGTAGTTGTTTGCTGCAAAAAGAACAAATAAATTATTCCAGCTTGTTGAAGGATGACGCGAGACTTATTGACAAGAAAGCCAATAAAGCGGTCTTACATGGTCTTCACTGAAGAGCATAAAGGGTTTATAAATGCGGACAAGGGTTTACTCTTAATATTGTAATTTAAAAGCTTGGGATCTAAAATTAATGATAATTTCACTGCTAGAGCTAACTAAAAAAATGGGGAAAAAATCACCCTATTGTAAAACCTGTTTAATCAAAACAATATACATTGCCCGCTCGATGGTCGTTTTTGTTTCCAGACTCGAAAGATTCGTACTTTGACTTTCCTGAGCCGACAACCTCTGAGAGATGTTCTGAACCCGAGAGAAGAGCTCTTCGTTCGATTTCTTAACTGACTTCAAACTGCTTTTTATCTTAGCGAGTGCAATCTTATTATCTCTATCTGTAGATACAACAACTTCGTTATGATTGCCAGAAATAATCACTTTCCCATCCGAAGCTGTTGCGTTGACTCGGGCAGACCAAGCAATTTGAGGAACAGCCACGAAACACAGATAAAACCATATGAAATTCGGATCGAACATGTTGACGAATATTGTGTCCTCTATTAGACTAACAACTTTTCGGTTGTGTCAGACATTTGGTCCCAAATCGAATTTGTGTAAATTAACAAAACAAGTCGTTTTTTCTTGATAGTTAATGCATACAAATACTGTTTGATTACGTATGCAGTTACTAAACCATGTTCAAATATTTACGTCAAACGTTTAGAAAAGAAAATAATGAGCTTGTGAACCGATATAAAGATATTGTTATTATTATTGTATAAAATGTAAAAACAAAAGCCTGACTGTTAAAACGAAAGGTAATGGGGAAAAGGAAAATTCAGAAAGCGACGCATTCGCATAGTCCATTCTCAATATAAATTCATAAACAAGTCCTTTTTACAGGAAGTTTAATAAGCAATATTATCATTTTGATACATAGTAGTACGACTCAAGTTATCAAATTGCTAATCAGATCAAACAAATGTTACACGAAGAAAAAGAAAAGTCTAATTCATGATAATTTCCTAAATCAAGTTTTTTTTCTACACCCTCGACATTTTTATACAATTTGAAACCATTATGTTTAAATGTTTCTTTTACAAAATAATTAAACTTGCTGAGAGAATTAGGAAACCTATTTTCGATGAAGAGTCCTTACAAACATTATGTTACTATTGTATAAACTGTGAAGAAGCCTGAGAACAAGTAAGACATCATAAGACTAGTAAATTCTGAAAGCAACATACGTCTTGCGATGAATCGAATACGGTGAATTCTTTCCAAAGCATATACTGACGATTCAGGAAACTGTCGCTTAATTTATCATGTATATAATCTACGTGTACTCTTTATACTTTGAGAAATTAAAGTACGAGTCATAAAAAGTCTTTAGTCTTGTACTTGGGGTTATTCCTTAACTAAATTCGTAACAAATCACTGCCCGGGTGAGTGAATCAGAATGTAACCCGGCGCCAAAATTAGATATTAATCTTGTTAACCATCCAAAACAAAATCCTTCTGATCACTAAAATTCTCTTCGAGAGGAAATAACACAAATAAGATAAGACCACAGTCAATTCAGTCTATTCTCCGAAAGAGAAATAGAAATATCAATACGGAACAAAATGTGGGAGATTATAACGAATAAAGTGCGGTGAATACGTCTTGCCTACGTTTAGTCTTCAGTGTTTCAGCTGTCAAATATTCATGGGTGCGAATTCAAATTCAACACACGCAGTGCTAGTCAGACGTAACTACAGTGACAACAATGTCAGTAATCATGAATGTGACATTAGGAAATTCACAAGGTTTTGAGATGTATATTAGTGACCGGCAAAGGTACCCAATCAAGGCGGCGGAATCCTTTTTTTTTTCAACCCTTGATAAGATTTCCCTAAAGCCCTATCTATCAGTTTATCCCGCATGCAACAATCACATATTATTTTATACGAATAGACTAGAAACGTATGCGTAATAACTGTATGGGGTTGTCCGGAAATCTTAGCCAACCCTTTAATTTCCACTTCCGTCATGTTTGTAGGTTCCTCAGTACCTTTTACACGCTGGCTTTACGCGGATTGCTTGCACTCAGCCTCGGCGGATTGCTTGCATCTCATTGGCCAAAAGAGTAGGATATGAAACACTGAATGAGTATGGATCACAAGTAGGATATCAGGTAAGGGAAAATGAACTGAAGCTTGCATTGGCATGTAGTATTTGCATCTTGTAGTATGATTCAGGCTATGACAAACACCGGTTCGCTTTTCCTGTCGACATCATAAGATATTTGGTACAGTCATGAACAGCAACGGCACAGAAGTAGAAGAAGTCATTGATTTTACATCTTACTTGATCGGTTTGGTCCAATCCTCACTTCTGAATATTTTAATATTTAAAAGTCTCAGCGGGTTTCAGTCCTCGCTTCTACTCGTTGACTTCCGCTACGATCTGGAAACCTGTTCACACCGCGACGAAGAGTGGCCTTCTAAGTGGGTTTCAGTTCTCTCTTGTACTCATTGACTTCCGCTACGATCCGGTGAAAACCCGTTCACACTGCGACGAATAGTGGCCGTCTCAGTGGGTTCCAGTCCTCGCTTCTACTCATTGACTTCCGCTACGATCCGCTGGAAACCTGGTCGCACTGCGACAAAGAGTGGCAGAAACCTATCTGATATGTGACGATCCACTTTCAAGGGCTTTGCTTAGAAATCGCTCCGAAATTAGCGTCCGTATGTGAGAGCAGAAGCCCTATCCAGTAGGATTTTCGTGTCGGCGCAAGAGCTATCCGGCCGGTATAATTTGAACCTAGCCTCAGTTTTTTCAGTCATTTCGATTTTGATAACTGATTTATTACCATTAGTTTTTATTCGAGTATTTTAGTGAGTATGGCTAGTTTTTTTTCCGATTTTGTATTATTTTGTTCTATGTTGTACATATTCGTATTTTTTTTAAACATATATGTATAATTTTTAAAGCGTATTTTTTAGTGCCTATTTTCTCATACTATGACCCCCCTTGTAAGTATGATGTTTTTAATTCCGAATTATTAATCGTAGCAAATTCAGCAGGTCCGACTTGCTTCTATATTCACTTTTTTATAGTTTTGTTTTTACCATTGTGAATTTCTGATACCGCGATGGACTGTGTATTTTTGGCGCGTTTGATTTCAGTCAGTCATCGTTTAAATGTATAAAAGTGACCTTGTAATTACACTTTTCATCGTATTGATTTCTTTCTAAAAAAAGTTTTTTTCCGATGACAGATTCGATTTGAAGCTAGCAAAACCCGTGCCACAAGGATTTTGTTCCTGACAGAAGGTATATGTAGAAAACATGGTGTCCGTCTTAGTAGTAACACATTTTTACCATTTTATAAAATACTTGGTGCCTTTCGAAGCGTCAAAAGTTAAAGGCTTACGGTATTATTATTGCTCCCATAATCACAATAGTAAGAACAATGTCTTCATCCCTTCCAATTATCAGCAAGGTTACACATAATAATCATTCTTATTGGTGTACCAGCGTCCGAGGTTACAGACCCATAGTTTGTAATCCATGGGTTTATACCATAAAGACTGGGAAACCGGAAATTTCGATAAGGAAACCAAATGGTGCTTGTTATTCCGTTTTGGAAGTTGCCAAAATGTAGCTGCCTTTTTAGACGATGCAATCTTTTTTCTGGTGCTAGTCTCAAACTGATTTGGAAACATTTTGTATAACTGGTGGGTCGTTCTCCCACAAGATCAAATTTAATTGCTTCAACCTTTTTACAGGAGATTTTTAACTAGCTAGTTCTGTAAAAAAAAAAAATATTCCATCTATTATACCGGGCCTTATTATATTCACTACTTTATCCACCGATTTACAATCACTTCCCACAGCTGTAACTTGAGATGTTTCGTCACTATTTTTTCTTCTTAAGCCAGATTATTTGAGCATTGTAATTGTCTTGTATCTTCTTAGAGCTTGGTAAATCGGAGGTCAGTCCGATTACATTATGCAACACTTCTTCGTAAATGCTACAGGTGTTCCTGTAATCATTCTGTATATTTTCTTGTTAAGTACTTTGGGAAAGTGCACCGCATTTATTTGCCCAATCAAACCCAGTTATGTAAAGAGCTCATGCTTTTATCACTATCAATGGAAGATTTTTTTCCTCTTTTCCCCATTGCCTTTTCACCTGTAGGTCTTCTGCTGCGTCAGTTATCGTCCGACCCCACCCTGAGTCAGTACAGTGTTATTGTGGTTGATGAGGTACACGAGAGGCATATTCACGGAGATTTTCTGCTGGGTGTGTTACGGGGCTTACTGCAGGCGCGTGCTGATCTGAAGCTTGTTCTAATGTCTGCTACTATTAATATCAGGTACAGTGTTTGGTTACGCGATGTACTTGGCGAAGTAAGGGGTGTGTTGAGGTGGTTCTCTTTGAAATAGGTACAACTTTTATTGAATGTAATTGACCACGTACCGTAAATGCTCTATTTGGTGCCCGGTTCGTTTATTTCAATGTCTTTGGTAAGCACTTATTCCGGGAAGAGGGCCTTTATACACCGTATTCACAAATGGCGGACACGCGGGAAAAAACTGGTGCCTAGTCATGAAAGCGAGGCGTTGGAGGGTAAACAAAAATTGCAAATGAAGACTTTCAGTGAACTTGCAGAGTGTTTAACACGGATTCCACCTAAAATAACTTTGTATGGACGTCTTTTTAAATACAATGACGTGGGACGTCTTCTGCTTCTAATGTTTAGTACTGATTTGCTTTTTGCAATCAAAAGGGACGCGTATATCTTCAAGGAAACAGGATGATTTTGTAGGTTTCCGAAGTATCAGAAGCTCGACAAGTGGGTGATGGCTGGAGAAAAGCGGCAAACATGTTGGCTCAAACTTCACGCTGAAACCGAATACGAAAGCCAGCTCACTGCAATTCTGTAAAACAGAAGTAAAAACAGATATTGGTGGCAAGAAAAAAGAAATAAGCGACGGATATATGGCCTATTTGTCAACGGAAGAGACCTCCGCCATTACTCAAAACAGGTCAAGTCGAGAGCGGGTGAAAGATTCATTCACGAGACTCATTCATTCATGTCAGTGTCATATCTATGTATGTCTGTATTTACAACTTCCTTTGGATGACATTAATTCCGTCGCTTTGGAGTGAATTGTTAGAGGTACGTTGGCAGAGCTTAGCAAATTCAGTGCAAATTTAAAATCTTTTGATTTATTTGTCATTGCGAAATAAAATAATTTAATCAAAACTAGAAGCTCTAGTGTGTGAATCTTATGGCTTGCTATTTGCCTGGTCTCCTTTACGGCATTATCTCGGAGAGCTCTTGGTAAAAAAAGTGGTATAAAGCTCACATTTTACTAGGTTAAACTTTTAAGGCAATGTTTGTGTCAGGAACACGGCAAGCTTCTGTTTCGAATCATTAAATGCGAGTCTGGATCCGTTTAAGAAGACCATCATTTTATTTATTTATGTATTCTTCCCTTTTAAAATATTATGGAACATGAAGTTAAAACTTTTAACAGCCATAGATAAGAAATAGGAAAATTACTCGCTGAAATGAAATGTGGCCGGCTTACCGAGTCTGCCGAGTAACAAGTTGAAATTTTGAGCGTACTCCACTCGATCGCTCCTGCATTTATGCCAAAAAGATAGTTCTAATTGATGTCCTTCATCGATAAAGACCAGAGAATGACGTCCTGGCAAATAAACACCAAACATAACTTCATCGAAACCTCAGTCACCGCTTCTTTCCTGTCTTCCTTTTTTCCATCTTGATTTGAACTGTTTTGTTCAATGGCACACGTTTCTTGCGTTAACAAGTAGGCCATATATCCATCGCTTATTTCTTTTTTTCTTGCCACCAAGATTTGCATTGTTTATATTTCTGTTTTACCGAATTGCAGTGAGCTGGCTTTCGAACTCGGTTTCAATGTGAAGTTTGTCCAACATGTTTGCCGCTTTTCTCCAGCCATCGCCCACTTGTCGAGCTTCTGATGCTTCGGAAACCTACAAAATCATCCTGTTTCCTTGAAGATATACGCGTCCCTTTTGATTGCAAATAGCAAATCAATACTAAACATTAAAAGCAGAAGACATCCCACCTAATTGTATTTAAAAAGAAGTCCGTACAAAGTTATTTTAGGTGGAATCCGTGCTAAACACTCTGCAAGTTCACTGTAAGTCTTCATTTGCAATTTTTGTTTACCCTCCAACGCCTCGCTTTCATGACTAGGCACCAGTTTTTTCCCGTGTGTCCGCCATTTGTGAATACGGTGTATTTCGTTCTCGAAAAATTTTTTAAGTTATCGTCAGCTTTGCATATGTAATTTAGCGCAAACGTGTCTCAGTTCAGGGAATTCCACGGGTAACTTGGCGCAGAATGCGCTGCACTTTTACAGGGCTAGGAGGTAAAAATGATTCCTTTAGAATGTTAAACAGTTCTTGCTAGTGCTTATGCGGCCTAACTGACTTTGGCCTGGCAATATATAGGGGAGGAGGGCAAACGTTCCTCCTGGGCCTTTCATTAGTTTCACCCCAACAGTTAGCACTTCCCATTAGTACAGATGAAAGGTTGGTCAAGAAGACTGGCTCCAGGTCAGTGCAGACGGTTTTCGTCCATTTTTTTTCGATGCGCACTCCCCATTATCTTGGAGCCTGGAGCAAGCTATGCGAAACAAATTTGAAAATAGCAAAAATGCGTATGACATGAGAAACAATCAACTTATAGAGGTAGCATTTGGAAATCTTTTTGTTTTTGTCGTTGTTGTTGATTTTACTGATTTTAGTTAGACAATGAAGTAACATTTTTTCTGCTTCTGTCGTTAATAGCTTGTTTGCGGGCTACTTCACTGGAGCCCCGGTGATTCAGGTAAGTACTTCATGTATGATGTCATTATTTGAATCTTTACTCCCATTCGCCACTTTATAAAAGAGAAGGGAACTGGAACCGAAATTCATCCCGCAATTGATTGTGGGATCGTTACTGGGGATTTACCTGTCCCTAGTAACAGTCCCAGAAGTCTTAGCTCGGACCAGGTTCCATCTTGTTTTTAAAGTGGCGAAGGACGAGCGTGATGTAAAACTTAGATGACTCTGAGGTAAATCGCTAATTTCTATTAAAATATGTCTAATGCAGATCCCAGGCCGACTATTTCCCATTGAAGTGCGCTACCAACCTACAAATGTTGAGGTATTTGTGACTTCTATTTCCTTGACTTATTTCTTAGATTGCTTTTCTCCAGCGCAAATTGTGGCATTAATTTTCTTATTGTTTTTCGCCGTATTAAGCAAGTTTCCAGCAGTTCAAGTCGTTCGGAGAGACTGGATCCCTCCCCTTACCTCAGAATTATGCAGCTTATTGATCACAAGGTTAGTTATTGACCTCTTTAATAAAAGTACATTCGACTTAAGGAGACAATGGTGTAATTTCTGCCGTGCTTCAGTTTAAATTTGTAGTAGTAAAAGCGTTTACACGTCAATGTCTTCCGTGTTGCTCGTCACTTGTGGCGCGAGTCTTTACGAATGAAATTATATTCTTGTCAAAAACACAACAGAAAAAAAAATATTAATTATGAAATCTTCTTCGAGCCGGATTCGAACCAGCGACCTAAGGATGACTTCATGTACTCTACAATCCTCCGCTCTACCAACTGAGCTATCGAAGAAATCGCGAGTGGCGGTGAGTAAGTTCAAGACAAAAATCGTCCACCATACTGATAGGCTTTTGGTCTTTTTAATTTTGGTTTTGTTGACTTATTCCCATATCCGTCAAGAGAGCTACCTAGAAAAACTGTAAACTAATCTGCACTTAAGAAGACTACAGTACTCTATGCTCAAATTCCCTTTTGGCAACCGAAAATTATAGAATGGTCGCCAGACATAATATTGTTTGCTAGGGTAAAAATGATCACAATGGCCACCGAACTTTTGCACTCAAATTTGGAGGGGCACGTGATATCCCCCGGAGGGGAGGGTACTCCCTATTATGGCCTATAAGGGGAGGCGCTGCCCGAAAGGGGTATCTTTTTCTGGGTTTAAGGCGTTAGACCTTGGAGCGGAGCCTCCCCGTATAAAACTTTGTCGAGTTGAATCCCCCCTCCCCACCGGGGGCGATATCACTAAATGCTCGGGCAGCCAGGGTGAAAAGTGAATGGTAATGAAATTGGAGCATAACATTTCGCGTAAATCAATTCACCCTAATTTTTGGAAGACCATAAACTAATTAAAACACTGCAGCTTGGCATATTTCCGCCAAACGGAGGTCACCAAATTGACGATTCTCGCTGCAATTTTAGGCTCCATCCACACGAATCCGGACATTTTTGAAACCACATATTTTGTTATAAGGATTCGTGCTGACGTGGCTTTGCCATTTTTTTTGTACTCTTCATAATGGCCGCAGCTTAAAGTGTTGGACTGGGAGCAAAAAAGCAATTGTTTAAAACTAGTAGCAATCTTAGATTAGGAAGCGCGTTCGAGTTTTCTTAGTTGTGCTGTTAGTTTTCATGAATCCTTTAAACAACATGGTAAATGAAATTTACCCGAAGAGCAAAAGAAACGGCCAAAATCCTCGTAGCAAACGAAACTTTGCACAAACACTCTACTGAAACCCTTGTTTTAAGCAGGGGAGACCGAACATCAGAGAAACTTGCTTGGCAATCTCGTTCGTAGAGTCCGCGTCGGTTGACCTCGTGGTAATATGGACTTTAAGATTCAACGACGCGACGATAACGAGAACCTCTGAAGAACAATAGGTTTAATAAGCAAAACAACAACTTTTCACGTGCATCACACTTTTTTGGACATTTTTTTTACCGTTTCAGTTGCATGACTACGACGTGAAAATACCTAATTTCGTGTTATATGGAGAATGTAAACAAGCAACGACGAAATTTTATTTCGTTTTCTGAACTTGAATATGGCCCTTTGGAATTCAAATTCAGGAGGGTTCGCGTACAGTTGAAAAAAATAAGTAAGTAGGGATAATCGCGATAAAGACTGAAGGTCGGAACACACTAGGCAACAAGTTGCAGCAACATGTCGCGGCGACACGTTGCAGCGACAAATCGCTTCGTGTGTACTGGAGAATTTTTGTGAAAATCTTTGTCGCTGCAACAGAATTTGTCGCCGCAACAAGTCGCACAGATTCAGTCTGATTTGATTTTTTGCGACTTGTTGCAGCTACAAAATTCTGTTGCGGAGACAAAGATTTTCACAAAAATTCTCCAGCACACACGAAGCGATTTGTCGCTGCGACGTGTCGCCTCACCTTGTTGCTGCAACTAGTCGCCCGACCTGTGCACACGGAGTGATCTGTCGCCGCGACGTGTTGTAGCAACTTGTCGCCTAGTGTGTACCGACCTTCTGAAAGAACGCAAATTCACTTTTTAAGCGACGTTCTCTTTGCTGTCGCGTCATTGGATTTTAAAGTCCTTAATGACTCTGTGCGAGCGTATTACGTCGTTAATTCAAGGTGACGACGAACACCGCTCAAATATTTGACCAAACAAAGCAATGTGAAACGACTCCCTCAACGTGCCTGGTAACGGCGCAACGAAATGGGTAACCGCGCCTGAAGACTATGATTACGTTTATAACTCTGCTCAATCTGACCTTATTTTCGACCATAGTTTATTCTCAGAAATCACACGCCGGAATATTCGTGCCGTAAACAGAGTTTACTAGGTGCAGAATATCCTTTCCCTCCCCTCCCCTGCCATGTTACTCCCTCCTTCCTCTCCCTGTGAGATTGGGTGAGTCGACATCTTGTCAGTTATTATCTATATATTTATTGATTCACTTGTTAATTAATTAATTAATTATAGAAATATTGTTCAAATGAGGCCGTAAACTGCTTTTCTACAAAAACAGAATTAGAATCCAAGCTTTCGCCGATTTATATAAATATACATAGGTGTAAGGTAAAATGTGTAAAAGCCTAAAAATGATGCAGTTTAGGGTCTCATCTCAACAATATTTTTATTTTCAATCATGCTGCTAAAGGACAACATAAAGATAATTAATTAATTAGTTAATTATCGTTAATTATGTATTTAGTATTTATCAATTCATTTTGAACCAGGCATCACACTTGGGAGTGATTTCTTTTTCTTTAACAGTACCATACACGTTCTTAGACCTTTATTGTCTTTCTACCCGTATAAGAATAAGAGAACTGTACTAGACGAAGTATACAGCTTTGTAAATGAAGGTCATGTACAGTGTATGGACGGGGGTACACGGTTTTAATATTTGACCAGCCTCAAGCGCCGGGAAAACGGACGCAACATTGTTGGTCAGCAACTCCCAACATTGTTCGATGTTACAGGTGCGTCTGTTTGCACACCCTGTTGATTGTTGTTTCGTGTTGTTGGGAGTTGCTGCGCAAAGATTGAAACTGGTCAAACGTTTAGCTACGGGCAGTCAATGTTGGGACTTGTTGCGTCCGTTTCACCGAGCTTTAGACTTAAGCTTTCATACAACGTTTCTTATTGCTCCTGTTTTCGCAGTATCCTTCCTCTGAGCGCGGGGATGTTTTGATGTTTCTAAGTGGTTTGTCGGAAATTTCGGCTGTTGTTGACGCCGCAAGGGAATATGCACAGCGGACTCGCCGGTGGGTTGTACTGCCATTGCATAGTTCACTGTCAGTGGAGGAACAAGACAAGGTAAAAACCGGCTTTTCTTATTGCTACAGAGCGTTGCCAACAGCTATGCAAATTTATTGCGACAGAAGAAAGCTTTTACATCAGATAAGGACTGGTTTGGAGCACCACCACCATGGCGGATGTAGCCTGCGTAGCAAGCGTTTCCGTACGGTTTCGGAGCAAAAAACGAGGAACAAGAGTCAAAGACAGCGACGAGTTTCTCGGGCGGCCAAAACCGAAAGTCCTGTTCCTCTGTCTTTCTTTGCTTTGAAACCAAACGGAAACGCTTGCTACGCATGCTATGACGGATGTGGCATCAAGTGAAGAGACTCCATTGGTATTCCCCTGTTCCCCCTGTTCCCTCTTGTTCCTCCGTTTGCCCTTGTTCCCCGTTCCCGTTGTTCCCTGTTCCGCCTTGTTCCCCCTGTTCTCCTGTTTCCCCTTGTTCCCCTTGTTTCCCTGTTCTCTTTGTTCTCCTGTCACCCCATATTCCCTGTTTCCCCTTGTTCCCCTTGTTTCCCTGTTCCCCTTGTTCCCCTGTTCCTTTTGTTCTCCTGTCACCCCTTATTCCCCTGTTTCCCCTGCTCCCCTTGTTCCCTTGTTTCCCTGTTCCTCTTTTCCCTTGTTCTCCTGTCACGTGTTCCCCTGTTCCTTTGCTCCTCTGTTCCCCTGTTCCCCTGTTCCCCTGTTGCCTTGTTCCCCTGTTCCCCTGTTTCCGCTTCTCCCTGTTCTCCAGTCTCGTGTTCCCCTGTTTCATTGTTCCCTTTTCCCCTTGTTCCCCTGTTCCCTTGTTCACTTTGTTCTCCTGTTCCTCTTGTTCCCCTGTTCCCTTTGTTCCTGTTGTTCCCTTGTTTCCCTGGTCCTCTTTTGCCTTGTTCTCCCGTCTCCTGTTCCCCTGTTCCTTTGCTCCTCTGTTACCCTGTTTGCACGTCCCACGCGATTTAGCCATCCTCGCTTTTGATAAATATTTCACTCATCATATTTTCTTTTCTCTAGGTGTTTGATGTTTCCCCGGAAGGAGTGCGCAAATGCGTTGTGTCCACGAACATCGCGGAAACTTCCATCACTATTGACGGCATTAGATTCATTGTTGACTCTGGAAAGGTACAAAACAAGAACTTAACCCTATAATGTAATGGTATTGACTCAATCGTAAACCATTTTCACTGTTGTAACAACCAGTTACTGCCTTCGCGAAACCAAGTTATGGAAAGCGAGATTTTGAAATGGCAGAGGGTCGTAAGACAGAATCGTAAGACAGAGAACCGAAGGGGAGGTGGGAGGGTCAAAAACCGTAACCCGGCTAACAACAGCGTTACTTGGCAAAAGATACTGACATCATGGAATAGATGGCTTAAATAGTTTAAAGGACTTCCCCGAGACTCGACTCAATTGTCCGCGATGCGCGCGGGGTAGGGGGGTGGGGAGGGTAGGGCTATGAGACTACCAGCATTCCGCACAGGCAGAATCCGTGGTTATTCCAACAGTGAATACAAACCAAAGAGGTTTACTGACGTTGAAACTATTTCTTTAGAAAATTTAGTTTTCACTAGAATTTAAACTCTCTTTTGTTATGCTTGGATGCAACACCATATATGCCATTGTGTTAATGACCTTTATTTGGGTCAAGTCATGCAGGTCAATTGAGAGTTCGCGACAATAGGTGCAGGTGATTTTACGGTGAATGCATGAGATAAATCAGGCGACATTCGAAATGGGAAAGAGATCTCCTTCCTGAAATAATACTTGCAAGGCATCATTTCTCCCCTGTGAAAAATATTTGTGGAATGAGAGCGAAATAACACTTCCCCCCTCCTCTCTCCCTCTCCCTCTCCTTCCCTATTTTTTCTCGCTCTCTGACTTCTTGCCACTCTCCACTATCTGAACGCCTTGAAAAGGCGGATCATTATACGTTTCTGGGAAACTGCCCCCCTACCCCTCCCCTAAACCAACATTTTGACCTAAGTGACAAGAAAGTGTTAATGTTGGTTTAGGGGAGGGGTAGATGGACAGTTTCGCTCTCTGATTTCTTGCCACTCTCCACTATCTGAACGCCTTGAACAGGCGGATCATTATGCTTTTCTGGGACCTGCCCTCCTACCCCTCCCCTACACCAACATTTTGCCCTAGTGAGAAGTAAGTGTTAATGTTGGCTTAGGGGAGGGGTGGGTGGGCAGTTTCTCAGGGACGTATTATGATCCGAACAGGCTAACCCCTCATTGAATTGTTCATTACTGCAGGTAAAAGAGATGAGTTATGATCCCGAGGCTAAAATGCAGCGACTTCGTGAATTCTGGATCAGCCAAGCCAGTGCTGAGCAGCGTAAGGGCAGGGCAGGTGAGACAGTCGAGTTACAGAGAAAAGGGGTAGAACATACACTCTTGAAATGTTTTTTAAAATGTTTGTGATTTGGCGACTTTTAATTCAATATTTTCCCTATCTTTTCAATGCTGTTTGATGATTTTTAAAGCCTGGTTCCTCTTTGGGAACTTTGAAATAAACGATTTATTCAATTCTCACAACAACCACTTAATTCGGACTCTTGAAATTCGTTTAAGTTACATTTAGGTATTGTGGCATGTAAAATGTGTAAATTGTTCCATCACTTTGATTTCGTTTCTCTTCTTTTCATTGATCGACGTCCGTGTGGAATTTATTTCATGACGCACTCATTCACTTATCAGTTTTTCCTAGTCACAATACAATGTTTAATTAATTCTTCCCCTTGGGAATTTAGAATTAATCAAAAATTCTTTAAAAGTTCTGTAAAGTATTCTAAAAGTACCTGAAAATTTACATAAAATCTAAAATAACATAAAATTAAAAATTCATAAAATTGAAAAATACATAAAATCAAATAATACACGTAATACTTAATAGTACGTAATACTTAATAATGACTATATCAACACAACTGGGACCTCCCTTTTTTTCTTGAACTCGCTAAGTGATATTGAATTTCAAGTGTTTGAGCTAAGGGAGTTACAAGTCTTAAGTGCATGATAGAAAAAAAAAAACGTTGCGCTGTCTTGTTTATACTTTGTTTGTGATGTATTTCAGGTCGTACGGGTCCGGGTGTGTGCTTTCGTTTGTATTCAGAAAGTGACTACCACGCCTTTTCACAGTACACCACTCCTGAGATCCATCGGGTGCCCCTAGACTCCATTATCCTCCAAATGGTGTCCCTCGGTATCACCCATATTCGGGAGTTTCCATTCATAGAACCGCCTCCTGCCTCGAATGTGGAAAATTCAATCCACTTTCTTAAACAGCAAGGCGCGCTGACAGACAGCGAGAACTTAACACCCATTGGTCACATGCTGGCCCAGTTGCCTGTTGATGTCGTCGTAGGAAAAATGCTGCTGATTGGTTCGGTTTTTCACGTAATTGAGCCCGTAATGGTTATTGCCGCAGCTCTTAGTGTCCAGTCTCCTTTCACTCGAAGGCTCGATCATGATCCGGATGTGACGTCACTGCGGCAGCCCTTAGAGTCTGATCATGGCGACCCCTTTACCCTGCTGAATGCTTATGACGAGTGGTTACAGGTGAGATTTTTTTAACCATACAACGTAAAGTACCCTCAGATAGAGCCGTGGAAAAGCACATAGATATCATATTTTTCTATCAGTAAAACTGTTATCGTCGCAAAAAAATAGAGCAGCAATTTTGATGGTAACGATTAGCCGGAATAAACGGGAGAAGTTATTTATTCTGTAAGGCATTTTTCGTTGAAAGCACGCATATACTTATACAATATCGTAAAAAAAATCTCCGCCTCTCTTTTGCTCAGCGACCAGTGTAAATGTATTTTAGAAACAAACGAATGACTACAGAGTGTTTATGGAAACTCCAGTCATGAGCCGCACAAAATATGTAGCATACATACCGCAGTGGTAAGAACCTTTGTCCCTGATAATTATGATTTTTAACATTGTGCTTAACTGGCAGTAGCTGAAACACTGTTCACTGACTTTCCAGATAAAAAGCCGTGAAGGCTCGTCGAGAAAATGGTGCAAACGGCGAGGTCTAGAAGAACAACGCTTCTATGAAATATCGAAACTTAAGCGCCAGTTTGAGCAGTTACTCCGGGATCATCGTTTGATCGAACGAAACGAGCGAGATAAAGAAGAGTACGAGCTTGATCGTGAGGAGGATAAATGGCGCAAGTTAAAGAAGCTAAAACGAGAACATCGGAAGTCGTCGAGGAAAACAAAGATGCTGAAACTCGACGAAGACGGTTGCAGTGAAAGTGAAGACAATAGTGCGGCTGACATTCGTGACCTTGAGTTCAAACTGACCCACGACCTTGACAAACTGCAGGCCGGGAGTGCAGCTAGACGTAGTTTTACGCTACGAGAAATAAATCTTCTTAAGATCATTCTCTGCAGTGGATTGTACCCCAACCTTGCCGTTGCCGATGAAGGCAATTCAGGGAAGAGGGACTCCGAGCAGCTCTTTCACAGTCAATCAAAGCAGTTTCTTCTTATTCACCCCACCAGTGTGTTTGCTACCTGCCCGGACATCTTGCTGCCCATGGAAGCCCCGACAACTCAACCCACACCATCCAAGCAACAGACCCAGTCCTCTAGCAACCATCAGCTGCTATCATTTGTTTCTCTCTTAGAAACTAACAAGCCATATTTGGTTAATGCCATGCGCGTGCCAGCTCTCCAAACTCTTCTGCTTTTTGCGCAGAGCTTGGATACCAACGCTGATCTAACTCGCTTTGTTGTCGACTGCTGGATTGAAATCTCTCTTCCTGACAGCGCTTCGGGACACAAAGTACTTACCGCTGTTCAGCAGCTACGTGTAACGTGGGCGCTCCTGATAAAGCTTCGTTTTGTTGTAAGTGAAGACACTGAAAGGGAAGAACGTAGTTCAGCAACTCGACGTAACAAAGAACGCGATCTGGAGCATGTTTTGGCGAAGAAGCTCTCCGAATTTCTTAATAGCGATGTTCGTTACTCGCTTCGACGCCTTCTGCCATCTGAAAGCCAGCATTTGTACTTCGGTCCGATTAGGCAAACGGAGGAGTACGTCGACTTTAAGGAAGAGTTCTCTTTCGCAGCTGCCTCAGAGCCACATCCAGTCAAAGGAGGCTTTCGTGTGAATGATTATCTAACCTACAACTGCCTTCAAGACACCCTTATGGCCGAGGCTGCTTCAGCCGCTGCTCAATATATTGCTAAACATTGGCGCTGTGAGAAATGCGGAAAGAAAATGTTGGTAACTGTCTTGGAAAGATTGCAGCATCAAGAAGAATGCCAGCATGATGAGCCCTCAGGCGACTCAGCGGTCAGTGACCCAGGGTCCACGCAGTCCCAGACGACAAACAAAGAATCTGCAGCCGAGTCGTCTATTGAACGTTTAAGGAACCCTTACTATTGCAGCACGTGTCAGCAGCAATTTTCTTTTACAAGTACTGAGATTTTAAAGCATAAAAGATCTCATGCCGCAGCCACTTAAACTTCTATGGCGTTTATTGTAGGCCGACCGTAATAGTTCATTTTGAAACGTGTCCAGCAGTACTATTGCTGGCTGCCTAATATAAGCCTTTATCGCTTCCGGGTAGTCAGACATATTGCCGTAGCTCATTATAGTATAACCTTCTTGCCCAAGCGAATAAGAAAGTAGACAACTGAGCAACTTTGGGGTTAATCTAAGAACTTTTCTGATCATCTCCCTTTTTAGATAAATCTCCATTAGGCCAGGTATTTAACATCTTAAGACATCAGAAGAAGAAACTTTCGATTATTCATGTAATAACACTAACAGAAGTCGCTTAAAAATTGAAACAACGTTTTGAACCCCCGTTATATTAGTCATCAAATCCTATTACTAAACACATTGGTGTCGTGTAGCTTAAACTTAAGACCTAGTTTGTAATTTACAGTGCGTAATATCTCATACCCCTGTTGACTTTTAAATGCATTTAAGATATATATATATATATATATATATATATATATATATATATATATATATATATACACTAAAACAGTGGAAAGTGTTTTTCTTGCGCTCTGATTGGCTACTCAAAGTCGGGACATCCAGTGCTAACTGATTAACCTCCAGCTCCTCCGGGCGAGTGACGCTTAACTCGCGTTACTTACGAGCTAAATGGTTTCTCGGTTTCCTGCTGTAACAGACATAGAAATTTCATAAATAATCAAACAAACTGTTTCCAAAATACTCCAAGAAGGCGACGAAATTCGGTTTGGAAGCTTTAACAGGTAGAGCATTGTCTGTTTGACTTGAATTTTTTGATGAAAGCGGTGAAAATGTTTTTTGTTTACAAATGCAAATTAAGCCTTGCGTTGTTTCATTTAGCTGACACGTTCATAAGTAAGCTTAAACTAAATTTGATAGTTTGTTTTACAGAATGGTTTCAAATACGAAAATAATTTGTAACTCCTTTTGAAGAAATTTTCCACAATAGCTGAACAAATGCCTTTTATTTGTCGGCAAGAAAACGCGACGGCCGTTCAGTCATTTGCGCGCCAAAATTGTAATCGTTGGCGGTAGTAAATAAGTTAAAAACCATCATTTTTCTGCTCAATTACCCCACTGTTTTAGTATATACTAAAACAATTATTCACCTCAGTGTCGGTGGTAAATATCCACCAATAGCCATCTCCACTTCAGTGCAATATCATTATTTATTTGGAGGTAACATTTATAACCATGGAAAAACAATAAAATTTTTGTCGAAAAAGCAAATTGTTTATTTTCTCCATTTAGTGACTTATGTCATTGAAACATCGGTATACTGATGATACTCGATACGGAATTTGTTTACATCTGTTTCTTTAATTTGTAATTATGATTATTTGTTAAATTATTTATCTATCTATTAATTTAATGCTCTGATACTAGCAGCTTTGGTGCAAGACCTGGAAGCTTGACTACAATACCGTCGCGGGATATCTCTGAGACTGAATTTGAATGAAGCGTCGATGCTGCTGCCGTTTCCTTACTTGTTACTATGATAATTATTTAATAGTATTATTACCAAAACAGATATTATTACAGACTGTATTATTATTGTTATCGTTACTATTATTGTTGATGTTGTAAGTTTTAGATTTCAAGTAGTTCCTTGTTGTATTTGTATAGGTGATGGCATGATTTGTAGTGATATTTGGCATAAATACCACTAGTGATATTTCGAAATTGTTATACGTAATATATCACGTGTATAATATCACGAGTGGTATTATGTCAAATATCACGTACAAATCATGCTATTATTTGTTTATACTACTACCCGCAAAAGGTTTGTAATTTTCACATGTAGGTATTTCAAATTAAGCTGAAATACCACTGCTCTAAGCCAATCAAATTGAAGAAATTTTTCATGTAGTAGTATAACAAATTTTATATATTTAATCAATACTTAATGGTTACACTACCATTTCTTCGTCTACGTCCTCCTCTGGCTTCCATAGACTACAGCCTAAATATCAAATAATTTATGCCAAAGTAACTTGATTCTGCTTCTGTTATTTTACCTTGCTCCTTTTAATTAGGTAGGGTGCATTGGTCTTTCTCAACCTTTCCACGCCAACCTTATTTAGATTTGCTGGCTTGGGTTTGGTTCCTGTTAGTGGTGGTTTGAGTGGGGCTGGCTGTGGCCAAGCTGCTGTTGGTAATAATGATGGCAATTATGGTGATGACGATGATGATGATGTTGTTGATGATGATGATGATGATAATGATAATGATGATGATGACGACGATGATGATGCTGTTGTTGTTTTGTTTGTTCACTTTTTTGATACTGCAATACGCCCAGGAAAACAAACTAATGTAAATCTGCTGTGAAGCTTGGTTAATCAGGAGTACTTTTTGGGTATGGTGTAAATGGTGGCTTTCACCTCTTAGTCTAACTATGAGATTTGGCTCTAGAGTTTGCAGTATTTTGTGCCTATTAGTAAAATCCAAAAGTATGGCGCGTCATTCTGAGCAGCACGTTTATTATAAGGTGGTTCCACCTCTTATCCTTTAGGTCTATCGATGATATTCTCCGCTGAGTGATTGTTCACTGTAAAGCTCTCGTGGAAAAGAACATCCCCCTAAACTGCTTTCGCTTTCATTGTTTTACATTGGGGAATTCAAGAACTGTTGCTCACTTTTTAAGAAGGTGCGATTGACAGATCTCTGTCGCATGGAGACAGGAAAAACAGCCTAATGTCTATCGCAAGCAGACAAGTGTTCGAAAGTGTATTGATATTTTCCTGTCGTTACACTCTGCTCTCTTTTAAGCTCTCAATTTGTCCGCTTGCGAGCTTCTCTATTGCCTCCTCCAAACGAACATGGTAGTTAAGTGCATTAGATTTTCTTTGAGAGCGAGGAGTTTCTCGTGAAGTCCTTAAATATCTGTTCGAAAAAGAGCTGGAGGCGTCTGAACGGCTCCTCGACAGCATCCTCTTCAAATCCATTCTAAAACTGCGGCTCAGAGTTGTATATAGAATAGGATTAAGGCAACTATTAGCGGTTGTTAATAGCCTCGTAAATTCGTACAGTTCCCTGGTAAGTGACGACGACAATACTTTTCGGTTAATCAGGATGTTCAGAAGTATCAACTTGTTGGGCAATATGCAAAATGCATACACCAACACTAAGCCAGTTAATAACTTGGTTGTTTTACGGTTTTGTTGCTCACGTTTTTCCGCGACATTCACGCTGGTGTAAATGCCTTGCTTCGAGTTCAACTTGTGCGCTTTCCTCAAGTGAAAGACAATTCCCACGTAGAAGACAATGAGACACAATGCTGGGATCATAAACTGGGGAGCGATGAGCGCCATAATGTAAGTCAGGTTGAACGTAAGTTCGCTAGGCCACCAGTCCACGTCGATCTTGCAGCTTCCGTTGGCCTCTATAGTCAAAGCGTACACGAACGGCACCTGCAACAGGCAAGAGTAAATCCAACTGAACGCGACCATAGCAAGGGCTTTTTTCTTGCTTAAACGCCTCCCCAGGGTCTTACCAAGCACGATTGACTTGTATCGCTCATAGCCGATGCAAATTAACATGGACCCTGACACTGTCACTGAAAGTGAACTTGTGACGCTGATGAGCTTGCAAAGTACCAAGCCAAACGGCCAGACAAAGTAGTTCTCTAAATACGCCAGGTCAAAAGGAAGATACATAAAAAGTACCAATAAATCCGACAAAGCAAGGTTCAGGATGAAGTAGCCCTTGGACGATCGAAACTTTTTGGTTTTAGCGTAAAGGATCAATCCACACACTGATAGGTTCCCGATCACGCCGATAATAAAAACTGAAGGATATAAAACAAGTCGCACAACTCTCACTGCTATGTGTTCGTTCCATAAAAGTTCGTCGCCAGTTGTCGTATTGTTCATGGTGCTTTGTGTTGAACTCTCTTGTGCTCTTTTTGTTTTCGGCTCTGAAACAAAAACAGATGGGAACGTCTTTTATTAGTGTTTGTGTCACATTGCGCTTATTGACTGACAGACTGATTACAGTGTCGTCCAATAGAAAAATTTACCTTAATAATACACACGCCAGTTTCGCTCACCCTCTGATCTCCAATTCGCAGTTAATTGTTTGAGCCTTTAAACATGTCGAAAGTGGAGTGGAGATAATTAGTTTATTTCTCACCCTCGACGCAAAGCAGTCTTGCATTGTACATTGTACTTGTCAAAATGTTATTATATCTTTTGCAAATGTGATTTTAAAATTTTAGGGGCTGATCTATTTTTGTCGTGGAGTAAGCCTAAAACATACTGTTTCGTTTCGTTTTTTTCCCTTTAATTTCAAAATTCTTTGTAAAAAAATGGAAAATAAATTATTCATTGTCCACCGAAGGCTGTTGCTAAAAATAAAGACTATACGAATCTTAACAGCTGTAAAACATTCCATTTCCTTTATTTGTCCAAGATCAATAGTGCTAATCACTAATTTTGTATAGTGCTAAAATCTGAAGAAAACGTTGAGTGTTTAACAGTTGATCTTAACTAATAGTAAGCAATATATACGGAATTAATTTAAGACATTTCAGTGAACAATATGAACCTTCGATCTAGAAATAATTTACTAGAGTGAATGAATATAGTGCACAGTAACTTATTCTTTTTCTTTATTATTGTGTCATCAATGACAAATTCATTAACAGATGAATATAATGAAAGGAAATTAAAAAAAGAAATTGCCCATACTAGGGAAAGTTTCCTTGGTTTAATGGTCAGCTCGTTATTGAGTTCGCGAATTGATCAAAACGTAACAAAGACCCATTTTATCTTACTCTATTAAGTTGTCATAGTAACGTAGTGTGCAAAACTGATGGATTTACTCTTATAGATATTCGTTATTGACTAACCGTGAGGTCGATATGGCCGGACATGCTTTAGACAGAGAAGGAGTTGAGGTCAATAAAAACACAATGAAATTAGAACGAGACCATTATCCAGTCATCTTGACCCAACGAATTTGATCAATAAAGGATTTGTTTATGGCCAAGACAACAATTCGATCGAAGGAAAATAATATAATGAGAAGAGGAAACTCAGCCAAAATATGAAGCAACATGTTTGCTTGTTTGTTTGTTTATTTTGCACCACTTTTTTTCTCTTTAGTCTATTCGTTTCCCACACGTCACGTTTACGCTTGGGTAACGTGCTTCTTATCTTATTGTATGTTACTTTTTGCTTCGGAAATTTTTAGGATAAAAGAAGGAAGGAAGGAAGGTAGTATATGTGAGTAAAAAAAGTAATAATTATGGTAATATTTTTGAATTAATAATAATAATAATAATGACTCTACTAATTTTTAAGTTTTTCTGTAACTGCCAGGAACATTATAGTTAAAATAAATTAAAAATAAAAATTGCAAGGCTGACACTTTGCAGAG